TAATAATAATTAAGAGTTCCCCTCGAGTTCACAGTTTAAAACATATTGCTGAGGACAGGAAATGTTGCTTTGGTACTTATCTCATCAGCAGAAGTGTATGTAAGTAGTAAGAATATTTCTTTGTCAGATGCATATCATTAAGGCAAGTTGTCACTTGAAAGTTAAAGAATGGCTAAATGTCCATTGAAGGTTGTCCTCATGCACAAATTTTCTGTGGAAAAAATTTCATTTTATCAGGCCATCCTTATTCTACAGTTGTATTGATATAAAAGTTAAAAAAATCAACAAATGCATGGATAAAGGAAAATGATTCTGTACACTCTACTAGTACTTTGATTGTCGAAATGAACATTTAGGACATGTATTAGAAAAAATGCATGGCTAAACATAATTGCTTGCCCAGTGTGTAGCATTGCCAGATTTTTTCTTGATTAAAGTGTTTTGGGAGGATGGCATGGACATACCTGTAATGACAAAGTACAGGTGCAAGGTTGATGAAATATTCATTTTCTACTCCAGGATAGAACCTTTGGCTCATCTATTACCCTGCTGCCATCCATGTCAAAATAGAAACATATTCCATTTCAAATTGGTAGAAGCATGGAGGTTAAAACAGATAATTATTGAGTATAAATTGCCATCGCACCATGGCAACTCTGACCAGTATTCACGAAAAGAAGATTTGGGCTTGCTGACAACAAGAACACATCTGTGTCCTAGAAGCTGTAGTTCCTTTTGTCGCCCTATTCCTAATTGACGGTAGTTTTGTTTATGCAGCATGCCCAGTCAACAACTCAGGTAAACAGCTTGTTGAACTAAAAGAAAGGACATTTGTTCACATGCCTGGCAGATGTTGGGTCTGGTAAGCTACTAGTAATCCCAAGTATGGTATGTTCCATATGAGAACTTTAACAGAATTTGAGAAATGTTTTTAAAAGAAAAGGGAGAGTCAATGACAGAGGATGGATGATAGAATGATGCTTTTACTGCCCCTCCGTCCGCTCGGCATACAATGTCGTTGAATGGCTTCTAAACCTGCCAGTATCGCGGCCTGTGAGATTTCGAGGGTTTGTAATCTACTCACTGCTGAGATTAAGGGCGGGTGGAGAATTCCATAGTCATGTAGCTTAGAAGCCAACATCATGTTGGACATTGATGTATGGTTTGTAACTCCACAGTTGGAATGTAACAGGCTGGTTCCAAAGTGCCAGATGATGCGAATCAGCAGTTCTGGCATCTGCTGGCATGCTCTGCATTTGTAGCACTTTGCTGCTGAAATTCTGGCTTAAATTGCAGTTGTTATGTAGAATGCTGTATTGCCAGGGACACTTGTTTTTACTGTGTGTAGTTATCACAAGGGGTCCTGGTGGAATTTTTTGTGTTTTTGACGAGATCAAGTATTTTGCTTAGCAGTAATCAGAGAATGACACAAACATACAGCCATCTAACTTAACACAGTCTTATACTTTAACGTTCCTTCTAACTTTTGGTCATCCAGTTTCTTACTTTCTTCTAGTCATCCTTTCTGCTTTTCACTCTTTTGTTTGGATAGTAGAACTGGTTTAAGATTGTGTTCAACATTGATCATTTAAACATTGCTACATAGAAAAGTCTAACAGTTAGACTTAGACATATATGTTATGTTTCTATTGAACGTGCTAAAGGAAAAGCAAATGATACTGACACATCCAATTTGTACTTTATCATGTTGGAGTTGATGTAAAGAATAATTGAAGGACAGGGTATGAACTGTGCTGCAGGAGAGGCTGAGCTGTGAAATTAGTTGTCAGAAGATTATAGATATGTATGGGACAGGAGGGAGAGAGGGGTAGAAAAAGGTTAGCTCTCAAATCAAATGACCGATGATGCTTCACTTCTAGTTATCCCTGACTAGGTAGCTGTTCTATACAATACTAAGCAATACCCCTCGCGGGGTCTAATGCTTAGGGAAGTGGTCGTACCCCAGCGTGACCGGTGGTGGTGGTGAGGAAAAAAAAATAACAACAAACAAATAGTAACAAAAACAGGTGCAAAAACTATGTACAAAAGTCATGGCTGGGGATTGGCCACATTCCTACAGCTGGGTACAGCTAGGGAAGCCATAATGACTGGCTACCCCAGCTTTGAAATGTTCAACTGACTTAGCCATTACCAGATGGGCAGGTAAGGCGTTCCATTCGATCACTGTTCGTGGGAAAAAGCTGCCTCTAAAAGTCTCTGTTCTACAGTGTAGTGTGTTGAAACGTAGCTGGTGCCCTCTGGTTGGGTTTGTGTTTCTTGTAAGAATGTGGTGTAAAGGAATGGATATAAGATTGTTGACTGCTTTGTAGAGAAGGCATAGACGCTGTTGTTGTCTCCGTTGCTGGAGCGTTGGCCAACCAAGTGAGTTTTGTATGGCAGTAATGCTGCTTGAGTGTTTGTAGTTACCTGACACAAATCTTGCGGCTCGTTTTTGCACTGACTCTAGCTTATCAATTAGACTGTTGGTGTGGGCGTGTATCTGTTTGTGTGGGTCCCATACTGATGAAGCATATTCAAGTTTGGGTCGTATTAGTGATGTGTAGGCTCTGGCTCTTACCTGCTTACTTGCCCCCCTTAGATTGCGTCTGACGAACCCCAAGGTGCTGCTAGCTTTCGCAGTAATGTCATTGATGTGTGCCTTCCACCTGAGGTTGTGGCTGAGTATGACACCTAGGTAGGGATGCTGATTGTTGTGGTTTAGCGGTTCATTGAACATAAAATAGAGATGAGCAGGTGATCTACTGGGCTTGTGGATGTGGAGAATAGAGCATTTATTTACATTAAACCGGAGCTGCCAATCTTGTGACCATTTACAGAGTTGGTCCAGATCTTTTTGGAGAATTTCCTGGTCTTGACTACAGCTGTATGGTGTCCTGTCTGTTATCAGTAGGTGGGAACTGTGTAAAATAAAAATGCTCTACAGAAAATTCTGGTGATGTAGATAGCACTGGACAGCACATACAAATATCCAACATATGGACGCTGAGGGAGATAAATGCCTAAATAAAGTCTATGTACTACATGTACAAGTCTGTATCTACAATGTACCTACTTCAGGGTGTAGGAGTATTATTTTGGCTCAGGGCTTGATAAACAGCACTTAAATAACTAAGGTTTGAAGTCTTTTATCTCTGCGATGATGTTAATTAAAAGCTATCGGACTTTTTTTTTAAAAAGGCAGGTATGAAAAACAATCACTCACATGCATAAGTTAGAAAAATAAGTCCTAATCACTCATATTGTCTGCATGCCTGGGGATTAAAATACATATAGTACACAATCATGTATTATCATGCTGACAACAAAAGTATTACACTATACACAAGTTTTGTATAAGCAAGACACACCTGAGATCAAAATGCACAACATATAATGGAGTAATGTACAAGATTTGATTCAGATTCAGAAGTGGGGTTGCCTCAAAAAATTTATAAAAAGCACAAGTCACCAACCCCCTTTCAACATTTGAGTTGTCTAACCATTATGTTATCCCCTCAATTGTGCCTCACCTCTTTGTACTCCATAAGGACTAAGTAAGAGGATTTGACAATAAGAAACATGTCTTAGACAGACAGAGACAAAGGCTTCCCATGAGTGGTGTTCCCTTCTCAGAGGCATCAGGTGGAAAATGGAGGGAAAGCCACGTGAAGTCTTGGCTAGCTTGTTGTGACATTCGACCCCTGTGATCGCCTGGGCAGGTCTACCTGGTCTGTGCACCATAGATAGGTGAAATCCCTGGGGGATTTGTTTCCATGGCAACCAGGGCGGCTCAGTCTCAGAGGAGTGTGGCCCCTTTCTTTCAACACTGAAATCAATTTGGGACGACAATCAAACCATTCTGCACGGCTGTAGGTAACATGGTAGTTTTTATAAAACCCAAATAATCAATATCAGTTAAAGATTGAACTGGATCCATATTTTTCTGTTTGTTTACAGTCAAATTTTGTAGTTGTAGCATTGTGCAGTGCTTGACAATACATTTTGTGTGTGCTTTATGATATCCCAAACAAACACCATTGTCCCTTCACCCCCTGAACATTCCTAAGTAGACTGTCCCATTCCAAGGTGTTTAGAGGTCATGGTATGGTGGGGTCCACGCAGGTGGTACAGGTGTGTTTTGGAACCACTGGGCAACAGTTTTTCACCTGTTGGGCCAACATGGGCCACCTGAAGTCAGACAGGTGAGGTGACAAATCTTTGAAATGTCTCACCATGTGTGTCAAAACTAGCATTAGAAAGTTTGTAACGATTGCATTTCCAAATCCACTATAAACATTTTAACTTATGACTATATTTGAGCAAAAATTATGCACAAGCTTTTGAAGGATACATGCAGGTGTTAATTATAAGATAGGTATGAATGGTAGCTTTGCTGATAATAACTTAGGCCACAACATGAAGCTCTGTCCTATGAATTTTGTTTGGATCTTGAACAAGATTATTATACCAACAGTACTTGTTACAATAGATTACATTTTGATGATTAATTTTGACATACATGTACTTCAATTTCTGATATTTTATATGCAGATTTAAGTATTGTAAATTAGATTCCTATTGCAATACAAACCTTTTGCACAGAATGCTATGATTTGCTTTTATACCCATTACAAATGCATGAAAAACAAACATTTTGAAACAGCTGTTTGTGTACCCCCCCTTTGTGGAACAGCCCTTGGATAGACTTTGGACACTTGTGTGATTGATCAGGTATGACTTTTATGTTCAGACAGCGGCTTTAAGCTTCAACACACTTTTAATTTGCGTATTCTACTCCTTAGATCTTGATACAAATTTGTATGACATTATGATATGGACTAATTTATGTATAAGGTGATATGTTTTGTTTCTGGAAACCACTTGTTATGTTAAGGTCCAGGTGCTAGCTATAGGTAAGATAAGCCCATTACTGAATCTAGTGGTCCTTATCTGTTGACAAGCTCAGTGACAGCTTTGGAAATGTTTTTATACCCTCTGATCTGTAAGACCTAAACACAAGTTAAGGGTCCGATGCTGTCTGTAGTGTTTGATATGGTGGAACCCCTGCAACCTCTAAGGATAAAGACATAATTATGATTCAAGGCAGCCCTACAGTTTATAAACACAGGGTAATATCATGACCAAGCTAGGTTTGTCTAAAATTTCAGCAGACCCAGTTTTGGTAGCATGTTTGATTTTGGTCTTCCTATAGTCAGGATCTGGTGACTCTTTTGCCCGACAGTGAAACAGACTGTTGTTACAGCAGACCAGAATATTATGTGTAATTTTTGAATGATTATGATGATTTTTGTTTTTCTTGTAGATCTACTTAAGAAGAAACAGATTTTTCTGTTGTACATACTAGAATTTAAAAATCATGCTACTGGTTTCTAGCACCGCATTGGTAGCCCCCCTCCCCTTATATGATTGGTTTGAATAATGTATGAATGAATACATAACTGATGAGACTATGACTAATGCTGCAATGCAATTGTATGACAAAGACGATCAATAGTATCAATACAAATTTAAGTTGTATAGGAGAGAAGAGAAAATAAGTTGAAACATTGCCATATATAGAGACAAGAAGTTCAGAAAGCACACATTCTGATATACGGAGATCTTCCAAACTTGTTCTTTCCCAATGCTGAGCTTTGATTAATAAAGCTACGGGGAAAGTACAAAGCAGCTACATGTACTATATTATGGAATATTACTGCAAATTACCGCATTGTTGGTGAGGATTTGGTACGGCTGAGCAGGGACTAAGATCCAGCTTAAGGAATAAATCAACTGTATCCACTGGGATAAGGTGTTTATCAGGTGTGATTGGAAGAAAAGCATTCCTTCCCGTTAGGCAGGTACATAAACATGCAGGTGTAAATTTGGCTAATACCCCCTGAAGGCCTTTGAAATGTGATGAAAGAAATGGCTTTGTCCTAGCATGCTTTGTGGCAGAATTTTTGGAGGTGATGAGAATTAAGTATCCTTAGCATGACCCATTTTAATGACATCCACGGGCCCAGACTTATGTCAAATTGTCTGATTTATGATTATACATAACTGTCATCATTCTGCAAAATTCCCGACTGCAACAAAATTACAGCTTTGATTGTCAGTTGCTTTTTTTACTTAGCCTTTGTTGAATTGCTGTATATGTATACAGTGTACATGTTTGCAGTGTACACACATGCATACCCGTAGTGCTTTGAGGGTTAGGCACCCATTTCATTACCTAGGTGACCCGGTAGTGCCATTTGTCAAATGTTTGTCCAGAGATATCAGCTATGAGCAGCTGTAAATTATGTACATAACACGTGTATAGTTTGGATTTTGCTTCCGAGGTCTGAGATTTATCTGTATTCAGAATGTAGGATTTCTTTTCTTTAGTTTGGAAGGAATGAAAATAGTAATGTTGTTGCTCACTACCTGTACGTGTAAAACTTAATGAAACTTTCAAATGTGTCAAGCCTGACAAATCCATTGGTTACAAATTAAAGTGGCTTATTTACACTGCCTATGCAAATGCAGTATGGGTCTTGAAAGGGTGCAAAATATTAGCATTGGTAAAATGGCATTTCCCTTTCTCTTAATATGCCAAGTATGGCTTTTGTAATAATCAGTACTGTATATCAATTTCTTTACTCTGTCTCAAAATTCTTTTTTCCATTCCACATCTGATTCAAGCCTTAATTTAGTTTGCAACATTGCAATGAGTGCAAACTACAGATGACTGCTGGCATTTTATTCACAATATACAATATATATTCAACAGTCATGACCACACTTCCAGTCATTAACCCACACGTAAGGACTCTTTGCTGTCATTATTTATCACCTTTCTTTACTTTAAGATTATGTTGGAGTATTAACCTGACCTACATTTCAGGTAGTCTGCCATGAAAAGCAGTAAGCGTTGCTACATGAAAGACATTGGTATGCCACCATCCGTTCTGTTCAGCTAATGAAAGTGACCTAATTAGACCTTCTAAGTAGTTTCTAATTATGGTGACCTCCATAACATGGGTTGCCAGGCAGACATGCATTGGTACCCGAAACTAGTGAAAGAGTATGCAAATACATTTTTGTACTGCTGGCAATATATTAGAAGGGTCTCTTGATAGCAGTTGTACATCCTCGGAATTGGTGAAGGTGAGTACAAGATTTCAAGACCTTCTAGACGTTCTTTACCAGTCCTGTTGTCCAACAGCCAAGAAATGGGTGTGAAATACCCAACACCTGTACCTAGCAATTTGTTGGCAACCACCTGAATAACAGGCTACATGTAGGTAAACCTGCAATTTTCAGGCCTTAAGTAACTAAATCAAAGTTAAAGCTCAGGCTTCTGATCACGTCTTACAGTAGCATTGCAGTATGCTTAATCCTGATGTTGGTACTTAATGTAATTTTTCTAAAAGAACTACTAACTATCTATATATTATACTGTTGCCACTCTAATACCAACATTCCTGATAGCATGTTCAATTGGAACAGCTCTTCTATCCTGCAAAAATATGTTGCCTGCCACATTCCAAAACACAATTGAGCTGTAGGTACTGCATTATCTAAGTTAACTCAATAGCTGGTAAGAATCCATTCTGTGGACCTATATATAGTTCTGCAGGGTATGGAGGGAAAGGCACCACTGAGAACATACCACATGTATAATCTCTGTGCAGGGGAAAATAGAATGTACCAGCCAGGAGGCTTGTAAGCTGTGATGTCAGGACCAAGGTTCAGTTAACCTCTGCATAATTCTGTGAAGGTCACCTTGACAATAAAGTCATGCTTTTAGGGACCAGCAGGGCTAAAATTCAGCCGCATAATAGGATGGGTCGGATAGGTGACAAGGTCACAAAAGCCTGTTACAAAGGGTGTCAGATAATGGTGGATTTTTCGGGAGTGTTTGTGAAAGTGTATGTCATGTGCCAGGCCCTGACCTCTCTCTAGTTCCAATGGGATGGATGACATACAATGTAAAACTTCTTCAACACATTCGTCAGAAATCTGTCATAAATATACCTTTTACGGCCCCTTTTGTACAGTATACACACATTTTGTTATGTAATAAGTTGCCCCTGAAGGATTGGAATCCAAAAAGCAATTAAAGTGAACATCAAAAGTGTCTGCCTGCTCTGCTGGCCATGTCCAATAAAGCAACATAGATAATAATCAGACTTCACAGTATATAGAGTTTGTAGGAGGCTGGAATCTGGAGTGGATTGTTTCTCATCACCAAGCCTGAGGTGGTAGTCATTTTGATTGTACATGTGTCTAGCTAGACTGGGAGATCGTATAGATGGCAAGGACGTGTGCATACATGTTCATGTATCTGCTTGTACATCCAAAACTTCCTGAATTCCACCATGTTGACCTTTGCTGGTTACTGGACAGACTAAGACACCTTTGGCCTCCTGTCATTTTGCCTGTCAATCTTACCCACAGCCATGTGCTGTCAACCAACTTTGTCCAGACAAACAGATACACAAATCCACAGCTCAGTCACCTGAAACAAACTTCTGTACCAGGAAGAAACCCCAGAACCCATGATGACATACAAAACACCTAGCAGCGTTTTTAAAAAAGAAAATTTTTTTTAGCTCTTTGACGTTTGTAATGAGTTCTAAACATAATGTATGTTGAGTTTCCAACCTTGCCTCTTCTTTTCCAGGCTCACCTGTACTCACTGGGAGCCACACTGTGGGCAGCTGCACATTACGTCATCGAGCCGGAGGTAGAGCCTGTCATCAGCCCGGGGTTTCGGGAACTCGTCACACGGATGACGTACGAGAACCCGACCGGGCGATCCTCCCTCGAACAAGTGATTGACATGTGCGACGGAAAGCTGCAGGGGGTCTCGTCACAGAAAGTTTGTCGGAGTATCTCATCCAAAGGACGAAGAATCCTGTCTATTGAGTCTTCTCAATGATATTGGTATGTACATTTGTAATTTTATTACCTTATTGTCTTTAGATTGGGTTTTAGACTTAAACTTTCGATCTACTTTTGGACAGTGTTACTGACCTCAAAAGTTGCAGCATGTTTGGGGTTTAGTCTGGAATGCAAAAGTCTAAAGTTTTCACTTCTGAAGCTAAGACTTTTCAATGATCACTCTCACTAGAAATAGTTTATAATTACATGTATAAACAATGCATAATAAATGTCATTTTTTGTGACGATGATGTTTTGCATTTCCCCTCGGCAGACTACGCTGCACAAATGCAGCAGCACGTGACACGGCACCCCAACCACACCCAGGCACGGCGTCCACGCCCTCGTAGTCTCTACAGTCCAGACAGCATCGACGACACACGTCCCAGTCAGGACACCACCACCAGCCCCTCCTCCTCAAGCAGCAGCAAAACCTGCACCCCTCACTCCTCTCCCGACAAGAGTCCTGCTAAAATCCTGACTGGCTCTCCTTTGAAGAGCCCGGGCAAGGTGGGCCTGTCGTCGGGAGGTCCCAGTCCAAAGAAGATGTACTCTCCTTCTTTTAAAGCCAACCAGGGCATTGTGTTCTTCCCAGATGGTTTAAACTTTACTGCCCAGAACAAGTCTCTTCCTACAACTCCCAAGGAGAGAAACAATGATAATTCTCAACCAATCAGACATCATGATTCTAATAGAAACCCTTTACCACTGGCAGCTACTGTGTCCATCACCACAGGAACATCTGTGAGTGTCACAACTACTGTTGTGACTTCCCCAACAACAACTTTGAATAACGAGGGAAGCTTCCAGCCTGTGACAAAAAACTCCTACATGTTGCTAACGAATAAGTTTACCAAAATGAGCCCCAAAACATCGGAGGAAAAGCCATTGCTACAGAGACCAGAAGTTCTTTCTAGATCGAAGACAGGTCAGTCAGATGTTCAAGATGCTCGTGAGAGGCCATCAGGTGAGGGTGTCTCGGAGATCAGACCTGGGACTGTTAGTGCATTACTGGAGAGATACCGTATGGGCAGGTTAGAAAACTCAGGCAAGGAGGAGGAAATGGACATCAAAAGTTCCAGCCGAAGTTTGAACAGCATTTTGTCCCAGACTTCTATGGGAGATACCACTGGTGCAGGGAGTACCAGTTCATTAACAAGACAAAATTCAGCAGATGCACTACAGGAAAGTGCAAAGGATTCAGGAGACCCTGCAGTGCTGAGGTCATCGGCCTTTGCACAGGTGATGGACAAGAAACTGCGGGGGAGAAGCCGTTCACTGGAGGAGGTGATTGCTGCTGACAGTACCATGAAGGTATGAGTCAAATTAGTCACGAGGTAGAGTTGTAGAAGTGTAGAATATGAATAAGAACTTAGGTGAACTCTAAATGTAGTTCCAGTTTCAAATTTCTGGACAGTTGGAAATGGTTAGGTTCATGGATCTTGAATGACAAAAATGTTCATAAATACAGAATCCTTTTAATTGTGTTGGAAAAAGACGTAACTTTGTTGAGAGCTGTACATGTACCATAGAAAACCAAGTCGAATGTTTTGTCCTTGTCAGTGTCTAAGTCTGCAGTCCATCCTGACCCGTGTTGGGAGCTGTCTGCAGGAGCGCGAGGTCTGGGCCCTGTGTCGGGAAGCCATGATCAGCCTGGAGAAAGACAGCACCACATTCCGTAAGCACCATATTCAGTTCTGGTCATTATCTGTTCGTTTGTAAACATGAAAGGAGATTTTCTTGAGGTTAGGTCTTGGCCTGAGAAAACATTACCGGTACAGTGGATTTGGGGAAAGATTTCGATGAGACAAATCAGTATACTGCAGCTTTCCTTTTGCACCAGAGAATGGGACAGTCACTCTTAATCCTGTCTTATGGATTCAAGCCTCACCTTTTCTCTTTCACATTCTTCCAGATATGCACATAGTACTTGAAACCACATCCTTTTTCCAATTCTTAGGTATTTTCAGGTCAATGTCTTTATCTTTTGACAGTTTCCTTTCTGAAGATATGGAAGCTTTGAGTTCAGTCCAATTCTTGCTACCGGCAGTATACAATGTGCATGTTAAACCTTGGTTACTGGAGCATGATCATTCTGGCTTTCCTACCTGAAGGTCAGAGCAATCTTTGCCGCAATCCAGACTTTGATTATCTGACCCCCGTGCCCTTTTGTCTCTTGCACTTGTATTACTCTGGCTGCTCTTTGTGTAATGCTGCAACGCAACTTTCTGCCCCCATGTTTTATAATCCAACTTGCCCTTCCAGAATAGGGTCACTGCATTCAATCTCTCTGTGTGTCACGACTTCCTCCCACAAGTTCTCTCAGTCATACAAACTCATGATAAGGCCATTAAACTTAACTGTTGTTCTGCGGGAAAAGGAATTGACGAGGGCACCCTTCCAGCAGGAAATTAAACTACAGTTTGGAACCTCTCTGACCATTATCATGTAAAATGACGTGATGAATTTATGTATGATAGAAAAGTAATAAGTTTTCTCTGATGTTTGCAGCTTCTTACCTCAGTTTGGACACCATTGCAGTGGAGGAGTCTGGGAAAATAGCCTTTCAGCAGGGACAAGGTGAGTTACTTGTGACAGGAGAACTTGAGTAATCTAAATGTTTGCACAACATGGCCTTGTAGCCTCTGATAATTTTTCATGCCAACTTCACACAGCATAACAACAAAGGCCCAAACCACATGTAAGGTTTTCTTCAGTCAGATAAGAAGTGGTGTATGAATAATTGATTCTTGTTGTATCTGTCTCCATTGATTTCATCATTGACCTACAATTACTGCAAATTGAAATGTCAAATGAGATGCTATGAACAAAATAAAATGCTCTGAAAAGTATTTAATATGTGTTAGGGATTATACTGTATAGGGATTTACTTGTTACCATGGAATGGATCAACATACTGTAGGACATTGTTGGGTTAGTTTAAAGGAATTTTGTCAGTGCTGAAGGAATGTCTAAAATAAATTATTAGTATGTCGTTGGATGAATTTACGAGGACTTTTGGCAAAGAATAGGACTGCTTAAGTTTTGAATTTTGATAGGAAAAAGACTGTCATAAAGATAAGAAACAGGAACTCTTAATGAACTCTAAAGGCTGGCTGTTTGTGAGGGTACTTTATCTCTGTGGCTGACAGTCATGGTAAGGTCACTGCCAGCTTCTATACAGAGGTCTATCCATCTTCCAAGGTGACCTCTATGTTTGCTTTTCATCTTGCTTCTCAGTCATGTCCCTTGACAATTAGCAGCTTCCGCTGTAGTAATTAAAGATTGAACTCCATGCATGGCTGATTAACTCTACCCGGTATGCAGACCGTACTTGATGGAGATGCAGACAAAATGAGACAAGCTGACATTTTCCCTGCTGCCTTCTGCCCATTCAGAACATTTATTTGGTTCTCAGATTCACTTCTTCAACTTCCTCCCCATCAAGCTCAGGAGTGGGTTCAAACAAACAGCTAGCAAATTGTTGTTATGAGCTACAGATTCAAAGAGTAAGGAATTTAGGGTGGGGAGAATTCCCTAACCACAGACCCCCAAAAGTGAGACCCAGGAAGTTGGGTCCCAGAAGCTGGGTGGGTGTAAGTGGGAAAATGCACAGAGAAATTCACTCACATCTATAATGTATAAAACAAGAAGTTCACAAAACTGTAGATATTTCATGGAGGTATAAACTCTCTGATTTCGTGGTGAAAAATGATTTAGACTTTATTTGAATTACTCACTCTGAAGCCAAAACACCTGTTTGTGACAGTCTGTAAAATGACTGTTTAAAGCAAAAAAGCAAATTGTGTATAATTTCATGATGATCAGATCTATTGATGGTATCATTTTGTCATTTTATTTGCCCTATACATCAGTAGATTATTCTCTTGGAGTAGTCCAAACATTTAAATTGTAGCCTTTAAGGTCATGTTATGGTCCCCTAAGGGACCAATAATATTTCAGTAGTCAACCGAGCCCAGTTGGTGAGTCTGCTGCAGGCAGGAAGGGATGTTGGGCTTCACTCTTGCAGAATCGGTACTTAACTCATGTTTTGATTCATAAACCGTTACTTCTTGTTGGTAAGAAGGATTCTGATTAGACCTCTGCAGAAGTTGGTAAATCAAGAGTACAATGGTATTTGTGTGGGGTCATGGACAGAAGGGATATTTTTTGTAAGCATGAGCCATTAGTTCTATGATATCACATTGACATCATGTTCAACATGACCTTTGTTCTGACTCTCCCTGATGAAATATTATGTTTTACCTGTCCAGGTGAGATGGAGAGTTTGTACCTGGCTCCTGAGATGCAGAAGGGAAGCCTGCCTACAGAACAGGTATGTCAGTTCATGCACTCTCAATAATCCTGGACCAAGCAGGAATTTGAATCTTACAGATAAAAAGGGTATATTCCCGAGGATTCCCACTTCACTCTATGTTAGAAAATGGACCATTTGAAAGCAGGTGTGTACATGTACATGTACATGCTTAATTATCCCTTCAAGGACCCAAAATAGCTAGTGGTAAAAATATTGCCTTGTATATAATGTTTAAAATAGGTACAAAATTACAACCCTTGCTTCTTCCTAGGCCTGTGTTTTTGGAGTAGCAGCCAGCTTGTGGTCTGCAGCTGACTGGGGTCTACCAGCCAACCAGGAACCTGCACTGTCTGACCAATTGGAGGGCTTGTTAGTGTCCATGACACAGGACAAGCCGGGGGACAGGCCGTCCATCCGAGAAGTGTTGCAGGTATGATAGGGGCAATGTACATGTACACTGCACATGACTGAAAGTTGGCAGACATATTTGGAATGCTGTAGAGTGAAACCAAACACAAAAATCTTTTTTTCATGTGTTTTTTAATATATGTAGCAGTGTGCTATGAATGATCATATCTATATTCAATATATATATTTCTATTACTAGTACATCATGTTATGTCCGTGGTGCTGAATCAGAGGTGTTTTTATCTGAGGACCAATTTGAACCATCCAGGTGTCTGTAAATTGTTTTGGAAGCTCTACTACACTCATGTATTACAAGGGACCAGTCTCATCATTGCTGGTATTCTGAGAAGAAACCTTTATTCTAGTTAAAGTTAAAGACTGTGAGAGAGATTTAATGATTTTTATTTCTTCCAGATGTGTAATTCTTATGACCAGCGAAGTGATGTGTCATCCAGACTAACCTGTGAGAGACTCGTCAGAGAAGCTATGAGGGCAGAGGTTTTCAATGAAAACAATGTGAGTCTTCTGTACATGCAGCTAAATAAGAAAAAGCAATTGATCTGATGCTTTTAGAATCCTATGAAATAATGCTCTCTGTTCTAAAGGTTCAATAGTTTTCATTGCCACAAGAGAAATTTGGGTACGTATTTCATTATATTCATACATACTTAATTGAATTGGACATTTTGATCCTCAGATTAGAAAATGAATTCTGGTATTGATTGGTACCCAATAGTAGTTTACCCAATCTAATTAGGAAATATTGGAGTGCTCTTGTAAGCTTTAGATGCAGCTCTGCTGATAACTGACAGGTGGCACTCACATGCTACTTACATGTTAAGCTTTAAAATGCTGCTATTTCAGGTTTCTAGTTGCTTTAACTGCTTGGGCAGATGGTTAAAAGTGTATCTTTCACCTTTGACAGAAACTTGTCCAGCAGTGCCTAAAGGAGGAGGCAGAAGAAAGAAAAGAGCGGTTCAGGGCCAGCGTGGTGGCAGCCATTGATATGACTGATCCCAAGTCTGTGCTTAAGCCAGTAAGTATCCACAAATTGATACGAAATGTAAAAACCTTGACACATAACTTACAATTACAAATTTTACAATGAAATTAATGTGTCTGTGCCCATCAAAATATGTTTCTCCATTCTTTGAAGCATTACGAAAGAAGGAAAAGAGTTTTGCTTGTAGAGCTTTGGTGGTCCAGACTGAAACAAGTATTGATGTGTTCCCTCAGGCTTCATTCCGACCCGCTGCTGAGCAGCCCAAGGAGCCGACCGGTTGGGACCAGCTGCTGGAGCAGATCCAGAAACGTCCACACAACCTCAGACAGGTCAGCAGATACCAGCTTGTTGGGATTTCTGTGTTTCAGCTTAAACTGCATGCAGCTTGCTGGATATAACAGTCATAAGGTTCACAATATAGGGTCTGTGTTTGGGTCTTACTGTGTTTGGTCTTTTGGGTCTTACCGCCAACGTGGTTTGTTATTTTTGCACCATGCAGGTAACAGAACCAAAGGTGTTTGGCGTGAAGGACCTGTTCGAGGCCAATCCTTATCTGTTGAAGACGTTACGCATCATCCGCCGACCAGCAAGATTAAGAAACTCACCTAAGTCTGATGCAGCTAAAGCTGTTCCCTCGACGGAACAGGGCAGGCTTGACTTAGTGGGAAACATCCGTCCCCCTAAGGATGCTGGTCAGCTGATTGTTGCAGATGCGTCCTCAACAGAGAACAAGATGGAACCTGTGAGTTCAAGTGGACTTTCTGACAAGGAGCAAAAGCAGTCAGTAGAGGAGGGAAACAAGGCAATCTCTGACTCTCCGAAACTCATGGCTGGACCAGAATCTGCATTTAGGAGCATCTCCAACATCCGTCCAAAAACAGGGAGCCTGGACCAGACGTCTGGTGGGGAAATGTCGAGCAGTCCGTCCACAAAAGAGTCCTCTCCTTCTCTCCCCTCGGCTTTCACATCCTCAGCAACGCATTTCACTCCTATTGTCCTGACTAGCTTGAAGGACAGGCAGGAGAAATCTGTCGCTGGTCTGCAGAACCCTCAGACTGGATCTCCTCCCAAGAAAATTTCTACAAAGAAGATAGTCAAGGCTGTAAGAAAAGATTTGTTGCTTTCCTTAAAGAACCGTCCTCCTCCCACGCTGGCAAATGACTTAGAGAAAGACTTGGAGGAGGAGATGAGGAAGACCTCGGACTCAGAAAAAACAGACAGTCCTGCTGTAACAGAGAAGAGACCAGAGGAAAACAAGAGTACAGTTAAACCTGAGAAACAAGCTGCTAACCCGGAAGTTGCCATAACCAAGATGCCGCCTGTGGCTGAGGTGAAGGGTCAGGTGCAAGGTCCCAGGCAGAGCCACACGGATGGAGGGGCTGATAATCTTGGTGCTTCAGCGCCTGCCAGTCTTGCCACTGCAAACACAAATGCAGGGATGTCCGGCCCAGGTTTCCACAGTGGAGTGCCTCAGCAGATGGTCCAGCCAACACAGAACTCAGCTCACCAGGTGCAGCCTCCGAGTGCAGCTGCAGCGGCACCTGGCAGCCAGTCGCAGATGCCTTCCCTCTCAGCCAACCAGCCTTTTCTCATCCCAAACATCCCCATCAGTGGAATGTACCCCAACATCTCCGTCCCGATGCAGCTTCAGCAAGATCCACAGACTGGTTTCTTCCAGCTGGTGCCAGTGAACATGCCGGCCATACAGATAACTCCCCCTCACTCCCATGCAGGTGTCATGGGGGCAATGCCAGCAGGGGGAGAGGGTGTCAGCACCCCAAATGTGCAATTCACACAGGCATTGCCAGACAATCTTGTGTCCTCCACTTCTAACAGCTCCTATGAAGCTGAGCGTGGAGCCAACAAGGAGTCATCTGAAACTGTCCCAAAAAAGACATGGAGAGAAATATCGGAGGAAAGAAAATCTCCAAACCCTACTGCAGAGAACAGAAGACCAGGCAAGCACAGTGGTAGTGAGGGCAAAGATAGCAAGGCACCAAAGCCTCCCCCAAGGGCAAAGCACAAGTCTGGGCAAACCTTAGGATCAAATGAGATAGTCCTTAGCAAGAGTGATCAGGACTTGTCAAAGCCTGCCAGAAAACCAGACCTGAACACCAGCAAGAGTATTGAGTCAATCATTCCAACAGAAAACGAACATAACAAAAGTCCTTCTAGAAAGAAATCTGACTCTAAAAAGTCAAACAAAGCCAAGTCGAGTCGGAAGCACTTGGACAAGTCCTCAGAATTGTTGACGTCACAGGGTGTCAGTCCATCTCCTCCGTTGTCGTATGTGTCCCGAGACAGTGGTGTGCAGCTGAGTAAGTCCAGCACGGAGGACATGACACAGTTGGACACGACGCCCACACCAGAGGAAGTCAACGGAACACTCGGCAAAGTCACGCAGCTGATCAGGGAGGAATTTGCATTTGACGGGTACTTGGAGAATGGGGTGGAAGATAGAGCCATGGGTAAGTGATTTTTGCTTATGGTGCAGTCACATTTGTTGTAGCTTGTCATGCAATTTTGATGTCATGGTATTTTCAAGTACATGTATATGTAGGCTGTGAATGAACCGACTGCCGAATTTGACCTAAGACAACCTTTCAACAACAAGACAGCTGAATTTTGTATGACACATGCACGACTATCCCAAGCACAAAATGTATACGGTATGACAAATGTGGCCAGGCCCTTATTACCTATTATTGATCAAGTTTCAAACTCTTTGTAGTGCTTGCTTTATAACTTTATCCCTTCTCTCTCTCAGCTGATTACATCATGTCCTTGGCAAACCTGCGCTGGGGGACGTTTAGTGATGCAGTGACAGAGAAATACTGTGACCTGTACTGGGAAGAAGAGCTACTGGAGAAGCTGTTTGAAGCTATCAATGGCCGCATGCCTGAGAAGAGACACAAGTGAGCTTTTTTCTTTAGTTCAGTTGGATTAGAATATTTTCCCCTAACAATGTAAAACTAGGTTAAATCGATCTTCATCTATTAAATTGTAAATTGAAATCAAAATTTCACAATGTAACATACTTGTTTTTGAGATGCATAAGTTTCCAAATTTAACATGACCGGTGTTAAGTGAAACAGATCTGTTTTTTTGCAATCCTTGACATCTTCTGCTTACCTTGCAGAGCCAAACTGAGTTCACCCAAACCACCCCCGGAGACTGCAAGAGTCTTGAGTATTGACGAGCCAGGCTCAGAGGGAGAGGACAACTTCCTGGCAAACCAGGACATTGACCTTCTCCATATGTTTATGGGTCGCCACCATCCAATCAGGGAGGAGGAGGAAGATCATGTGACTGGACCACTTTTCCCCGTGGAAAGTCGGAGCGCGCGGAAGCTGCGGGGGGACAGCTTGCTCTCAACAGCCAGCTCAACGTCTTCGTCCAGTTCTGCAAAACTTGACAAAACAAGACAACCGGCTGTGCCAAAGAACTTAGTACAAGTGCACAGCGAACATTCTGACACTGAAATGGACATGGATACGGGTATGTTGCCAGGCAACCTTGTGGATAACCAATCGGTGAAGCCCAAACTTGTACACGTACGAAGTCAGGACACGACCTCTGACGGAGACAGTCAGGAGGTGACAGGATCAGGTGGAGAGGACTCGGGGAGTAAAGAAGCCAGTAAGTTCCAGCGCCTGCAGCAGTCTTGGCTGAGAAGACACGGGAGGGAGTACGACTCAGACTCCAGCTCAACCAGTGGGAAGCAGTCACCGAAGACACGCCTGAAGTCACAGGGCAACGACAGGACCAAGATACGCCAGCTTCTGGACAGCACCATGACACGGAGGAACAGCAGCTCATCCCTGAACAGCAGTGCCCCCTCCATGCCCAACAGTCAGTACTCGAACGAGTATGCCAGCAGCTTTGTCCCCAACTCTGGTAAGGCTTCTGTGTCTGATTTCTCCTAATTAAACTATAAATGCTACATTTGTACTTGTAGCCACATAGAATTCAAATGTTTCACTAGAAAGTAATCCAGGTATCAACCCATTCTGTCCAGACAAACAAACAACATACACAAACCTACAGCTGAGCCAGCCAAAAAATACATTATACACCGTATAGTTCGTATAATGTAATAAACTCGTGGATGATTACATGTAATGTTAATTTCCTTTTCTCCCAGCCCTGGTGTCGTCCAGTTCCCGGTCGCGCAGCCACGGCAGCCCTGCCAGCAGTGTGGTGTACCTGGGAGCTGAGAACCTGGAGCTGGATCCTGTTCTACAGGACTACACACGCCAGCTGGGCGCCATGGACGAGGAGAAGAAACAGAGCATAGAAGCCAAGATTGCGGTAAGAACATGGCTGGTGTGGTTTTTGGACATTCTGAGACATAAAGGTAAAAACGTTTGTAGGGAGTATTGTCCAGAAAAACAGACCAGGAATGATTTGAGGGGCTGTTAGAAATTATTTTTGTAGGCAACACATTGCTCACCTTTTCTCCTCCCTTGTAGTCAGTTTGTACAATGATATACTAATCTTTAAAACATCTTTGTCTTGTCATGCAATCAACTTTCCTTGTGGTAGCTATCTGTACACCACTGATTTATGTCCTATTTTTCACTTGAAGATACATTAATTTGTCTAACATCAGTCCTGACCATTTTTATGGGTGGTCAGGCCCTTTGAGCTGTACTCTTACTGTCCCTTTTCTGCACTTGACACTTTCTCCTGCTATTTGCACTGTAGGAAGTCACAGAAAGTATCACAGTGAGTATCTCTCTATCACATACACAATGTATCTTTAAACTTCCTTACGTCTTCTTCTTATGTAGGCAATGATACTTCAACAGAAACTCACTTTCTTTGCCGACAGTCTTAAAAATGTTTTTGAAAGACAAGCTTGGATGTGTCCCATCCCTCCTGACAGAGGAGACTCATGTTTGTCTGTCTGCTGTAGGAGGTGGAGCAGCAGCTGATGTTTGAGCAGAAGCAGAGGTCCAAGTCTCAGAAGTTTTTGCGGCGACTGTTGGAGTCAGACAGGAAAGGCAAAGGCAAGTACTTACTCCTAGACAATTTCCAAACATTGTGAACAAAACATTGACCATATCTAATGTCGTCATCACTAATAATGTGCTAGACATGAAATAACAGACTGAATGCGTTTGATCCTCACTAGCCCAGTAACTACATTGTACATCATAACAACTGGCTTTTCAACATAGATTTTGTAACTTTAATTTACAGCAGCATGGTTTCTTAAAGTAATGTACCAAACAAAGTAAAACTTACAATATTTCTTTAACAGTGAAATGTTAACTGAATGAAGGCTTTAGTAAACTACCATTATTTTCCGACAGTTTTCCACGTGTGCATTAAGTTATCATTACAGATTCTGGGGTATCTGAACTGAAGTGTGGCATGGTTTTTATGACTTTAACTAAACCATTACTTAACCCTCACCAGATGCTGAGTGGCCCCTGAGCCATGGTTAGTGGATTGAAAGTTTACAGTTTTTGGCTCCACTCTTGAGGTGTAGCCAAAATATGTGGTGGAAGTGCTAAGCTAGTCTGGTGGTGGGTTGGTGGTGACAGGTTACTGTGTGTTTTCTGGGAGGAAAGGTTTCCTGTGTGATTACTCTAAATCATCTTCTTCTTCTGGCTACATGTGTATGTTTTTTTTTTAATCTCTAGCAACAAAAAGAAAACAATACACTGTAAGATATCAATTGGAAGGTCATTTACTCCAAAAAATTTTTGTAAAGCTTACATTATTAATGATAGATTTAATATGATGTTATCTCTGAATAGAGCACATCTGTCAGTTTGAATAAGAAAATATTATATTCCACCCAGTACTGGTAACACTGTTTATCCAAGCACACCAACTAGTGGAATTTCAAACCATGTAGCATGTGGTGACTAGAGATTAAATCTGTCGTCATGTATGGCATGTAAGAAGCTGAGATGTCCGTCGAAGATCCAGGGTGAGTGTTTGACAGCCATGTTTGTGTTACAGGAGAGAACAAGGCCATGGCCTCCAAACTCAACAAACAGATCATAGAGATGTCTGAGAGGCTGGAGTTTCTGGAGTCTGCCAAGAAACATCTAGAGGTAAGAGATGTGTTGTTTTACATATTTGTGACTAAACAGTCCACTCCTTGAAGAATGATGTTTTTTTTGGTACTGTCTTGAAATTTGAAAACTCATGACGTTTTCTGTGTTTCTGCAATGGTTACTTGCATACTGTATACTGTATATCTTCTATGTTAATGTGTAAGTGTTGTTCTCTGTAGATGCTGTATGCAGAACAGTGGGGATTGGACCATTCCCTCCTCTACTCTTTTGCCACCAGGTAAGAAATCATCACCAAGGAGAGACTGAGTCATCATGAAACTGTTGAAGAGTCAGCACTTAACAATGAACACTAAGTCTTACACTTACAATGTTAATCCATGCATACCATGCAGCAACAAGAAAGGTTAAGACTTTCATGTATACATTTTGTAACATAAGACTTAGTGATGTCATGCTTACTGAAGTCAACTTTGAAATTTTCCATTATCATTTTCTTCAATTCCTCTTTGCTTCATATTTGCAAGTATCATTTTTTTCTTTCTTTTGGTCTAATATCTAATTTGATTTTGTCTCCTAAGTTTTCTTCTTTTTTTATTCTCCTGATCTTTCTGTGAGTTCCAGACTCCATCTCCACTTGGTATGTTCTACCTTCTACTCCTACCTTAAAGTTTATTTCTTTAACCTTAACAACTATGTCATTTCTCCATTAAAATCAAGAGATTTTGGACAAAGTCATATTGTTGTGAATTTAGAATTTAGCAAGGGTACAAATGTATGTTGGAAATATCAGACAGACAATTTGCTTGTGGATGACCAAAAAGGTCAGATCAGTTACCTTGCCCATCTTTTCCCTCAGCACCTCCGTAGAGCCAATGCAGCTGGAGCCAGCTGATGTGAACCCCCTGCTGATGTTCCAGTGGTGTAAGGAGGGGGACAGTGCAGGGGGGTACGCCCGGGGCACTACCCTGCAGGCCGGCACTCCCGTCGGACTCTTCTCCTACCTGTTTGCCAGGTAAGACACTTTCTTTATCCCCTTTGTGAATTCAGCTGGTTACTGCTGTAACCAATAGAAAGTTGGACATACATGAACATGAGGGAAAGCATGGTACTGAAGCTTGGTTCTACATGTACAAATGTAGACAGGATTGTTATGGTCAAAGGGCACAGAAGCTATGCAAAATTTTCAATGAAAAGTTTATAGGAAGAAAGTCAATTACATTGGTCCTGATGCCCATGGAGTAGAGTGATGGCTGATTGTTCATGTAGAAGTTAGGAGCAGTGAAATAAAAGTTGAAGTGATTATAGCATATTTAAGGTGACATCTGAGAAAAACAAGTGTGAGTGTCTGCCCTTCCTCTTGTTTGTCAATGTCACACTTAGAGTCCGGATTCAGAATACAAATGTTTGATGTCTGCAGGGACTCGTTGATGGAAGGTTTCATCCACCATTTCTTCTACACGTACCGTTACTTTGCCTGCCCCTCCGAGCTCCTGTCCTTCATCACTGAGAAGTTCCACAGCGCCATCAGCGTGTCGGTGGACCAGCTGGACAACAAGGTCCGCGTCCACTGTCGCACCATCGACCTCATGCAGGTCTGGGTGGAGGGCTTCTTTGACCTGGACTTCAAGCACGATGCAGAGCTGACTGATCGCCTCATGGCCTTCATCAGGAATAAGGTACATTACCTCCATCAGCAAGGTTTATGTTAAGAAGTTTTCATTTTTGTTTGTTCATTTGTGAGTTGGATAACTCAAAGCCAAGCTGACCACGTCATCTCATTGTGACCAAAGAAGTGATAGATTTTTTAGTCTAGCAGGTTCCTGTCAAATTGCAGCTTGCTTTGAAGTTTCCAACAGATAGAAATCAGGTACATGATTGTGACTTGTATGGAGTAAGTATCCCAAAGTGTTTTTTTTAGGTCTATGATTTGAAGTGGTTTTTCATTGGCTACTTTTGTCCCTCAAAAAGCAAAAATAATTCTACATGTGGTTGCTTTAATATAGAATTGATATTTGTGTCGGTCCCAGATCATCCCGCTGGACACGCAGGGTGAGAGCCTGCTGCGGCTGACGCAGGCGTGTCAGCAGGGCCGGTACATGGCGCTGAGCGGCACCATGAAGGAGGCACCGGAGGAGAACGAGGGAGAACTCTTCCAGATGGTGAACGATCGCATTATCATGGAGCAGCACCAGGCACTCAAGAAGGTACAAGGTTTAGACACTGATGACACACGCACGCACGCACGCACGCACACACACACACACACACACACACACACACACACACACACACGTATTACAAGTCTCAATTAAGACATCCGTTGCAATGGCCAGTGCAGTGAGTAGTGCTCACCATGCATTTGTTAGGTTGTGAGTTTGATCCCCAGGTGAGTTAAAATGGTATGCTCAGCATTTGGGTAAGAGTATAGGAGTTGAACACCACTACATCACTTCTGTAGCTAGTGCAAACCAACTCTCAGTACAGAAGAGGTGTAGTTATGTCATATAGGCACTGATGCAGATGTTTTATTTCCAGACCAACTCCTTCCGCATCTCCCTGTCGCTGCCCAAGAAGATGCAATCCAGGCAAGCCAAGCTGGCCAGGACCAACGTCATCTCGTGTCTGAGTAACCGGCGCGACCTGGGTGACGACCAGAGCGTGTACCAGCTTGCCCTGGCGCGGGAGAAAGACGGCTTCACACTGAGCGAGTACACGTCCCGCACCCTGGCCGAACAACTCACGCTCATGGAGCAGGTTAGAAACACTCTGTTTTTCACCCAGGTGGTTTCTGTGTCTTTTTCCAGAGAAAACAAATGAGGGAGCAAGAAAGCAATCTGACAATATCGCCAAAACTCTATCTTTATTTGATGTACTGCTACTATTTAAAACAGACCTCTACTCATACATGTACAAATGCATGTATGCTGGAATCTCAAATGAAATGTTGTATGTTTACAGGAGCTTTTCTCCAAAGCCCACCCCATTCACTACCTGAACTCGCGGGCACACGGCGTGGGGGTCAGCGGTAACCTGACCAGTCCGAACACCCCGCGTACCCAGCGCATGGCATCCGGCGCCCAGGAACCCGACAGCCCGAGTCTGTTTCATCCCGACAATGCGCAGGACAACTATGTTCTGACGCTGCTGGAGCATGCCCAGAACCTGAGTCACTGGGTGGGCGCGGAGATCGTGTGCTGTAACAGCGCCAAGTCACAGCTGGCCGTGCTGACCAAGTTCATCCATGTGGCTAAGGTGGGGAGTGTGTTACTGTAGTTACATGGAGGTAGCAGTGGTTTACTAAGGCAGTCATTTATTTGAGAACCTGAAGAAGTGAAGATGATGAATTGTCAGAAGATATACCCTATACTTATTGGTGGCTGACAAATCACACATAGTTTTCAGGTTATTCTCCTATTTCATTTTTCAAGAGTGGAAAAACAGTTTATTTTATTGGCTTGGCTTAAGAAGACATTTTTTCACTGCCATTCCTTTCCGCAGGCTTGTTATGACATGCGGAACTTTGCCACAAGTATCGCGATACTGGATGCTCTGGACAACCTGATAGTACGTCAGCTGCCAGCCTGGCGGAGCCTGCCGTCTAAAGTACTGCAGATCATGGAGGACCTGAACGCTGTGAAGGTGAGAGTGTGTGAGGTTAAGTTAGTGTAGTTTATGGTGCAAAGTGAAAGCATGTATTGTGATGTTAAACCTCTGGCAGGTCACTTTTATGTATTTAAAGAGAGGTCCAATTCAGCATCCCCCAGTATAATGCACACTTGGACATCTAATCTAAACTCTGCATACCTGGGGGTGCTGCGCTATAGATCTCTCAAACACACTGTTCAAAGTGGCAAATTTATGTAATATGGCAGACAAATGATAATGGAGGTTAGAGTTGGAACATAACCACACCAGGTCTAAACATTGTGACTGTGTTCCAGGTGATCCTGAAGAGTGACAGCAGCTGTCTGGTGGACAGCGAGAACCACCGCGGGCGTGCCACCATCCCGCCCACCCTGCTGTTCCTCATGCATGTCCAGCAGCAGGAGATCGGAGCCTTCACCATGGCTAACGGCATGTACAAGTGGGCCAAGCTCAGGTGGGCACCAGTCCGTGTTCTGCATCATTACGTGTAGTGCTTGGTCAACACCCACTGCACCCTATACTTCCATCCACTGCCTTTCAATGATGTTTTCATTAATCCATTTTGATGTATAAACTTATATGATACTATGGTCTGTCAGCATGCTATTGACATAAGCGTATCCTTGGAGTGCAGGACCACTATGTTCATTTGTACTTATTTGAATTTTAAAAAATTCTGAATTGTTCTTTACAGATCGATTGCCCGTCTGATTGACCAGATCCGGCTCTTCAAGGAGCACCGCTTCCAGTTCGAGGCAGACAATGAGCTGCAGCAGTTGCTATGGCAACGCATCCAGGAGTTCCGGGGTCACGACCTCCAGATGCTGGCGTCTGAACATGTGACCAACTACCACCAGCTGTCGGGCGAGAAGAACTCACGCAAGTTCCACGACGCGCTGAGGAGAGTTAAAGCAACCTTCCAGTGAAGTTACTTTGAACAGATGAGGAAACATAAGAAACTTCTTCAGATCTTTGACGTCTTGAGTCATTGTTGAGAGTTGTGAGTTGCCTTGATAGTGAAAATTGTGGTTTATATTTCGGTGGCCGGCTGGAGAAAATGTGTTCTTGAATATACAAAAGCTTTTCTGAAGACTATCTCTCCCTGAACCATTACTGTACATGGATGTTGCTATAGCAACAGCTAACATCACTGATGTGTTACTATGGCAACAGCTGTGATGCGTTATGTGTTGCTATAGCAACAGCTGGTGTACTGGATGTGTTACTATGGTAACAGCTGATGTACTGGATGTGTCATTTGGCATAGCAAGTCTTACAGCTGTATTTCAGTATGTTTCAGAAGGAGGGCCTTGTACTTACATGTACATGTACATGTACTGTAGTGAACTGTAGCTTTTACTGCTAGTATTTCGATCACACTTCATAAGAACACAAGAATGAAAGAGTTCTTGGCAAAAGCATGCACATTGTCATAATTTGTAATACAAAAGAAAGTTTGTATTTGAAACCTGAAATTGAACCCACACTCCTGTATGTCCTGGAATACAGCTCTAATGTAGCAGTGACAGCTATCATCTGTAATGTTACCACCCCTGCCTTCTTGTGTGTGCACAGATACCATTCGCATTTACTTCTAAGAACTTTTTACAACAGGACGGGATAGGGTAAAGAGTAATGGGTACACCTGAAGTGCACCAATGAGAAGTGCTGATCTAGAAATGTTAGGCTATGCCTACAGCACCAGAGCTGGTCTCCACAATACTTGGTACATGTATGAGGAATTTAGACTGCATGGTTGAGCTGGTTTATCAACATGACCTGTCATAGCACTAGCTAGCCTTGTTCATAGCTCTTCAAGTATGGGATAATCATGAAAGTGATACCTTGGCTAGTTGGCCATGCAAGCTACTGGTGTCAGTGGTACTGTGATACATAGCAGTTTGGACAGTATCCTGAAACTGTCTTTACATGATGGCATTTTGTGTCTTGAGCTGAAGTATGACAGTAGTGTTTTTCCAACTGTCTGGTCTATAAGAAAGGAAAAAAGTGTCTTTGTCTGGGTGTAGTCCTAGTTCAATTTTTTCCTGAATACTTTGGTCATATTACCATGGGAACCTAAAACCTAACATGGCCATTGGTATCATGGTGCAGAAATGCCAAGCATTATCTGCACATATGGCTTATAGATAAGTTAGACTTGTTTTGACTTTATGCCCAAAGCTTGCAGCTTAACTAAAGCTTACAGCTAAAACACATTTCTACTGTTAGGACTTAAACTACAGGCCAGTCATTGCACTGACTTTTGTCTCAGATGTTTAATGATGTCACAAGCCATGATAACAGTGCTTTGTACAGTCATGTGAAATATTTGTATATTCTAGAGTAATGTTATTATACTGCAGAGGACTTCTCCATGTTTGTGAGGACTAATAAGATTTGTTGTGTATGCAACCTTTGTATATTGTAAATGTAGCCAAGGGTGCCAAAACTAGAGAAAGCTATCCTCAGTATATAAAATGTGTACGTCTTGTACATGTACCATAGCATAGCCAAGAATAGCTGTACTATATTGTTGATTTGATATGTACATGTACATGTATATTGTCGCATTTAGTCTGAGAATCTTTATACTCATCTAATGTAAAGTGGTGTAGATAGTCTTATGGTTGTTATAAAAATATCTTTTGCTCTATTTTTGGTACTATTTAACTTTTTATGTTGCACTAGAGTGTGGTGCTTTTGTAAGGCTTAGCTTTATAGCAGTGGTAATGTTTGAGCTATGGCAGGTATAATTGTCTTTTAATTCATAAATCAGGGCAGTGTTATTGACTCTTGCCAGGTAAACTAATGTCAATTGTTTATTTATTCCAATAGACTAAAGGAAAATGATGTTTTGTGTTGTCTTTTTATTGTTTGATACCTAAGAAACTATACAGCTCTTGGAGACACAAACTTCTACCAAGTGCTAGACAGTATACCTTTCTTCATACTAGGTAAATCATCGGATTTACATGCTTTTGATATGTTGTTAAGAAGAAAACTGCAATTTTCAACAAATTTATATTCAAACTTACAGTATACATGGCGCCCTTGTCATGTCGTTCATTTTTAACCATTTTTAACCATGGCAACGTGCAATGTGCCAGACAGAGTTTTGCACATATATTTTTGGCCGTCAGATGGCGCTTTTGAACTGGTTGCCGAGAAGGGTACTTTGATAATCGCTGTCACGCATGACATCAATCTACCAAAGTCGTGTGCATCTCTAGACATTTTAGATTATGACTGAACTGATAAATGCCCATATTCAGTTTTTGGTCTCAAAAGGTTAAAATATCGTAAGTAGATGTGATTATTTTTTTGTGATTTCATACGTGACTATACATGTTTTATTCTTGCAAACTTATCGAATCGCCTTTGCTGGTATGTTATCACGCTATTTGTTCGTCTAATTCAGATTAGCCCCACCCCCTGCTAACACACAGGAAAGCCTGGCGTGTGTTTTGAAAGTTTCTTTCCACGAGTGACTTGCGGTTGTCCGGTAGATAACAGAGTATAAACGGTCCGCCCTTGTCACATTCGCCCACGCAAAGGCGATGAAAAGGCACACTAAGGGCTGCGCTTTACTGATTACATTATCAAGTTCACCACACCCCAACTCACGGGGTAAAGTAGCGTTAGCCTCCATAGCAGGCTCCTTGGGTGGCGTTTTGACATTGCCGTTGTTTTGTTTTCCTCCCAGTCCCCGCGAAGCCTGTTGAAGGGCTAAAGTACAGCTGAGGTCGGGCCTGACTTGCCAGTATTATAAAATCCACCCAGTTTTTACGCGACTAGACCCAAAAGTGGTTCATTACATCTTCATGCAAATCTAGCCTAACATTAGTTTCCGTCATTTTTTACTAAACATCCTCGGCACGCCGGAAACGAGGATTTTTTTTTGCATCAACTTGGCTGAGTGATCACAGCTTTCAACTCAATTCAAGGTTCGTGGCCTTAACCTTTTGTAGCCTACTGCCTTTAAAAAACACCGGGACTCAGGAGAGTACAAATCACTGGATCGCGTTGTTCAGTTTATAATTCATTTGTCAGACGAGATGGCTGGGGCTGGGCTATATGACTGGATGTGTGTGGAACTGTAAGTGTAACACTAACAGTGGGTATACGATCAATCCTGGAGAATAGCAGCGGCATCGAGGCTGAGGGGGAACACCCCAGTGACCGATTGACCGCATATAACTTCCAAGCAGATGTCTGGCGGCAAAAACGTAACGGTTAACTGGTCAGTTCTATGATGGCCTAAGATCTTCTATTAGACCACAACGCTTTTGCCTCCAGACATCTGCTTGGAGATTAACCACATATGGGTCTAGTTAACCCCCCAGCCATGTGCGGGTCACTCGTGAACCAAGTGAGACGGTCGCGACCATTATTGTGACAAGACCGGACTAGTATTGTTAGAAGTACTGCGTGGCTTTAAATTAACGATCGAAGGGAAAAAAACATTGACACAGTAAAGTGAAACAGAGATCAAAAACTTATCACGTGAACCCTACTGGTACAAACCAAGCATCCTGATAACTGTGCGGTTTTTAAAGTGGAGTACCTTCACCCCCCTCTGTAATAATCGTCATTTCTAAAGCAAAACAGCTGACGAACTGATGACAGTTCATGCCCTATAGCTACAGCCCCTCTGTATTTTCTTCTTTGTCTCCTGTGTTATATATTGTCTTTTACTATGTACGTTTCACCCTACTGTCTCACATTTACGGTTGCTAAGGGTTACGTGGCGTTTGGTCAACACTAGTTGAGCGTGGAGTTGGTGAAACCGTGGAAGAGAGAACCAGGTCAGCTGAGGGACAGATGAACCTCCGGGAGGAGTAGACTGGACATTCCGTATCGCACGGTCCCGCGACCCTTTGTCTGTGGTACGTGTACCGTTTTCCAAAGAACTCACATGATCGAAGTTAATCGGGTTAGTGAACGTGAAAGGCCTCATTCGGACACAAGTAAAGGGACAAGGTGTGGGGCACCGGCCGCCGTGGGCAGACCGCGAGCAGTTCGCCTGGACTCCGCTACCACTGCAACATGACCCCGCTGGACTAAACGGTAAGGCGACCTCTTTATCCCCGGTCATATTATAAACATTTGTGTAATACGTGGTAAGAGAATAATTTCTCAGCGTCTTGAACCAAATGTTCGCGTGTCTGGGCTGGACTGGTCTGCTATATCTATAGGTTAGCGATACTTTTTTTATCAAGGTGCAAGCAGCGTTCGCCAGGAGACGTTTGGACAGCATTCAGCTCGTCATAACCGTTATAATCGGCAAATACCGATCACAAATAGGAGACATAAAATTGCTCAGGGGTGAACGGATGGTTCGCTTTCAATTCAAGTTCACAAGATAGTGTTGCCTGTAAAACACTACTGCGTCAGATTACATGGACTACGTACCTACCGGGACTTTGCATGCCTATCAAATTTACCAGTGCTTATAGTTCTGTGAAATACTTCATGGAACCCTAGAGTGTCTCAATATGAAGTTGTAAATTTTTAGGTACGATATATCTATATCATTGTTAAACTTGCTTTGTGTTTTTTTTTACTGCGATGATAAATCTGTGTCCTCCCGGTCCGCTCTCACTCACTCGCGCGTTCCGTAATCCGTGCTTGGGGGGTTCTGTATACAGTAGTGTATCAGTTCATTCAGTCAGTATGTGGCGAGAACGTTGGCAAGAATGCATGAGTATTCAAGCTCACTTTACTAAGTCCATGATGTTTTAAAAGGAACATCGAGCCCCTTGACTTAATGGATACAAGAATGCCAAACTCTGCCATTGAACTCGCTGACAAAGCAGAATGAATGGTTTGCAAGGGACGTTACTCTGGCTGTTAGTGTTAAACAGTTCAGTGAATGGGTCAAATGTTTCACAGTTGATCTCTCATGTGGAAGCTACAGTATGTTTTCCGTGGCGACACAGTTTGCTTTACGCAATCCTTGTTTACCTCCGACTTGGTTTCTCCCGGGTCATCGGAATCGTTTGATCTGCGTGTTGCCAGTTGCCTGGTAACTGCTATAAATGTCCGTCAGTGTGTCCTTCCAGCAGTGCGACGGAAAAGGAGGCACTAGAGCGTCAGTGCGCGCCCCTGTTCCCTCCAACCCGAGACAGATTCACCACTGGAACTCCTCTATGTCACATTATGCCAGCAAAACATCGGTGGGCTTATGTTCATTCCGCTAAATGCACGTATCTCACCATGGAATTTATGGTCTTCGTCTTGTGTATACAGGAAGTGCTTCCAATTTTGGCAGTTTTCGTCAGACGTGTCGGTCAGTTTTCTTCAATCTTTAAAGGTTTACAGCTTACACTTCCTAAGTCTGTTTCCTCGTGTTTTTCATCAGTGAACAACAAAAAGATACACGACCATCTGTTGCCTTGTCGCACGGTTAATTTGATAGATACTCCAGCAGACGACATCTACCCGCAGACTGTTTGGATAGGTCTTGGAAATGACAGGGAAAATGTATGAATGATCGCATTAGTAGCCTGAGAGGTCGATGTGGAATTCTTGTGATCGTTACTGTTGGTATCAGGTTTAACACAGAGCACCGCCTCCGTCTTTGAACTCAATTACTCCTCCAATGTCATATATAGTTGTCCATTACGATTCTGAAAACCTCATATTTCTGCTCTAAGTTACTCACGAATACAAATGTCCGTTAGAACATGATGCACCAAGAATAAACGATTCCAGGGGTTTCTTTGTATGTTGTTGTATCCTCGACTTCAGACAGGTTTCATGTGTCCAACCTTTGGAAAGTTTACCAGCTGTGCAAGCCAGGCACAAACACCACCGAGGTGTATGTCCATATGTGCCCTCCTATGCCTTACATTGAACTGTACACAGAACCGCACATCGCTACAGTAACCCGCATGTTTGTTATAGACTAATGCCTGTACTTAAGGTATACAAGAGCTGATCCCTGCACGACAACACAAAACACGCAGAAAACAAACAACATCGAAGAAAGGATACACAGATCTGTCAGTATAACCCTGCTAAGTAAACAGGACTGGTGCCTGTTATCTGAACGATAGGCTACCAGGTCAACAGCCGGGGCAAGCAACACAGCAATACTGGGACAGTATCACTGTCCTTTATGTTATAACGTCGGGTCTGCAGTGAAGACTAGCCCCGTGTTGTGACTGTAGTGGAAAAAAATTGTTGCCCAGTTTGTACATTACACTTCAGTCGGCTGCCAAACCAATTTGCCTTCAACACTGCAGCCTGCCATCTACACCGGCGGCACATTCCTTCCTAATTGTCCCCGCCTTGAACTAAGGTTATACTGCAGTATTATCTCACAGCCTTGATGACCTAACCCCGTGTGACGTGCCAGGCTAGCAGGCCGACCTGTTGACGGAAAACTTGGCGCTTTCGCTCTGACTGAAAACAGGTGCAAGTTCAGCGCAGGGCCCGACCTGCACCCCCAGTCTCTGAAATATCATCGGAAGCGCTCCCTGGCGATATACAATCATTCGACAAGGAACCTGAGTGCTGGCGACCATGAAATACATAACGTCGCCTGGTAAACATAACAATAGCCTGGATGCCAGACCCAAAGCACACTGGACACAAAATATCTCAGTGTGCAAGGCTCACTGAGATATTTGTGTCCAGTGTGCTATGGGTCTGGAACCCAGGCTAACATAACAAGAGTGCCAATATATTAAATACTATGCATAATGCCACTCCCTGTTATACTCAAATTTTAACCGAGACAGGTACGGTTGAGGGGTCTGCCACTACTAAACCTCAGAGGTTAGCGAAAGCGACTTTTGATCCGTTCTGGTTGGAAAGTTATTGACAGCACTGACAGCCCAGGCAAGGATGACGAGTACCATTCCTAACGTTAAACGAAGCCGCCAAACCTGTCTGGCTGGGAAAAAGCTTGGTAAAACCGGCCTTCTTCTTTTCCGCACAGTTCGCCCTTTGCCCTACATTACATTGCTTCACCTTGGCCTACAGTAGAATTTAGGTTAGATCTTTATCTCACATTGGCCTGCAGTAACCCTGTCCACGTGCACGCCGGTGAACATCGGAGCCAAGTCTCGCGAGATGAGGGAAAAACGAAAGGATGGCTGACTCTGCAATCAGAGGTTTGAGGTGAAGACTGTTACCGTCTGACATGCCGCGCTTTCTGTCAGCGTTCAGTGGGAACCGACACACACACACAGCATCTGCTTGGAGAGTAGTAAGGCTTATTAGTCTGTCTCCCAGAGAAACGATACGATATACAGAGACACTGATTTCTGTGGCTAGATGCACAACAATAGTACTACAAAACTAAAAAGCAGAAATGCCTTTGCCCGGATATAACTTTATTTCTTTATTTATCATTTATGCAGCGCCTGGAAAAGAACGGCCATACAACGCACTGTAAACAGTCGTCAGACACCCGCTCCTGTGGAAATAGTATTTATGTCAGTGCCTGACGATATCTGGACCGTCCGAACAAATATCCTTCAGACCACAGCCTGAAGCCATCCCCGTGAGATGGAGCATCACTCATGACGGTGTGTAAACTGGTTGGTGGACGGGGATTTGACATGGCTGTTCCCCGCATATTTGGCAGTAAGAAGTGATGGTCTTGCCCGACGTGACCTATATCAGGCTGTACAGACGGAATGGGGTCTCTGGTACCCGTCTTATCATGAGTTGAACGTCAGAGAAGCCGTAAAAACATCAGGTTCTCATGCCGTGTGGTGTTGATCCTTCTTACTTATCTTACGCGTAAAGGAGAAGGAGTAAGGTTTCTCAGAAGCGATGTAATTCAGCCGACTACTCTGAGGACTGGCAGGAAACGGATGACGTGAACAGTAGTGGGCGTTTCTTGATCACCAGCTGCAGGGAATCGACTGGGCGCGAACTCCGCCGAATGCTGCACAGCGACCGGTCCAGGGAACCGTCTACCAGCGGCGCCAAGCAGCTGCAGGTACTGTAGGCTGATTTACGTTGTTTGTTGTTCAATAGTCTTAGAAACTTTTCTAGCCAGGCAATTGTTTTGTTCTTTTTTTTTTGCGGCGGTATAAAATTATTCTTTATGGGGACTACAATGAAAAGTGGTGATACAGGAGTCAGTGGCATTTCTGAAGTAGTTGAGAATGGAAGGAGGTACGTATGATTCACTGATTTGCTACTTTTCCTGTTTCGGGGGCCCTCACCCTCTACTCTTGATAGAGTGGAAACAATTGGTTCGGTGAGGTCCACAGAGTGCGGTCCGAGACGTCCATCTCAAATTGACCAGAACGCCCGGGCCGTAGGTTCCAGCGTGTGTCCACGGGGCACAGAATTTGAGAAACGTTTTGTCAGCGGAGCATGAGCAAAGAAATATGTGGTTCATTATACCTCCTGACCCCTGGCTAGAGAGCATCTTGGCTGCCAGCCCACCTACCGTACTCCCCCTACCACTTATCAGGCATTGCCGTGTCCAACAATCATGACAATAACAACCTGGGTACTGAGATGCGCGTTACCTTTTCTGTTTTTTTTTTAAGAGCAATCATTGGATTTAAGCGTTTATACATGTGTCAAATTATAATACAACACAGTGAAGAACCGCGCCCATTTATCAATATTCAACGCGTAGTCACACGTACCGTGAGGTGTTTGCCCATGATAGGTAGTAGTCATGAGTAGTAAAGCTGACAGTAGCCACAGAGGTACTCGGCAGTCGTCAAGTGATAAAAAGTTTGTTGTAAACGTTAGCGAAAGTCATGCTGAACATGCAGGTGTACCTGTGGCCTGTTATCCAACATCTTTTTATTGTCGCGGGCCGGTCCCATCACCGGCCTGAGTAGTGAAACACCCGTCGAAAACAGGTCAGACCTGGTAGTAGGCGAGCGACGGAGGGAGGCCTACGGAGATAGGGACGGATGCTAGTAGTAGGATGCAAGTAGCCTGGTTGCCATTCTCCACAGGATCTGGAGTTCTAACAGCTCCTTTCTAATTATTGCTGTCTTCCTAATATTATTGCCGTCCTGTAGGCCAACTGAAACCGACCACGCAAAACAGCGTGCGCTAGCAATGCGCTTGGGCGGGCGGGCAGTGTCCCCAGCGCCCTCAAGATACCAGGGAGCCTACGATGGTCTGGCTAGAGAGTGCCAGGTTGACATATCTATCCGGATTTTCGCTCCGCAACGCTCGAGCGAAAATCCGGATGGTACCCAGGCTATGAGACACATCATAATGACTGGCAACATTGACTCCCGTCAGTAATCGGGATTATTGGTGTTCTCGGGGCAGGTGTTTTCCATTGGAACCTCCACGTTGGGAAATGTTGGCAAGTGTATAATAGATTTATAGTACAGCAAGTCATTGAACTGCTTTGAAATTGTTCATGAAGCCACTAGGTTAGAATGACGTCTGAATGTTCGAATCAACAGTCGGAAAATTTTGCTAATTTCTACCTTTTCTAGCTTTCGATAAAACCGTTTCGTCCCAGTCACCACTGGCGACTGGGACTGGCCAATAACTGTATAATGTCTTTGGACTGGCTATTCTCTGGTCTTATTGCTGACAGGATGTGCGTTGGTGTTGTCGCCAACTTCCCAGCATTTCTTGGTACGGCGTTAGGTGTTACCGCCTTTTACCTGGGATGCCGGAAATCATGATCACGAGGATATAAAGGGACATTTCGACTGACTATCAGGTCAGTGTGAGGGCCGTATAGTTGTCTTCCATGCCACAAAACTGTGACTGCCTGCTTACTCTTTCACATCTAACTGTAAGTTGGGCGTTTTTCCTTTCGTAGATTATGCCGTTTTGATACCCTGCAATGATGTTGGGGGTAGTTTATATAATTCACTGTATGGATATTAGAAACTCCTTCAACGATTGTATAAGTTGATACCTATCTCATACTAGCCAGTAGCCACCCACTTTTGTATTAGATTAGCCCTATGAAAATGTAGTTGACATGTACTTGATTATGTAGTAGATGCCAGACTTTGTACACTGTACAATTGTTGCGCAATAAAGTTATCTCTAAAGTTATAACAAGGAGGAGGTTATAGAGACGAAAGGGACTGACTCGATTGGTTGGATCAGTGGTAGTTTTGTGTATTAGGTGGGGGCGAGGATGCCAGAAACACAACAAAATATGATAATGATAACAGAAATGTGGTATAAGAAGATGTCAATCTGATTATTATAAGAGACACATGTGTCGCCAACGTGAACTCTCAACTTAATGAGCCCTCCCCCTCCATGTGTAGAATAATGGCAGAATGTTTGAGCCGTTATGTGTAACTGTAGACCCAGATCTGCTGACTTCGTCTCATGCAGATTTTAGAGGTTTAACCTCACTCAGGGGTCAACGTGATAAGAGCCATCAACAGACTTTTGGCAGCGGTTGTCAGAGTTTTATCAACAAAGGATGTAGGTAACCTCATTCTCACGCGAATTTAAGGATGCTAGATCTTTCAGGAAAGACATTTCCAGTCTTTTCCAAGAACTGAGTCTTCTAACATCCTGTATCTAACCAAGAATTTTTAAGATACACTTGAACAACTTAGTTAAAAAAAAAACGTCGGCAGTTGTCTCTTCACTCCTTCGTCTTCACCATTGAACTAAGTTCTAATCAACCTCCTCAGTCTCACAGGGTAAGTCTGTTGTGTCTCCTTTTACAAAGCTTCTTTGATGTAAATCCTCAACTATAAACGTCTATCAATATGTGATTTCCGCACACCGCAAATGCCGCTTGTCCAATCATAGCCATCCATGTTTGAGGGACAAGAACCGGGGCTCGTCAAGGCATATTTATAAATTATATTGCTCGTGACAATATTTCACTATCGGGGTCGGGAGGACCAGAGACAATGGTGGTTGGTCTTGCAACAGGAAAATAATCTTGCAGCAGTGATGTGCTAAGAATTCATAACCTCCTTTGACCCTCCTCCTAATCTCCAAGCAGATCTTTTGGTGGCTAAAAGGATAGTATCCAACACGCGGACAGTATCCAGCCGGCCGACAGTATCCAATTGGCCACCGTTGGTGGGGATCAGGACAAAAAAACGGCCATATATAAAAAGGTAACGATCATTCCCCACAACCTCTGCTTGGAGAGTACCTCCTCCCACTTCCCCTACTACATCCCCCCACCCCGGAGCAAATGTCACTGACCTAGGCATGACCTTTCCCAGACATTCCAGTTTAGGCCAATTAGTGCCTTGTCCAAAGTAATTTCTATTTGGACGTCCCGCGGGCTTTTGGAAGATGCCATTTAATATACGGAGGTCTTAATTATCTCAGGTTTGTGGGCGTGGCACTTCGATCCCAGACTTCAAGTTTATTTCCGATATAAAGGTAATTCAACGTGTGCCCGATGTCTATATTCTCAAAATTAACGTCACATCTTCCATGTGCATCGTGCAAAGTCGTCGACTACGTCACGAAGCCCCCTCTCTGTGAATTTGCCAGTGGTATAACCCAGTATGACGCGTAATTAGCAAGAACAACATTGGCTGTCGGGAATGCAACAAAAACAAACAAACTTTAACCAGTCAGCGTTTGTCGGGCAGTCGCCGGCGTCGTTCGTATCGTCTGCAGACCCGTCCGTCAAACTTGTGGAGCTACAGCATGGTCACTGTCGTCTCAGACAGGCACAGAGGCTTTTGTCGCTCAATCCTCCTGCTCGAGTAAAGGGTAAGTAAGCACGTGTCCATGTTTTGGCTTTTGTAAGATTGTTGGAACGATCTAGAAGGAGACAGTGTGATCTAGTTACACCAAGGAGGTTTCAATGAAATCAAACCTACTTGATATAACGAAAAAAATTCAATGGAACTTCAAGGAGCTTTGATTGGTTTCCTGTATGATTTTGTATACAAAGTCAATTTACTTATTTAGCATAATACGTCGGATTCTATCTATATACTATGGTTTTGTACAGGTATACCAGCGAGAAATTGACCTCCGGCAGCTCCAGAGTCCTTGATACCGGGTACTGTTACGTCCGTGGATAACATATATTTCCGCGTCCGTTCGTACACCCTCGTTCTTCACCATACCCTCCAAACGTTCACATTTTGTCCGCTTATAATGCTTGTGTTCTTCAGCTGAGAGGCACTGGGCCGGACATATTGTTCTGTCAGTGCCACCTTCACGCGTTTAACATGGTGATGTAGTGACTCTGGACTTTTGTGTTCTTTCTATCCTAAAATGAATTATTAATCGCTTCTTCGTCCACTTGGCCGGTAAGCCGTGAAATACAAAGGGTTGATTCTGGTTGGTTGGTTCAGCCTCATGTGTCGTACTCCCGTGAGACCAGGACATGTATAGTGGTAACGGCTATCAAGAGTGATGGAAAGACCTGAGTCGCTTTGTTGTGTTGAAGCATATGCGTCATGCCTTTACGCGTATTCAAGCAGGCAGTCAAGAGCGCGCTTTCAAGCATGTTTGCCAACAACCAAGCAGATGTCGCCTGCTTTTATTTTTGTTCTTACTGCACGAACCAAAGGCCTTCCGCTTCGTGAATACTAGTACAAATGTAGTTGAAAGTACGTGGCGATTTCCCGTCCCTATATTTCTAGGTCGCCGCTTTGCAAACACACCGCCTGTGTCTGATAGCTTCCTTACTAAATCACGAGCACGGAAAATTGTAATTTCACGGCCTGGCCACTTTGCATCCACCGGAAAAGTGCACAGCAAGCAGAAGTCGATACACATGCCTGACCCTGGCCGAGTCGGGCGGTGCTGGGCCGCTGTTCCTGCGCTGAGAATGAGAGATTTCCTGCACACCTGGAGCAGGTAATGTTATACACATTACGGTGCAAGGCTCTTTGTTTTCCACTGTAGAGGGATCATGTATATTAGAGAAATCTGTGCTTGAAATGTCTGGTCAACTCGGTTGTTCATTTTCACGGATTTCTCATTGAAGTGACAAATGTAGGACTACGTTTCGCCTCCAGACTCAGACGTCTTTGTGTACATTTTCACTGTTCTTACGAAAAATTCTAATACTAGTAGGCACGGTTACCTTTTGTTGTTGAATACAACAGAGCCTTTTTGTTACTGACGGGTGTATACGTAATGCAATTTCAAATCTCGTACTGCTTTGTGCTCCAGTAACTGGGGACTTGATATGACATAACTTTATAGGATGATTTCAGAGAGGTTGTAGTAGCAATTTTATACAGCAGGGAACAGGCCTTTCAATCCTCCTACGTAACTGAAAGAAACCGTAGTCGCAGATGGCGGAGCTGGTTGTGTGTGAGCTTTCGGCTTTTCAAATGGCGTGAGCACAAGTTGTTGTAAAGAACCCATGTATGATTGTCAAGGTTGGCTTCGGTTGTCAGCAACGAAAAGTGGGACCGTGCATTACAGGTTTCTGCAGCAACCGGAACCACTCCTATTCAAGTCTGCCCCCTCACTCCGCACACCGGCATTTTCCAGCTGTACCAACTTCATCTCTCGGCCCCTGAAATTGGGAAAATACGCATGGCTGTCGGCAGGGGGGACGTACATCAACTTAACGGCCAGTTCAGGTCAGCCTCCGACCGACGGACCAGACGGAAAATCCATTGTAAAATCTTAACGATCGGCGCAAGTCTTTGAAGATCGTTCGCCAAAGAAACATTAAGTCACGATGTTGCCAAAGGTCACACTGCTCTGTATGAAAGGATACAAATTCCCTTACAAATTCCGTACAAAGGCTGAAGCCAGGTTGTCTACAGTTGACAAAAGTGATACAGCTTTTTGAACGTAAGTAAAGTTTACGTTTTCTGTTTCAAAAGTCGCAGCCGCCCACGACCTAATCTCCAAGCAGATCCTACGGTGCCAAGGCAGTATCCAATCGGACAAGCAGTGTTCATTAGACTCCGGTAGCTAATATTGTAGGATCTGGTTGGAGATTGAATTCTACTTTCTTTATTGCATAATTCCAAATGTATATCATAGATTACCCTGATCCCCATCCTCCCTCACGATTTTTCCCTCTCTTTCTAGATTTTGTGATTTCTGGGCGGCGGGGGGGGGGGGGTATTGAATTTGATCCTCGCGTTTCTTGAGCCATGTGAATTCAGTTCTGAGACTGACAACTCCTTTGTTGTCTTTTGAAGCCCCTCTCTCATACTTGCCGTGATTTGTCTATAACGAAGCTGGCTGCTGGACAAGTACAGTACGTGCCTGGCATCTATTCAAACAAACGTACAGTGCTCTACTGGTCACTGCTTCCGTGTGAGGTTGGTCTCAGCTAACATGCTGTGTAATTTTTCTTTCAATGACAGATGTATTAAACTTGGCGTGTACCAGAGGCTCAAAGCACCGGGATGCAGTCTTGTTCGGGTTTAGTTCACTCCCCAGGTAGCTCCCAGCGGAGACAAAACATTAGCCTCGCTACCAGACTCCATGGGGGTGGACAATGGCAGCTGTAGCCTTACTGGCGGGCTCTCTTCTCTTCCTCTTCTTACGCCAACTTCTTACTTGTCGCCGTGCTTTATATGGCCTTGTCGTCAAAGTTATCAGCCTATAGGACCCTAGAGGACAGTATGAGGATACGATGGCGTTTTATGAGGAATGTAAGATTTGTCGTCATCATCATAAATGGACAGTCAAAATAGTTTTTTCCTCACAAAATGATAATTGTGCATTTTGAACAAACTACTGTATTCAGGGAAATGGGCGAGCAAACTTACTATCTATCCCTAAAAATCCAACCATTCATGATGTTTTAATGACTCTTTATTAACCTATTTAATGTCTGAAAGAGGCTGATCTCTCTGGGAACCGTCCCAAGACCAACATGAATAATGGAGTAACTTCGTTGAAGTCCTCTTTGTCATCTTATACGGCGGTTCTGCATGCTTGTTTGCGCGTATTTCTATAGTTTAAAAAGGTGATGTACATTAGATTAGTTTTTTTTCCGTAAGATTAGCACTGACCAAAGGCGTTGTCATGGCACGTTCCCAACATTTCCAACACTAGCAGTTACACCAGGTCTACCCAGAAAGCCGTGCGCGTCTGTACAGTCGTGGTGCCGGTGACGGGCTGATGACAGCGAGAAGTGGGCCCACTCACAGATTCATACTGGTGCTGAATATTTTTAGAGAGATCGTTTTGTTCCGACCCGTCACACGTCTGCACCGAGGCAGCAGGCTGGCGTGCCAAGTGCGACACGCCAGAGGCCAGATAGAGTTTCAGTATCGCACCGGTCGGTCAGGGCTCGCTTTCGGTGTCGTCTGGCGGTGCCGCGACTAGAGAGCGCACTTGTGCCTCCATGGTGGACGTAACGTTGTCGCCGTACTTCTCGGATGCTGCGTTTGTGCCGTGAGAAGTCACCGGCAGGTAGGTGTAGGGTATTGATTGGACACGTCGCAGAGGGCGGCTTCTTGGAATACAGAATAACGAGCGCCACCACTCTGCGTTGAAATGTGCGCCTGCTGCATGTCACTTGGGGTACCGTACTCTACTTTTCCCCCACTCAAAACTGCTGTCTGGAACAACCTGGCTGCAGTGTTTGGCTCTAATTTGCAGCATGAAAATCAACGTAGATGCTTTTGGTAAGCATTGGATGGATCCATCGTTGTACACGTTTTGCGGACGTACACAGGAGTATATTGTGGAAATCATGCCATAAATTTGACATTTGGGACGCGACCTGACATAACCGCCTGTACGGGTCCTGACCCCGACAGTTATAGACTCCGCCGCGCCGTGTATGAATGTCGCGCCGAAATATTGGGTTGTTTTGTGTAACTAGTAGGGAGGGAAGGGCGGCTGGACTCGAAAAGGTAATATTGATTTTTCATGGGAAAACTGGGTCAACTGAGGGCAAGGTCCCTGTGGGACAGTTGCTAGTAACTTGCTACATGTACCTTTAAGACTGAAGTTCTAGAATTTAGTATTACAAATGTTTAACGGATGTTTGTATCTGTCATATGGTCACTAGGTATATGTACATTGAGCGGACCAATCCTTGTGTTAAACAATACCTTTCGCACTAGCTGCAGTCATCTCCAGAAAGACAGCGGGAGCCGCATACTTCCCGTTTAGAATTATATTCAGCCTGTCACCTTCATGTGGTCACCAGAGTTAGACGACCTGTACTTAACCCTGCTAAAGTTACAATAAAGGTCCTCATTCTTCATCCAACGTAAATAGTGCAGAACATCATTTCACGCTTATGTAGGTGTCCTCCGGTGAGACTGGCAAGATCTAGCAGGAATACTTCCGTGACAGCCGATTTTCCTTCTGTCCTGTCTCCTGTGCTGAATTTTAAATGTTGCAAAATATAGGAAATACCTATGTTGTCCGACTAAGAGCTGTATTTCAAGCAATCGGCTGTTGGAACCCATCTAATACACATCGTGATCACGTGCGCCACGGGTTGCTGCTACATGATCTTTTAAAAACAAGGTCTACCTGTCGGCGTTCTCAGCCCCGACATACGGCCTACCGGTAGGGGTTACAGTTTTTCATGGGGACAGTGCAAGCCCACAGTAGGGGTACGCCGCGGTATGTGCTGGCCACACCTGCCAGCCTCTAACCAGCAACGATGTTTGTTACCTCCGGGAAGGAAGTTCACCTGCTCTCCGACGGGGATATTGTTTTGAGTCTTGTTTGTGTTTGTTTGCGCCTACACAAGTACAAATATAATGCACGATCCTTTTTTGATATATTTGTTTGATTTGGTATGTACGTAGTTATTGAAGTCCCGAGGAAAATGGCGATTTAGGTCATTTTAGCGGTATTTTCAGACACTGCAGCATAACAGGTTGATACTCCTTTGACATACTTAAGCAAGGAGGTTATTCCTTGGTGTAAGTTTTAGGTGACGTTCTAGTGAAGTTCTTCCTACCGGTAACATCATCAACATGCGCCTATCAGGTAAAGCTATCTCTCGGTGCTTCCGGTTGCCGTGTTGTAGATGTCTGTGGACGGTTTATCTCATCACCCTCTCTTGGTGAAGTCTGGCGAGTGATAGTCCCCAGTCCTCCGCCCGCCGCTCCGTGTTTTCATTGGCACGAGGAGCTCTTTAATTGGGCTCCAGCTCGGGAGGATGTTTGGATGTCTCGGGACTTGAGTGTTCCATCGCGACGACTGGCCGGACGTGCATCGCGCAGAACTGCGGCATTTCCCGACAGCCTGCAGCTTACCAAACCCCTGCTCCTTCAGCGTATGTAAGTCTTCAGTTAACGATGTATACAGATAGGGGCAGTCCGAATACTTCGTTACAATTTTCTCCCAACCTTTCGAAGTTTGCGTGTACGTGCGAGTTGGCCTGCTTCCTCCTGACACCGCCGTTGTTTGTGCAGGGAAGACCGGCCACTGGTCCAGCGTCTCCCGGGCACAAACTTTCAATTAGCAGAGTGTTCCGTGTTTTTCTGTGTGTAAACTTAGACTTGTTACAGGGTCAGGGAGCACGGAGAGTCTGGTCTTTGGTTGTGTCACTGCCAGGTCCGCCTTGTATGTGTATGCGTGCGTGCGTGCGCGTGCGCGCGCATTCGTCACAGGTGTTATAACATCAGCGAAATAGAGAAATGTGGGAATGTATCTGCTGAAATACTATAGGAACGTTGATTATATTGACATTATGTGAAGAAATGTTTTCATATATTACTCATCTATTCTGGTTTGTAGACTATTTCATACATACCATACACTGTCTCCTCTCACCTCCACTTCAGCACGAGTAATAGTGAGCTTATGAAGCCTGAAGATCGAGAAGAACACAAAGTTTACCCGCAACTTTGCGACAATTCTATTATAGCAAATGAAATATGCCTTTCAGCTATATTTTGATAGAGCTTCAGAGGCGTTTCGGACAAACCATGTGTATAATAAAGCTCATTTACTCTTACATCCGTCGTTGTAATAAGGAAAAACCGTTTCCCTGTATCATTACCATGACGTGTGCGTATTAGTTTACAATACAGTGAATTATACTTCGTCCATTCATTCATTCATTCATTCATTCTTTTTCTTCCAGACTAGACAGCAGATGACCCCTCCGTGCACACAGGGCTGTTCATCCTGGCTGTGCCAACGAGCTGCCACCCCCCTCCTGTCAGGAAAACTCCTAGTGTTGGGCACGTGCCTTCTGTCGCTGCTGTACCTGTACGGCTACGGGAGCTGGAGCGCGGGGGGAGGGCAGGATGTGTCGTGGACGGTGGCTGACGTCTGGTTACCGCGGAAAGGCGTCACAGACACAGATGATAGGAGGACACCTCCTAACGCTTCAAGATCGGGAGAAAGAACTAGATTCGGTCATGGAAATAAAGTATTGTTACATGACAGAATTGCTCAGAATGCGGTGCAATCTAGAGACTTTGGACCAAGTGTCACAGACAGAGCGGACGAAACTAAAAGTGTTGCAACTGTGGAAAATATCCCAATTAGAACGGAATTCGGCGCGAGAAAGGTTTGGGATGAAAGACGGACACCAACCGCCGACAGAAACAGCGCTCGTGGCAGCACAGGAAAGCCTGAGGAGACACAGACGACACCTGCAGATAGGCACGGGACAGGGTCCGTTTCCAAGGCAACCGAGTCTGGGAACGAGGCAACGGGAACGAGCGGAGCTGCCGACACGGAGAGCGAAAATTCCCAGGATTCCTCGGGGTTTGATATGACGAGGGAACTAATGAGGCGGAATCCAGGGGTAAGTGTTGTTACAGCTTTTCTCGGGTTTCTATTAAATCTGGTTGTAATCAGAAAGAAAATGTAGGAGAAATGGAGGGCAATTCTCTGTGACAGCAGGGCGCGTTTGGTTCTTGTCATTCGTCTGTGACCTCTGGGTTTGTTTGTGTTTCGTCTTAAAGTTTGTTCCAAGAGAAACAAACAGTATAAAGTAAGAAAAAGTAGGTCGTATGTGACAGGTCAAAACTTGACCTACATGATACCTGTTTTATTTGATGTTCAATGAGAAAGTGACATGCTAACAAAAAATAAATGCTTTTCTGGCGTTCCTATGAAATCAGATAAGATGCCAGCATGTCCTCTGGAAAAATAAACTTCACCAGAACGTACGATAGGCTAGATGTCATTCATTATCAAGCACCGGTGCCACTCTACCCGCACGTTGAAGTTTCCAACTGAAAATAACAAATGTACGTGCAATCACTGCAACAGTCAGTGTGGTGAAATGGAAAAGCCATTATCACAGAAGGTCAAACCAACGTGGGAAATTCACGGAGAATCCGGATATCCTCTGGATGGGGGTATTTGGCAGAGCCAGGGAAACAGGAAAATCTCACGTCTAGTGTGTCTGACTTCAGATGTCATACAGGGATAGTCACGCAGATCTAACAGGACCACAGGGTCAATGTCGTACAAGTTTAATTGATATTTGCCACCCCAGTGCTGACTGGAATGTGCCGTTACCAGCTGCAGGTTGTACAGAACCCGTGCAGGCCCAGCTCCCCCGGTACCGCCTGCCGTAATCACGGGGTGACTCTGGGCCACATTCCTCCTGTACCAGCTTGTCCAAAAATCGTATCATGTACAGCGCACTTACTCGGCATGTGACCTCTACTGTTATGATATATCATGGCAGATTAACCACACGTAAAACGCTTTGTTAGTCAGGGGAATCTGAGACTAACCTGGATCATCAGATATCCATATCTGCAGAAGTAACGGCGGCGAAAATGGTTTGCCGATAACCCCTATGCCATGAGATTGCTGTGTCATAAATAACGAGTGAAGGTGTCGATAGTATGCGATAATAATGTGTCGACATAACGCAGCTGTTGAAAGACAAGTTTAGCTATAGGGGGAAAGAGAGAGGAGGGACTCGGGCGATGAAGTAAGGAGGGAAGTACAGTAGGTAGTTGGAACAGGGGCATAGGAGGGAGGTTGAAAAATAATTGGAACTACATGTACAACGTTACAAGATGATCAAGTGATGCGCAGTTTAACTTAAGTATGGCGTTCGGAGAGCTGCTCAAGAAATAGTCAAAATTTAGACACCAGTTTAAAAATGACAATGAATGTAGCCGTTTGTCTCAGCCTCCGGGGTGAATGGCCCTCTTGAATTGGCTGACATTCAATACTTGAATGTACCAATCCTGTCGCTTGTCTGGAGTTTCTAGCTGCACGGGCAAAACCTCTCCAAGTGCACCCCATGAGAAACTTAAGACATATGACTCCCGCTGATAGGACCTAAACACCTGGCATATATTCAACATGTAGGTCTTGTTAACCCCGCTTGTGATTAATGACCTTAGCAGAGTCAAGTGCATGTGCAGACTTGGCCTTGGGGATTTTAACCCATGCATGTGCTTTCATTTTGTGAACCGTGCGTCTTCTAAAATCCAGATATAGCCACATTAGGGTGGATAATGGCAAACATAGACGGCCTTGGTTGGCAAGAAAGATTAGTAAACAGCCACAGGCTTTCCTGGGATATATTTGCCAACATACTTGTCAAATCCCTTTAGCACTCCGGCCCAACACGGATCTCACAGGTCAGATTTAAGTGCAGGAAGTCGGACCCACGTCACTTAAGTACACAGGAATGTTGATGAAGAGCTGGGTTTGGTAGACAAAGAAACTTTTTTTTACCTTCTGATTTCACAGCACTCTTTGCTGAGAGAACTTGTTTAGTGTAACGATTGTCAGAGAACAGACCTGGTAACGATGTTTCCAATTTACAGGCTGATTTCGTTTTGATTTTCTTTACTACAGCGTAGAATGTAAACAAGACCTTTATACTTAATTACAAAGCAAAACGTACCGAAAATTCTATTATCTATACGTAATTGGCACGACCGGGGGCCTGAATGACTTACTAATATGTCTGCAATTACCTGCTGAAAAGCACACAACTGAGATAATGTGAGGACAAACAATGTTTTGTAGTTCATAGTAACATCATTTCGTTCGTTTGTCGGGTTGGGGTTACCCCCGTAAATGGCTTTGCGCCACAGCATTTCAAACCGACACATTGTGTCATTTTTCCAAGACGGTTCTAAACATGGCGAATGCACATCTGGTTACCCCGTGCGAAAACTTGAAAGGCAAGAGCGGAACGAGCAATTTACCTCTCATGACCTTTTAAAACCCAACGTTAACTGTTATTTCCTGAAATAGTAACGATGAATCTGTTTCTTTGTAGATCTTTGCAACCATCCCCAGACAGACTCTTCCTAATTACAAGAACCCGTGTTGGTTCGAGGAGGTCCCGGAAACAGAGCTGGACTCCAATCCGTACAGAAACACGCACTACTACTCCAGCATCAGGAACAGGCTCAACCTGCTGGCCAGGCAGTTCCGGGACAGGCTCACGGACAACGGCAAGGTTCACCTCCGCTTCAGGTGAGGAGGTTTAGGAGGAATAGATCTGATATGCTCTCTTCCTGTAATATTACCTCCCACGCGTTATGTTTACTGAAGACAAACATATTGTTTTTTCTCAGTTTCCTCATCTTCTTCTTCTTACCGTTCCAAACACTGACCTCTGACCTGGTCAACCAGACTGTCTCTCACCATGGTAACTGGTGTTGGGTTACATCATGTTGCAATTTTGTAGTAGGAGGGATTGAGACTCCTGTCACCAAATATATGAAAGCGTTTGAGTAAGAATTAACAGAGCAGACCATGCCATATGCGAAGGTAAAAATTATGCATTTGCTTTGCAAATATTGCCTTACTAGTTTGTACGATGTATTTGAAGTTACAAACCTCTAACCGTCGTCCCTTGTCCCTACAGATGTGCGCCGTACTTTTACATCATCGGCATGCCCAAGTGTGGAACCACCGACCTGTACTATCGCCTCATCAAGCACCCGGATGTTGTTGGTGGTCTGGTCAAGGAACCCCATTGGTGGACCAGAAGACGTTTCGGCGGGCGAACAGGTATAATGCCAGTAGCTTAAAAAACCTTAACCACTGCAATGCGTTCCATTTTACTTCCATTATAGACAGCTCCTAAACAGACACACGGAAGTCGATGAAAGAGTGTTGGATGACATCCCAAAGCTCCCGGATATGGATAGCTTAGTCAACCTCCCTACTACTGAAGAAGTGAGAGCAGCACTTGGATCCCTTAAAAACAACAAGGCTGCGGGACCGGACGAGGTACTTGGTGAAGTCCTCCGGCACGGTGGCGAGGAAGTTGTTCAGTGTCTCCACTCCTTTGTAGTTGCCTGCTGGAACTCAGGCTGTGTTCCACAGCAATGGAAGGATGCAGACCTCGTCAGCATCTACAAGAAGAAAGGAGATAGGGCAACCTGCAGCAACAGCCGCGGCATTTCACTCCTGTCCAGCGCTGGCAAGGTGCTAACTAGGATCATGCTCCTGAGACTCATCCAGGCTGTGGCGGAAGAGGTTCTCCCAGAGAGCCAATGTGGGTTTAGGAAGGACCGCAGCACAGTCGACATGATCTTCGTACTCAGACAGCTACAGGAGAAATGCAGGGAGCAGCACCAAGATCTCTACATGGTCTTTATTGACCTAACAAAGGCCTTCGACACAGTGAACAGGCCACTCCTGTGGGAAGTGCTCAAGAGATTTGGATGCCCCAACAGGTTCCTGACAGTACTTAAAGCCCTGCACGAAGGAGCCATGGTCCGAGTCCTAGGCAGTGGAAGTAAGTCAGACCCGTTCCAAGTCTGCACAGGTGTCCGACAAGGGTGCGTCATCGCTCCAGTAATTTTCAACTTGTTCCTCGCCGCAGTGATGCTAGCAGCTAAGAAGCGCATCAACCCCGAGGACTGCATCTCCCTCACATACAGATTGGACGGTAATCTGTTCAATCTGCGCAGGCTGAAAGCCCACACAAGAGTCACACACGAGGAGGTACTAGAGCTGCAGTACGCAGATGACGCAGCCATCACTGGCCATACTACCGCAGGTCTACAGAAAACTTAGATATACTAGACGACACGTACACACGAGCTGGACTCCTCATAAACTGTGGCAAAACAGAATCAATGGACCAGAGCCATCGGGAGGCTGAGCCTGCTACGTTCCACATCAAAGACACGCCCCTTAAGAACGTCCCAACCTTTACCTACCTGGGCTCTGTTCTCAACGCCTCGGGTGATATCACTGATGAAGTCCAGAGACGTATAGGTCTCGCCTCTGCATCCTTTGGGAGTCTCTCCAATAGGGTGTTCCTGAACAAGGACCTCACAACCAAGACAAAAGTCGCGGTGTATAGGGCAATCTGCCTTTCGATCTTACTGTACGCATGCGAGACTTGGACAACATACAGACGACACATTCGCATGCTTGAGCAGTTCCACACGAGATGTCTCCAAAGAATACTCGGCTTGAAGTGGTGGCACAAGGTCCCACATGGCGAAATCCGCCGCAGAGCACACGTGGAACCGCTGGAAACACTGCTCCTCCAGAGACAGCTAAGATGGGCCGGTCACGTCATTCGCATGCCCGGCAACCGCCTCCCAAGACATATTCTGTACGGAGAACTCACCAACGGCAGCCGCTCTGTCGGTGGCCAGCACAAGCGGTACAAAGACAACTTGAAGTCAAATCTCAAGAAGTGCGGTTTGCAGCCTCACCGTCTAGAAGAAGCTGCTGCGGAGAGAAGTAGGTGGCGCCAGGAGTGCGCTACAGGGATCATCACATATACAGCAGAGTACAACCGCCTGCGCGAGGAGCGCAGACAACGACGACACCAGCCCCCGAGCAGCACGGGAGAGCACGCATGCGACGTCTGCGGACGGACCTGCCTCTCCAGAATAGGACTTGTTAGCCACAGAAGGACACACAGAAGTGACGTCATCGTCGGCAACGACGGACAGCCTTAAGTCAAGTCAAGTCACTTCCATAATACTTCCAGGTGCTAAAGTGTTGTGGTATGAACACCTCGCACCATATTGTTTTGGCTGAGCCGTGGGTTTGTGTGCCTGTTTGTCCGGAGAGATTAGAATAATAGCACTTGTGTGGAGGGAGAATTGACTTGACAGGATCACAAAGTCAGACACAGGAAATGTGGTGAGGTCGAAGGTTACGAAAACCCCAAAATTCTGAAGTCGGAAGTTTGCATTTGACTTCTTGTCGACATTGTTATTTATTTAAGGCGCAAATGTCTATTGTTTCGTACCCGGTAACAAAGACCCTGTTCATACCAGACTTATATTTAGCGGTTTCAACCGGTTTTTCAAAAACCTGGCTAAAACCCTTAGCGTTCATACCAGACTTTTGATAACCGGTTTTGTAAAAATCCTGTCCGGTGAATATCCAATTAATCGGCCATGACTGAATAACCGTTCTTCCCGCTCTTCTGATTGTTGTCCTTGGCCTTCTTGCTTGTATGCCGTCTTCAGTTTGTTTTTTTACCTTAGTGCGGCACTGATCCTTTATCTTCAAGAAATCAGCCTCTTTCAACATTTGTTTCGGTAGAGCCCTCGCCCCCCCCCCTAGCTTTTTCGAATTTGGCGACTCCTGCTCTCCAAACCTAAGCAGGAGCGTCCCGTTCGCCGACCAGGTTGCGTTTGCTGATTTCATCGTAAAATGAAGAAAAACCGTGGAAAAACAGTGGAAACGAACTCAAGTTGGTCAAAACAACGCGATCAAAAAAGCTTAGAGGTCGCACACGGCCAGGATGCTGACCCTGTGACCCCGGAATTATGACGCAAAAACCGGTTCAATAAACCCTTAGCGTTCAGACCAGGTTTTTCGGTGGAAAAACCCCACAAAAACCCAAAATCGGATTTAAACCCCTAAAAAACCGGTTAATTTGCGTTCACACCAGGTTAAATAAAAACCGGTTTTTGAAAAACCGGTTGATACCGCTAAATATAAGTCTGGTATGAACAGGGTCAAAATTTCGTTTTTGTTCCCATGGGTTAAGCAAATAAACTGAAACTGGTTAGTTAATATTTCAGTGTTCCTTCGTTCTATTTCAGGTGTCCCAAACAACTCGTCAGCCCCCATCAGAGACTACGTGGATCTGTTTGACGAGGCGGCGTGGACCATCAGGACCACGATCAGAAACCGACTGTTTCTGGGGAGACAACAGATGGTCCAACATGACGTCATCACAGGTAACAAAGAGTGCACCATCCAGCACCAAGATTTCAATACCAAGAGACCCTTAACCCTAACAACCCGGACACACGAGCATGAACTTAAACAGAGACACTGAAATCAAAACCTCAAGATAACATCCTAGAGTCTGTAATACTAGTACTCTCTTGTCTGTCCTAACTTAGGCCATGTTTGATTATGTGGATGACATCTTCTGAGAAGCCCAAAACCGATGCGGGCGTGCGTTTGGCAAAAAAGAAAGTTGCTTTCATTATGAAATGATAGTATGGTATGGCGAATAATCTAGTCTTCAAATTATTTCTTTACATTTTCGTCTTTTTCGTTTGATCTTGGCAATCTACGACATTGTTATCGTTTTCGAATATTTTTTTCAACTTATTATAATAGCCTGACCAGTGTTCTGTTAATTGCCCATGTTGCGTCCTACAGGAGAGGGTAGCGCCTCCACCATGTGGGACAACAGGCGGTGGAGACAGGAGCTGTGGAACACCTCCAACAGCGAGCCGCCCATGCTGGTGGCTAACCTGCTGCGGGCCGTGCAGCCACACGCCAGGTTCATCCTCACACTCAGGAACCCCACGGAAAGGTGCGCACAGAAAGACAGGCAACACTTTCCACTTTCGGGGCGGGCTCATTCGACGTAGGTCGTCGTACGATTTAATGGAATTCTCAAGCAGGCTGTGACAGAACCCCCACTAACAAGAAGCTAAGACAGCGTGTTCTGTAAAGATGATCCATCCAAGAAGGCTCCCATTTTGCGATCGTATGCGACCGGGTCGTTGAATCCTAAGTTCTTTTACCACAAGATATGTTCAAAAGTGGTACATGTATATTTGTTTGGCTACTGATAATGAACAGTGTTGTTTTACCTACAGATTATACTCGGAGTATCTCTACTTCACCGAAGGGAACAAGTCCGTTGAGGATTTTAACAACAGAGTCATTCACGCCATCGATATCTTCAACAACTGCCTGAGGAATAATTCCGTACGGGCCTGCACTTACGAGCCTACTCTTCCTGTCATACCAAACGTAAGCATTGAAGTCTGTGAAACATCCTGTTGTGGCTTCTACCTTTCCCTTATATGCTCAATCATGTGCATACGTCTAAAGTGTGAGTCAAGAGCGACGCCGTGCGATTACAAGTAGAAAGGCGTCACTGTTTTCTTCACTCAGTACTTCGGAGCTCAGTACACAAACAAGTATACGCGATGTTGTTTCCCCTTCTTTGTCCGTATCTTTCTCTCCTCCCTTTGCCTTTTGTAATATTTTCCTACATCATTACATATCCTTATATTATTGATATTCACTTCCAATTGCGCATTTCCCCAAGCTCACAACATCGCGTTGACCAATGCATAACATTTTCCCTTTCCTGTTGATCTCGTTCCCAGGTGAGACTACAGCTGGGGGCTGTATGACGTCTACCTACGCGACTGGTTCTCCATTTTCCCCCTGGACCAGATCCTGGTACTGCGTCTGGAGGATCACTCCAAGGATCCACGTGAAACAATGACAAAACTATTCAAGTTCTTACAGCTTGGTTAGTAGCAGTTTTGTGTCACCCCTCTGGTGTACTATGAGAAGATGGAGTGCAGAATAAATTATTAGTATGTTCCTGTGTCCTACTTTATGGAAATTGAGAATTCAGCTCAATAGAGTGACGATTTTGCAAGAAAGGGCGCGAAACTGGGCAAATAAATGTCAATTAACACAGGATGATATTGACCGTGATACATATATCTGCGTGCACTGCTGAAGTGACATTTTCTTAAAAGGAAAACATTCATACAGTAAGTCGAGTGGGGCATCGTCTCATTTAAAAGTAAGATCGCTGTGTCGATACAGCATTAATAGGATGACCGTAGCAGAGGTAGTGCTGTAGAAAACTGTAGTTCCATGACATGACTCCATTCTCAAGAGGTCATGTACAGCACCTATGCTCGTTTTGTCATCTCTCGGTCTGTTTGTGCCAATACTTATGCTTGTGCCTTGTCTTACAGCCGCTGTCAAAGACGATGATGATACAGACGCCATCTTCGGCTTGCACAAGAGAAATTCTCGGAAAAAGAACGACCTCCGCTTGGGCCCAATGCTGCCGCAAACCCGGCAGATCCTCAACGAGTTTTATGGACCACACAATCGCCGACTTGCGTCGCTGTTAGACGATGAGAGATTCCTCTGGCTAAAGGAATAGATCTGTTTGAGATTCCTACTGTGTCCTGTCCGAACTACTTACCCCCTCCCCATTCTTTGACAATCAATAGACACGGGGAAGACGAAGGGACGCCAGTGGTTACATAGATACAGCAAGATACTGGGAAGAACGCCGTGCTTCCGGAAAGCCTCTATTTTATAAAACATTTGCCCACTAGCTTTCTGTGTCACTTGAATTGGATAGTTCCGTCTGTGCCTGACTCTCTAATGTAGGATATCATCATATTGATGGATTAAATCCGTACTATGTACGATTGACATGTGCATATATTTCATCACACTTTTAAACTCACGTTCGATTGTTTGTTTGTTTGTCACGGCGTAGACCGTCTGTTTTGATACTTGAGAATTGTCTGCGATGAAACTCAAAATGTGTATAAACAATCTGCAATACGCCATCATTAATTTCTGTTTAATTACACCGGGGGACAGCAATAGTCACAAAATTCTGTTTGTACCGTCACCTATGGCTGACAATGTGCAAATAAATATTGCTGGACGTCCGGACTTCTTTTGTTCCATTACTCCCTTGTAGCAGCCACGTTCGGTCACACTCATGTTACGCTTGTCGCACGGCCGCAAACTGAGGGCATCCTGAGGATAGTCGTGAATGTGTCATACAGATTTCAGATGTCTTGTTACAAAAACCAAAAGCCTACGACGGCCTACAGCGAATGTGACCGCGTCGTTATGTCGGCGATGTGGAGGTGGTGGTACGAGGTACTTCACCACGCCCAGGTTTATGACATGATGTATGATTTGATGCAGGGTGATTGTGATGTGAAGGAATAGTTGTCTATGATCAATGTGAAATGATAACAGGCGCGTTCATTTAAAATTGACACCAAGGATTACGCAGTTCCGTTGATGACGTTAGGTCTCAATTTTAGATTAAAATTTCATGAAAGTGGATGAGATGTATTTGGTGCCATGCTATGTACGCTAGAGATAATATCTTTTGTTGAGTACAGTGAACATTGAACGAAATTAAAAGCACTCCAGAGACCAGCCATTTCAAGTAGTAACATACGAGCCCAACGGCTAAGATTCACACTCTCAACATTTTGATTACAAGAAGACAGTAACGCGAAGTACTTCATCACATCGCACACACACGCAAAGACACACACATATACACCACATACACAAATACACATTAAGTTAAGTGCATCATGTAAGAAAGGGTGGATCGTTTTATGGTAACAGCAATGAAGCACTTCATGTGATTTGAAGAGTATAATCAACATGATTCATGGGCACTCAGAAACTTAACGGGAAGAAACAATAAAAGTATCTCTTGGGATACGAAGATTGGTCCTCTATCACTGCCACCGTGTAATGACGCCGAGTCACGACTGAACATCCATACTGCAATTATGTCCGCTTATGTCATATTTCACGTCGACCCAGCCAGTAGGACGTGTATTCGTGCTTTTACATGGGACTGAACAGGTACGGCTGCGATGTGGAGTCCCGGGCTGTGATGGCGATGCTTTTGAAGAAGGTGAGGACAGGAGTTATAATGTTAGAGGTTCATAACTTCAAATTTCTGAGTTGGATATGAACTGGTCCATACTCTGCCGCCATGATGCAGTTTTACTAAGTTTCAAATATGTGGCTCCATAACAGCAAACATTTTGCTTGAAACGTGATACGTTTCTATGCGGACACATTTTTACAATCAACTGGTCAATTTACTTTCGTATGTGCTGTTGCAACTTCTTTCTATACCCGACCTCTACAGCTAACCATAGTCGCCCTCTTCATCATCAGCGGCTTCGGCACTGATACTGAAGGTAAGGGTCTTAGTTTCGATGGATATAGATAGACAGATCACGTCATACTAGAAAGGCCTGTTGTGTCTGGTTGAAATTCTCAACCACATTTAAGTAAGTTTTTAAGTCTACTCACTGTACAGAATTACGTAACTACAATCGGCAATAGAAATTGTGAGAACAGTCTCTAAGGGCCTGGTCGTATTCGTCGCACGACCGTCGTGCGATCGCAAAAGGAGGGTCATTCCTGGGATAATCCTATATGTGTCCTGCAAAATTCAACTACTGTCATGTTACCAAGAAAGCTGAGATCTTTGTCGACGACTGGTTCTGTCACAGCCTAATGTGCAATCCTACGACATCCATACAGTGCGACGACTTACGACGAACGTGCGTTTGTGAATTCGCCGTAGACAGCTTCTTATAAGTGCTCATTTCATCGTTATGAAAATATTTCTGTGTGAATGTTGCCTGTCTGTCCAGCCCTATGTTACGCGCCGCTGGGCATGGCTGAAGGCCAGATCTCCGACTGTGAGATCACGGCGTCCACTTGGGCCGACTATTTCCGAGCTCCCGCCCGAGCTCGGCTGAACGGGGTCTGGGAGACCGGCGGGTACGCAGGGGCCTGGTGTGCCGCAACAAACGACAATAACCCCTGGATACAGGTATGGTGTTGGTACTTTATTTTCTTTATTTCAATATCGATATCACAAAGGAAAATTAATTATAGAATGAAAGCTGGAGCCACTTGTAATAGCCCCACGTCTGAGGTGGAGAAACCGAGTATGGAGGGTTTTCATTGACGTCATAATGATTATCATGTGAATCTCGGCGACCAGGTGTTGGCGGGTAATTAAACTGATTAAGTAGCAGCATCTTGGCGTGTTTAACAGACAAAACTGTAAACCAACATGGCGGATGTGAAAAGCGTGTATATATACAATGAACTAGTACAGGACATCAAGGACAATTACATGTAATGTAAGAACAGTCTCTGAAGGCAAGGTCACATTCGTCGCACAATCGTACGATCGAAAACTGAGGGCATTCTTGGGTATAATGCCCTTGAGGACATGTATCATGTCGGGATGCCCCATAAAAATCGCATGTCCATATAACCCACCTTCTCAGTTCCCACAGAAGAGGTGTATCGCGTGTTTTCCAGGTGAAGTTCTCGGGGAGGGAGGTGAACGTGAGCGCGGTGGTGCTGCAGGGCCGGCAGGACCAGGACCAGTGGGTCACGCAATACAGATTCACGTACAGCGCCGACTGCCAGACGTGGAACACGTACTACGATACGGGAAACAATGACGTACGTATATCATCGATATCGGCAATGTCCAGTTCAGATTAGCCCACATAGGAGCTTTTCTAGAGATTGATTTTTTTCAGCCTAAGGCCACATTGACTTGGATATATATGGATAAATTTGCGTCCGATCTATGTCACATAAAGCTTAAATAGAAGTGAAACATTTGAATAGCTCAAGTGAAACGTTTCCCCATTGCGACATAATACCTATGCTATGCTGCCCCAGTGGAGGTTTGCTCCTATATACTGCCCCATTGCGTGTCTCGGTGCAGGTTCAGACCGGCGTATCCGACAGGAACACGGTGGGGGTCATGGCGTTGTCCTCCGCCGTCACGGCCAGATGTATCCGCATCCACCCTGTCAACTCTGTGGGAGGTTCCGAGCCGTGCCTGCGCTTCGAGCTGCTAGGGTGTACTGTCAGAGGTGAGACTAGATTATGAAGAAGCTATCTCCAATATTATCTCCGGAAGACTGCCAGCTAAAATTAGCAATTTGTTTTTCTTTATACGACCGTCACTGACATGAGCACGTCTTTGGCGTAGTGCTAACTAGGGTATGTCACAACTGCGGATAAGTAATCTGGAGAATCTGCCTCTTTCTCAACCCATCACTGCCGTTGACAACCGACAACCCTAACACAATGTGGTCAACATTTAAATTTGTCTCACAATGACTCCACTGCTCTAAAGAGAACAGGTGAGACCTAATAACAGAATGCAGCTGAAGGTATGTTTTCATGTTTCCTTGTTTGAGTTATTGATTTGTAAAACATTTCCTCCCTTCGACAGAGTTTGCTGAGGACGACTGTCCGCCGGGGTACACAGGACACGGCCCTTACTGTTACAAGGTCTTCACTAGCGCAAAGAACTTCGCCGACGCCAGGGCGACCTGCGCCACGGACTACATGGGCGGCAAACTCGTCATCATTAGGGACGCTGTAACACAGCAGGTACCGTGCGCGCGTGCATCGGGCTATCGATAAGACAATCAATAGCCCGTATACAATACCCGATTGCGACGCAGTTTGTCCTGTCGCCACAGCGGACTGGTTAAGACTAGACAGGGGCAACAAAGTAGCTTCTGTACCATCCCGGTATATGCCTGTAGCGACTGTGGGAGCGGACGTAAACTAACCAGCTGGTACCCAGGCTTGCAACAAACTTGTACAGCTTCATTTTTTCTCAATGTGCCTTGAAATATGGAGACCTTGACATGTATTTCTTTCTTTATTGTATAGTTTGTTGAGAGCCTGCGGCATGACCCCACCGAGTCCTACTGGATCGGACTGGACGACATAGCAGCAGAGGGGCGATGGGTGTACTCAGACGGGCAGCCCATCGGAACCATGAATAGGTAACATCCATATCCAAATGTGTAATACTATCAGAATGTTTGTGTTACCCCATTACATCTGACTTTCCTACCTTTTGGGCGTTTTTATAACATGTAGGCATTTTATCTGACTTTCTACTATTTTGTTAAAATCCGAACCTAAACCTAAAAACGTCTAAAACAAGCCTCACCTCTGCTTGGGGAGTATGTCTGCCCCCAAAGTAACAGGTTGCAGCTGACGTGAGCAGTCCAAGATTGTCAACTCACGCGTCTGTCATTTTATTTCTGGTATTATCGTCTGATCTAGATGGGGTTCAGGGGAACCGACTATTGCGGACTGTGGTTACATGTCACCGGATGGGACCTGGGGTGCCTCTACTTGCGGACAAACTAAGCTTTACATCTGTCAAGCAGATCCCCGCACATGCACACGTGAGTTGCCGGGGGCTGTAGCAATGAGAACTAAAAACGCTTCGGCGACATGAAGCTGTGCTTTGCGCCATAATGCCGATCTAAGCGCCGCTTGCAAAGCAGCATCGCTTCTCTGTCTTTGCTTGCACCTTTTCCTTCTTTGCTTTGCCGTAGTGTAGCTGGCTTCCAGGGCAGCCTAATGACTATCCAGGGGATGGTGACTGCGCGCGACTGGATGAATCTGGGTGGAATGACTTCGATTGTTCGGCTTCCCATCCCTTTATCTGTGAGATGGACCCTCACGCCAACACACGTAAGGTTTCGATCACGCTTGCACTTACGCTCACACTATCACTCACGCTTATACAGGCACAGGATGTCGTATGCTTAATCATAGAGCACGGTTTGCAAGGCAACTGTATAAGTTTTCTGTTACCTTTCATGTAGTATTTCATATCGATGTGTAATCTTAGTAATGCAAATTCCTTGATTAATGAAAATCAACATTTGTATCAACAATATTCAATCATTTTAAGCATTCACGCGCGAAACATTTCAGTAATGTATACATAAACATATCTGAGTTTGGGTCAATTCTAATGTGTGATGTAATGTGTAATGTGTAATGTATATAAACGTCTGGAGCCCATTTCAGACCGATGTGTTCTGTTGTAGATACGTACCTCCAGCATTTCCTGCCCATCCCTGGGTACAAGAACACCGCTACTGCCCAGACCCACACCCACACGCCGGGAGCCCCTCCGGAGATCTGCGCACAGGCCTGCGTCTCAGCAGCCGGCAGCTGCAGGTATGGGCCCCGTCACAGGCGTCGTGCGATCGTCATTCGTAAAACTGAGGGCACCATGACTTGGGGAAGTCGTGCACGTGTCCTGAAAAAACAAATCAAGTGTCTGTTACGGAAGAGGTTGCCTTAGATCCTTGTCAGTCGTTAGTTCTGTCACACCGTGCTTGGAAATACTACGAGATCAAAATCGCACGACGACCTACGATGAATGTGACCGCGCCATGAAACTGTTTGATAAATCAAAAAGAAATATAAACAAGAAGCCATAGGCGACAATTCTCCGTGAAGTATTATATATTGCAACAAAAAGAAGTAGCCATTGGCGACAATTCTCTGTGAAGTGTGATAAATCGAACAAAGAAAAATTGTTTAAACGCGCGTCGGCTCAGTCATCTTAAGACGCAATAACCAATCAGAGATGCGAGATGCCTACACGTGACGCAGGAAGGGCGCGCGATGCCCGAAATATTTTTGCGTCAATATTCAGCGCCGTGATTCAAGAGATTAATACCCGGAAACAATTTTTTTCTTGTTTTGAACGCATTAACACACATTTACGCTAATCTAGTATGATTCAGGGTTACTTTTTTTTAACCTGCCATGGCCAGATTATCTAAAGATGTGTGTATTGTGTGTACAATCTATAGAAAGAGAAATGTACATCAGGTCCGATCATCCGATTTTCACGTTTCGGTTTTTTGGACTCGGTTCATGAACGTATTTTGGTTTGGCTCCTGGAATGTGCGAAAAAATGACTCCCGGGACTGTCTACAGGGAACACTCGCACATTCGCGGTGTATCAGGACAGCGCGACTGGTCGTCATTAGCGCAGTAACAGTTGCATAAACGGACGAAACCATTTCAAAGAAATAGGGATGTTTCGAAAATAAGCATTTACTCCAATATCAAAACAGCTACGGTAAAAATAAAAAGACGTGCATCATCCCGGACATAATGCAACACCACATGCGAAATTACACAGAAATGCGACGTACGGGGGAATGCGTTTTGGCTGCGAACATCTTCCAAAAAACTTGGCATCTCTTAACCATGGGCAAAAACATCTGGAACCACTTATAAAAACCACCCCGTATCTGCATGAACTTTTTTGAACCCCACTGCTATTCCAAACAACGCGTTTTTCTGGACCATTCCAATTCGCCTCGTAATTGTAGGGGTGCGTCTGCGATATTACATTGACCGCGAAAGCAGCAACGGCAAAAACACACATTCGTGCATCAACACGGGCATGCCCGCAGACGGCGTATAAAATTGCGTGCCGATCACACAAAGAGAACCCAGTGTTTTGACTGCGAACATGAAAAATCAGTCGATTACAACACTCCGTCCGGAGGTCCTGACCTCCTTCACGGAGTAATGATAACGATCTTATAACACTTGCCAATCTTCTACGCCAGGGTTATTCTAAGGGTTACCAAATAATATTAAATCTTGTCATCGGCAGCTCCTTTGATGACAGCGCTTCCTCTGGCGAGTGTCGGACATCTCCGGAAAATCGTATCTCCAGCCCGACCTCCATCGTTTCGGACCCCGATCGTACGCTGTACGAACTACGCTACAATAACGGTACGTCTGGTCTTCTAGAAAATAAACTTGTTCATCCACAGTAAAAGCTCAATAGAATTTGACATAGAATCTGCTGGTTCTGGCCTTCTGGGTTCGATTCATACGGAAAAGGCCCTAGCGCTGGGCCCTTCCTTGGGAGCTCGACAGGCACTTTACACCTATTTCCTCAATCTACTCATGTAAAATGAGAACTTAGCCTCGGTTAGGGACGTCCTCTCGGACGAAACGTAAAGATGGAGGTTCCGTGTTTGAGGCTAGAACGTTAAACCGCGGGATTCCGCTAGCTCCTAGCGGTTGAAACAGTATGAACTGTGTATATTGGCATGTTTTTCAAATATATTTCCATGACATTGAAATCTCTTGATGTTTATGTGATCACTAACACTTCAGACGCCTCCCTGACAAAATCTGAGCGAAATAAGTCATGCAGTAACCAGTTAGACACGATAATGTAGGAGCCGTACTGAACGCTGTTCTAAGACCAGTTCTAAAAAAACCCGCACTGAGCCTTCAGCCAATGAGAGAGCCCCTTTTATAGTTTCGGCCGCGGTTTAAAGATGATGACTACACTTATCGACAACAGAAAGGATCATTCCCGACTCCGAACATTACAGTCTGGTCTCCGGGTTCTCACATCGTCAATCCATCCACAAAGTTGATAAATCTCAAAAGATAATGAAAATAGTGAATCATCTGGTTATCAGCCGTATAGCAGATTAATCAGTCATAACCTGAACTTGTTTTTCTGCCACGCGTGCTTCAGCGGGCTACCAGGGCTGTTACATAGACCAGGAGTGGCCTGATAGGGACATCAGGTACAACACGACAGTCTCCACGTTGAACGAATGCATCCGCCACTGCCGAGGGCAGTGTAAAGGCTTCGCTGCCATGCAGGTTGGTGTCGTAGTTGGTAGAAACCATTTTACTTCGTTTGTTTCCTCCCTGAGACCACTTGTTACTTTCGCATATGGAAGTATTGTTTTGGGTGGCTGAGTTTTGGGTTGGTCTCTGTGTCTTCGGTTGCATGTCGGGTGGGAGGTGATTTTGACAGGTGATCGATAGGCCAGGCCTGAAGGTAGCCCAACACGGGTGGGAGTAAGTGGGGTTATATCCAATAAATTGCGTCATACGGCCCCCATCCCCCTATTCCCCTATCCCCAATCACCCTATCATCCTATCCCTCTATCCCCCTATCCCCTACCCTTATCCCCTTGTCCCTCTATCCCTTATCCCCCTATCCCTCTATCCTTCTATCCCCTACCCTTATCCCCATATCCCTCTATCCTCCTCTCTATCTCTATATCCCTCTATCCCCCTATCCCCCTTACCCCCTATCCCATCCCTCTATACCCCTATCCCTCTATCCCCCTATCCCCCTATCCCATTCCAATCATAACGCTTCCCGCTGTTTGGTGAACTTGTGAGTCACGAAAACCCAAAATACTTCCAGGAAGCTTGAAATATCCGATTTTCTGTTTGTAACGTACACGAAAGTTTCGACCCATGCTTGCAATATGCTGATGTCGTATCAAGGAGGTTTAAAAAACTTTTTAAACCTCCTTGGTCGTATCCAGGGCTTTCAAGTTTTCTCACTCGTTCCCAGGGTGAAGACCTGTGTTTCTGTTCCAACTTCTACGGCCGTTACGGCGAGGCTGCTGCGTCGGAGTGTAACATCGAGTGTAGGAACGAAACACGGTCGAGAAAGTGTGGCGGTCACCTGAGGAGCTCTGTCTACTCGGCAGGTATGGTGTCCGATAAGTACTTTGAGGGAGCTGTCTCCGAGAAGATGGAATGCAATCTTTATGGTTGGGGCTGTACCAAGAGGGCGATCTTTAAAACAAAACCGAGTGGGGCATAGTAATAACATAAATTTTCACAGACTAACAAGTAGGACTTACTGACATGTACCCATTTTGGCCCAAGACACCATGGTCGTCCATGCCTCCATGCCTCCGAGACTTGATAAACTGCGTGTGTAGTGTGAACAACACACATGCATCCTTCAACACATGCATCCTTCAACTGTGCACAAACATGTGAAAACATGATATTACATGCACAAGCAAGTTATGATTTGTATTTGTTAAGGGCATTAACTGTTTTTTTACTTGCTTGAAAAATATTTTTCCGTTTAATGGCTGGTATGCACTGCACGTTTGGTCACTTCAATCTTGGAATTACCATTTGATATATTTTCGTTTCGTGCAGAAGACCCTCACTACGACTTTTCTCCTTTACACTTAAAAAGTGGATAAACTTGCACTTGTCACGGATATCCTGAAATGTCGACAGTGATAGATAACAGAAATGTTTTCCTTCCTGAAATTGTTATTCTGCATCCTAAATCTGCCACATATAAAATTCAAAAATGGGACTCTAATAGCTATATCACATGGGATAAGAGGGGCAATTATGAATTAGTTTTATACACGTAAATTTGAGGAAAGTGCTTGTCGTTACTCCTATTGACGCTAAATTGGGTCGATGCACGAAACCTGTTCAACCACACCCATGTCCGTGTCACAGCTCCTGTGTTTAGTACTCGTGGTTCGCAGATCGTCATCCGACTGTACTCAACCAGGCAGCAAATGCGAGTTCTCAAGTATAGGCTTGACACAAACGGACGGACGGAATGGCACAGTGTTTCTACCCAAACATCAAACAAACAAACAAACAAACAAACAAACAAACAAACGAATGAATGAATAAATGAATACATCAAAGGTCGTTTGTACGGACGTGGTGACTAGTTTCTTAGGCCCTAACAGATGTCCCATTATCGCCCTCTCCCGTGCAGACCGTTGGGTCCCAGCGATGCTGCTGGAAAGCCTGGTCGGTTTTCAGTGTTTGGCCGTGAACGCGAGCGGCTCCACCTTCACCCCGGGGTACCGGTCCTGTCTCCGGGATGACATCAGGGTGAGTTTGTGCCCAACATGGGTTACCGTGTGGTCAAATTCATCGTAGATCATCGCACGATATCGTAGAGTTTTCAAGCAGTCTGTGACAGAACCAACCACCCGCAACTAAGACAGCCTTATCCATAACAAGGCAGCTGAAGTTTTGCAAGACTCTCCCGAAGATTGCCCTAGTTTTGCAAAACATTTGTGATCGGGACCTTAAATGGACATGAAAATCTTTGCCAGTCATATTGTCATCAACCTAGACCTGTAAACGATACTTGGAACAATTTTCTTGTTTTTGTAGGTCCATTGGGACTGGAAGGGAGGCCTAAGGCAGTTGCAAAATCGCTACACCGGACGGTGTCTGGCGAATTGTGGCGGGACCGTGTGCATGAGGACATGTACATCCTCCTACTCTGCACGTCAAGCATGGTGAGTGGCGATAAGTGTATCAAGAGGGAATTCTACCAGACTCTGTAGATGTACATGTGTCTTTATGTGCATTATTTGTATAATTCGTTTCCATAAGTAGGGAAAATGTGCTCGAGATGTGGTTGTCCTCAAACAGGCTAGGGGACCTCTTACTTTACGTCCCATCCGAGATCGAGAGGACTTCTCTAAACCGAAGTTAGGTACTGATTAATTAGGAGTGTTTCCCATCCAATTAATCGCAAAACACTGTGGCCTACCTGATTCTAACCTTGCCTCTGTGTGCTTGAAGCGAACAACACAACTGCCAGTAACAAGGTCAGTAATTGTATTGTTTTTAACTTCCCAGGGTCTGCAGCGGCCGCTGTATCGTCAGTAAGGCAGCTGCTGACGAAGGCCTGGCGGACCGGTATCTGACGCTGGCTGGGGACGGCACCCTCAGACTGTCCGCCATGTGCTCCAACCCGGGGGACGTCCAGGCGCGCTGGCGGGTCTTCGGCTCCCCAAACAGACCAGCATGTCAGGCCGACAAGTCCTCTAAAAGTACTGACGTTTGTACTTGAGATTCTAAGTCAACAATAGACTACTTTGTCACCTTCAGTTGCCTCACGACAGGTTATAAATAGTCGACCCTGATCAAAACACTCAGGTAAAGTGCCGATTGTTTTCTAGATGACGCCGAGTCCACCTGTGGAAATGTGGTGTGCGGCGTGGACTGGTACGAGGTGAGGTGGCCGATGTACACGCCTGGTGTCGGGGACGATCCACCAACCAGCTTTACACTGGTGCTCTATCCAGCTAACTACGAGCTCACGGACCAATGGAGAGTCGCCGAAGTCCCACCAACGAACAAGTAAGTCAACAGAGGTAGTTCAATGACTGCCTCATGTTAGGTATTGTGTTATGTTGTTGAAGGAAAAGGGAGGTGTAAGAATTTGTCGTGTGTACTGTGTCATTGAATGGACCGAATGTACGATACTCACTGTCCCTTTTTTGAACTGAAAAAAATCATTAACACAATCTTACCTTTTCAAGTTCTTACTACATGAACCATCTCGAACTGGGAGAGAAGTATCACGTTATCATCACTGCCAACCGACCTGGCAAAGTGGGAGCGGCCATCTTGAAAGACATTGAGCTCAGTAAGAAATATATACATGTATATATTGTTCTCATCTATCCAATACTTTCCCTGTACCAACGGTAGCTGAGTCGTACTCGTATCATTATACACAGTCATAGCTAGTCCTTTAAGACATACACGGATCTATGTAGGGTATAGATGTTGGATTATAGAGAAAGCACATTTGAAAACAAACATGTGACTTACGAATCTATGAGACTCGTATTTTTAACTGGTTTGTTCAAGGTTTCTTTCCATCGTTAAGACATTGCTCTGAGAAGCACACACATACTTGTAGCATATTCTGCCTCGCAAAACCTTCCTCTCCAATGAACTAGGGTTTATACATCTCACCATCAAACAGATTTGAGTATCATTTTAGCAATTTTAGGCAAGTCGGCTGAAATTCATTTCAGAGGGCTGATTCAAATCAGGAGAGCTGTAAAACAACAAAACTTTTAGACTTAGACTACATTTTACTCCTTTGGTAGCTGCATTTGTGTTTCTTTATTTTTGTGTAGAGCCGGATCCGCCGGGAGACCCTCACGTCATCAAGACCACATCGTCAGGCATCTGTATCTTGTGGACCGACTCCACGGCAATTTCGGAAGGTTATAGGTATGGACAGCCAGAATAGTCAAACAGTTTACTTTCTTGCAAATCCTGGCAAATCACAGTACAATAGACATTCGATATTCTAACTATTAAGTAGACAACAGATTCGAACTTGAGCAATGCTTGTAGTTTGCAACGTTTGGCGTAAAGGGCCGTTTAGTTGCCACAGCACCGGCAGGGATGCTGGTGTGTTACGCCAAAGCGTAACACACCAGCTATATTGATACAGGTCGATAGCTCATTCTTTAACCATACCAAGCATGACGACATTTTCTGAACTTTTGTCAGAGTGGATTATTACCCAGTGGGTGGAAGTCCAGACACCATCCGGACGGTGGACGTGCCGCCGACAACAACCGTGGTGGAGCTGACCGGTCTGCTGCCAGGACACCAGTACAACGCCACGCTGGTCACCACCGGACTCTACTCGGTCAACAGCGTGCCCGAAACGGTATCTGGAGGTAACTGGTCTTTCCCTACTCTCCTATCTTTCCCTGATCCTTTATCATCCTTATCAACTTCATCATCATCTGTCCTTATCTCTCAAACGTGCCAGGCAATCGGTAACGGCCCCCGTCTCGGTTGAGGATCATGGTAATAATTTCAAACACCAATCCGGCACTATCGACAGATAAAACCACACTTTTATTATATATATTGTTATGAATCATTTATGCAATTAATACCTGCATCATTCCTCTCACAGAAACGCATACCTTAAAAGTGAAGATTTCCGGGGGAAACGGGAGAGCGTTGGGAAACAGGCGGCCATATCTGATGGATGCAGAGTCGGAGACGTACGACGCTAAGGACCCTAACGTCACCAGTAACTACGTCTTCAAGTGGTACTGCAGGAAGGTTCGTCCAGAATATATATAATGGATAGTGAAAGGTGTTGTAGTAAAATTTTGGCATAAAGAATAGGGCGTATAGGACATAGCAAAGAAAGAAAGATCAAATCTGTATGTTCCTTTGATTTACATGCAAACATACACATCATCAACTTGTTGTTGATTAGGAGAATGTTTTCATCCAGTATGTTATTTATGCCTTCTTGTGTCTTATACATACAGCTGGTTTTAACAACAACAGCCTCTACTCCAACGACTACGATAACCGCGACGCCTACCCCACAAAATACCACAACGTCAGCGGCTATGTCTACCTCCAACGCAACTACATCTTCCGACTTCAATACAACAAGTTCGCTGTACTTCAATACAACAGCTATGACGAATACTACCGTACACAACATCACCAATGCCACTACTCCTACAACATCAACGACAACACCGATGACGTCTACGTCTACGCAGCACGTCGAGAGCGACATACCTGTCCGTTACCAAGACGGTATCGCCGTGGTACACAGCCACTGCGAAACGGGCGACTACGAACTGCTCTGGGAAGGAGATGCGAAGATCTACTTGGACACTTCTGACCTGGAAACGAGCACCACGTACGTCATCAAGGTGGAGGCCTCCAAGGAGATGGTCCACCCTCTCGGGTACACGTACATCGGAGAGGAGTCCTTTGAACAGAATGTTTTAATCGTTGAGGGAGATCCTCCCATGATGGCAATCAAGTAAGAGCTATTCCTAATCCACAAAAACAATTAGTGTAGTCTTCTCCAACCAAATCATCACCTCCGTACGGAATTAGGTTCTTTTATAAGTAGGGTGTAATGTTACTTCTTTTCAGTATTTTCATGTTTTGAATATGATCAATAGAATTCAAGGACTTTTGCACGCCCCTCAAACTTGCAGCACATTGACTGTCACTATGTACAGACTTTGGAGAACACATCAATACTAGTACCAACTGGCAAATGTTATCATCGAAAAGCTTTGGGGTGTCTACTATGAACGCAATCGCTTTGTGAATCGTACTGAATTTGAGAAAGATTCCAAATTACCTTGAAATCATTTTTCCTCAGTTGCATCCGGAACTGCATGGCGGCTGTTGACGTGACGGAGTCTCTGGCCCTCCGCGGGAACTGTACCTCCTGTGAGCAGAACTCCGAACTGACGTACAACTGGGAACTGTTCAGGGAGGTCAACGACACGATCGTGGAGGTGCACGACTGGAACTCTCTCACCAGCACAGGTACATCGGGCACGGTCCGTACAAACATGAAAAAGCAAACAAAAGATGTGATTTGCGCCAGAAGGTTATGTTTTCGGATGCGTGTGTTCATGAACATCTTGCGAAATCGCAAATGACATTAGTTTGTTGGTAGGCTGTGACAAAAACTGAACATGATTCGAATTTGGTCCACTGGCGACTTTTTACGGTACTGCAGCGGAACTTCCAGTTTTTATATCGTGTTCTGAACATGCTATGGTCACGATTTTGGGGTAGGCGGTAGATAGCTCGGGAAAAGGTGACATAAGTTAGGTCTTTCTATGATTTTGTCAATAGTGGCATATCATAACTTACAGCTTGCATTGCTACCCACAGGACGAAACACAGCAAGTCTAGCGATCAAAGCCGACCAATGGGATGTCAGATCAGTGTACCGCTTGCGGCTGAATGGCTTTCCTCCGGATGGCCTTCCTCCCGGCTTCATCGAAATCAGATATCCCACCTCCCCACCCCTCTACACACTGGACTGTGTCATCATCCCCGATAAAGGTAGGGGGAAACGGAACGTTTTATGCGAAATGTAGTTGCCGGGCGCTTTGGGTGTGTTTGTCTGTGGGTTTGTGTCTTTGCATGTCAGCATGAGACGGTTGCAGAGACGGTTGCAGGGAGAGTAATATGTAGTTGGGTGTTTGGTTACAGTTGATTGCCTGAAGGTGACCCAGTACGCACCGGGTGCATGGGCGCACACACAGTTCTAATATCTTCACGAAAATCCGAAACACTTTCCCTAAGTTTGAAATCTCCAATTTCTTGTATTACTTGGTTTTCTCTTTTGGCATCTCCTCCCCATGGGACGCCGGAGGTCTGCATGAAAACTTTGGGTTGTTTACGTTGACATGACTAAAATTCGCTTTCTGTCCCCGAAATACAGGAATGCTGTACGAAACAAACTTTTCGGCTAGTTGTGAGCTGACCGGGTGGACAGGCGAGCTGGAGCCACGTCTGACCTATGACTTCACGTCCCAAGTCCACGCCCAGGTGACCCACCTCGCCAGCGTGACCCGGATGTCCAGCTTCACCGTGCCGCTGGACCTCGTGGCCGGGGACCCTGCAGGCGCGTGCGCCGTGCTCGTCAACGTGCAGGGATTTCTGGGAGGTGTCCTGAGGGCAAATACCACCATCAGTCCTCAGGTACTGCAGCATGTTGATAAACAAGAATATCGCTATTAGAAAATTATATTCAGTGGAATCAACAGAGACATGTACAATTCTAACAAATGAACTGTTTTCCAACTAAAAAAGAAAGACTTCCCTTGGAGTTAGTTATCTGATCCAATCAACATCAGCAACGGGTTAAAGGTTGTTAGATATCGCCCCTCCCGTGCCAGTTCAGCCCAGAATGTCTGAAGAAAAGTCATTTTAATGAAGCTCCACAATAGGTGAAAAATTTTTGAGAATTTTTTTTTCAGGTTATTCCACCTGTTCAGACCCACGCTGGAAACTGCAGACACGTGTTTGAGCGCATGTGTGAAATCCAGGAGCTGCTGCTCGCGGAGGGATACAAGGATGCCCTGCTGGCTGTGGAACGACTCGTCACGTACTTCAACTTCCTTCAGAACCATGTAAGGGGGGCACTCTTTTGATTAACTGGGAAACATGTTTGGACAGTAAAAAGATCTACCTAGGAGGGTTTTATCTTGATATGAATGTAGAAATGATGTAATGGATATGGTGGATGGAATGATAAAATCTGTCTGATGATGTACCTGACATTTTGTAAATACTACATATTTTCTCTTCCACAATTTTTTGAAAAGGATGTAGTTATCGCTGTATCGTTGTGTTGGGTGGGCCCCGCCGGTGCATAGATTTTGTATTAATTGTGACGTGTTTGTCATGTGATTGTGTGGCCGTCACTGATACAAAAGACTGGGAGAGAGGGGGGGGGGAGAGAGAGATTACGTTATTTCATCAGCAATAGCGCCACGAATCGCCTCTAAAAGACAAACGTGTATACCGATCGACATGATCGACACAATCCTCTTGCTCCCCTGTAGATCGGCACTGATTCCCGTGCAGCTTTGAACAGCTATGGTCTGACTGCAGTCGTGAACCAGATTCTTTCATACACAGACATCACTGATATCAACAGCACCTGCATAGGTACATATCCCCGTTGTCTATCCATGTACTAAAGTATATTCCCCACTGCATGTGTCTGCTTGCCATTTTACCTGCAATGTGACTATTACCAGACAACGTCAAGTACTCTACATGCCACCACTAATGAAATAGCTGGGAAGAATCTACCAACTATTTATATTACATTCTTCGTTGCTGAACTGTGGGTTTGTGTGCCTGTTTATTCGATCAAAGTAGGTTGACAGCACGTGTGTAGGGCAGATTGACAGGCAGAATAGCAGGAAGTAAAAAGGTTATACACCAGAAATGAGGTGAAATGGAAGGTCACGAAAACCAAAACCAGGGAGTCTATAAAAAAAACCCTTCAATTTCTCGTTCCTTTTGCAGGAGGTGACAAACCAGATACACATTGGGGAGAAGCAATCAACTTTCCTGGCAACTGGCTGAACATCACAACAGTTGACGGCATCATAGCTGCCCTTTCTGTACCCGTCACTGCTACAGACAGTAACGGAAAAATGGATGAGGTACTCTAACTTGCTCTGCATCTGTTGTCGGTTCTGTCACAGTCAGCTTGAAATTACCGGATCAAAGTCTTGCGACGACCTTCGACGAATGTGACTGCGCTCATACTTGAAATGTGCATGAGCCCAAATGCCAACAGCCACCACCAAATCAAATACGTAGATGTATCACCACCTACCGATTTCAGGTGTACAAGAAAATAGAAACTGTCATTTAATTTTCCTACAGTTTTACGAGTACGCGAGATCCACCACTGCCAAGATGGTGATGGTGGCCCAAAACAGCATGAGGGGACCTGCACTGTTGGAAAGGGCTGCGGATGCTATCAAGGCCCTCATTGATGGCAAAGTGTCACTGGTTGCGCAGGTATGTCAATCAACTTTATAATAATGCTGTTGTACAGAATGCTGGACCGTCGTTAGATTTAAGACTGCAGAACTTGAATGTCTACTTCCTCATTGCAGAAGCAAGCGGTGGCGTCGGCAGAAGCCATGGCAGGCGAACTTCTGAGCCTTGGCAGTAATGACTATAAGCAAAACCTGGCGGCCGTAGGAGGTATGGTGTTTTATTATGATACATGTGTTTACATTTTATGTCCGTTTATGGGCCTTGACACACTCTTCATCCCATCGTTTTGTCTTACTTACGGAGAAAGCTGTTTTATATCCTTGGCTCTTTCATAGCTTCCTTGAAATCCACCAGTACAAAAATCGTACAACGACCTAAGACTAATCTGCACGACCGCGCCAGTGCGCCCACGGCATTGATAGTACATATCCTGAGAAATGAGTACTCATCCCTACAATTTTTTTTGCAAAATGTTACACAGATAGGGTCTGCTATAACTTATAAGTTCTCATGATGTGATGAAGTTTCTCCTTTCAGGTCTTCAGCAGGGTTTAAACTCGCTGATGGGTTCAGCTCGGTCCACTCCCAGTGAGGATCAGACGGAAGAGCAGGCCGAGCATGTGAGTCAATCTTATCTGTTGATCCAAGAACGGCGCTCAGCCATTAAGGATATGCTGAGAAATGGTCAGGAAATATAGTAGAGCTTTGCAAACTTAGAACAAGAAATGAAGATCTCAGACTTCGCTGGCCTTCCTGAATTCTCCAATGTCGAGCACCAATTTCTGCTGGCTCCCGGCCAGATTCTGAGCGCTTCACTGAGCCTACAGTTTTTTGAGGCTTTGTTAAGTGTAGTGCTTCCAAATTGAAATGTTCCAATGACACTGTGAGAGACGGACGCCTGTATGAAAGTGTATAGATTGTGAAGTGTAGTGATTCATTGCAATGCATAGATAACGAAACAGGTAGGTTCAGAATGATGATACGCTTTCCCACTTGTCCTCCAGGCTAAAAGGGCCACGAATGCCGTAACCTCAGCGACCACGACCCTGGGGACAGTGGTCCTGAATCACCGCCTTCCCGGAGAGCCTTCGGTCGGATTCCAGTACGACAACTTTGGCGTGGCCTTCCAGAAACGGTACTCAGAAAGTGTGGGCTCGGAAGGCTTTACAGCCTCGGAAGGCTCCGTCTCTCTCCCGAACAGCGAGGCGTCCATGAAGTCTTCAGATGAAGCGCTTAATACAAAGGTCAGTTAATAATGTGCCGATTGCTAGTCAATATTTCTGCATGTTTCATGTCAGATCTAAAATGAGGCTTTGCTCTTTTGCCGGGTCCATGGAAGGTTTCTTGACTTCCACAAATGCACCAGTAAAGTCACATATTTCTGGAGATATACCCTCACCACAATCGGGTATATTTTGTGTATTGCAGTTTATGAATTTCAACGAAAACCCCTTCGACTGGGACAACACCTCCAAGATTGTAACCAAGGTGGTATCCTTGGACCTAACCTCTGAAACCGGGGGAGCATTTCCGGTGAAGGACACAGCGAACGACATCTCCATTTTTATTGGGAACGACGCAGATCCTCCCAAGCCACTTCTGGTCAGCAGGAACATCTCGAACCCAGGGAAGTCTGAGATGTTGTACCACGAGATTACCGTCCCGTATAACTCATGCGCCATATTTACCGCGTTTGTACCTCACAACAGAACAGTGCCTTTTCAAGCTTACGTCAAGTATGGGAAGGTACCGACAGAGGACGACTATAACTTCACCGCTACGATCCCTCCGGGGTTAAACTTGTCACGGTGCCACCTGGGCCTGGAGTACACACGGCGAGACTGGAAAAACTACGTCGTCTCTTTCCAAGACATCGCTGAGAATGGCACATACTACTTGGGTCTTAAAGAAATAAGTGAGTGTGCAACATCCTTTCTCAAAACTCTATTATATGAAGACCTATTATATGAACACAGTTTCAGGTAATATAGCTACTTGAGAAAGTACTGAAAAATGGCAGTATTTTGTATTGTCTGCAAAGTCTTGAGAGACCTTCTTATGCTGTCTGCAGTACCATTTCCATGAAAAAATCAACCATAGGAACGGCTGAGTTAGGTCCAAAACATACGACGGTCATGATTGTAATCCTGTAGTCCTGACTCTTTTATGATTTTATGTATTCATATACGGCATGCATTAAACCACAGGAATAATAGCTGAAGAGCTGATTGTGGGTCAGAAGAAGAAGTCAAAGTCACAAAACCGCTCCCTTAAGTATCCACCCCCCCCCCGCTCCCTACAGACCAGACGGATGTGTGTGGTCCTGGGTATGTGTATGGAGCAGACCTGCAGGAGAACACCACAGCCATTACCTACGACTTCCTGACCATCACCCCCACCTGCCGGTACTGGGACACTCAGCACGAGAAGTGGGATGCTCACGGCTGTAGGGTAGGAAACAGACGATTTTCACTTTAAAACAAAGTCGTTTCATTATATAAATGAAGTCCTTATGATTTAGTGAGGATGTACTAGAACGGCCCATGTCAACCTCACCTCACCTCACCGGTCCCATGACATCCCATGTCAACCCAAACAAGAAATTGGAAATTTCAGACCTGCGGGTAGTGTTTTGTGTTTTGGTAAAGGAATTGTGGACGGGTTTTGGGTGATTAAATAAATTCAATACACAAGCCACCGCTTCCGTAATTCCTCACCTCACTTACCCCATCCGGGACGGGGTTGGTCATGAACCATTCATGCCAACCTCACTGTCAACCAAGTTTCTACCCACTTTACCTGCAACCATCTCTGCTGGGCAAACATACACACAAACCCGCAGAGAAACCCACTCAAAACAGCACTTCCTTTCCCAGAGGTAACGATTATATTTTCCAGGTGGGTCCCTTGAGTACGATGACGCGGACGCACTGCCTGTGTAACCACCTGACGGCGTTTGCCGGGGAGATACTGGTGGCTCCAAACACCATCGACTTCTCCACGGTGTTCGCCAAGTTTGCTAACCTGGGAGATAACGCCGCGGTGTTCGCCACCGTCCTCGCCATGTACGCCATCTACGGCATCGTGGTGTTCTGGGCCAGACGAGCTGACAAGAAAGATGTCGTTAAGGTATGAATTCCTTGTAGCCCGATAGCCATGCCATCAGGGGCTCACCGCCATCTCTGCGGTGCTCACGGAAAGTGTAGTGACCCAGGCCTGTTACTCTCTACTTCTATTACTGCATGCTTGAATTTTTTTATCTGGTCGGTCGCTCCTGAGACGGCACGAGATGACACTAATCAGAAGGGTCGGATAGCTAGAAAGCATAGGCTGTCAAAAAGCCTATATGGCCCAGTACGACTGTGGCCGGCCCGTAGAGAATAATACCAGGCTCTATGAAGACTCATTCCTGTTCTTCATAATCCACCGATGGTACCTCACTGTCCTGGTAATGTTCCCTCCATCAAATATTCCAACTATTGACCTACAACACTTTTAAAAACTTTGCCTCCTAGTGGAGCTGTGCGCCTCTGCTGGACAACAGGCCCGGGCACAGTTATTGGTACAAGATCACGGTGTACACAGGGGTGTGGAACGGCGCCGGGACTAAGTCACGAGTCGGCATTAACGTTGTTGGGGAAAATGGAAAGACGGGACCGAGAGTTCTTGAAGATGGAAAGCGACAGGTACGTTCTTCTAGGCCAACAAAATTTCACATATTCAGGAAGTTTGTACTCAGTGTTTGTGTGCTTGCATGGTTGTGCAACATGATTGTACGATTCTGAATACTCGAGGAGGCTGTGTCAGTACCAAATTCCTCGAGGATATGACAGCTTTTCCGTAACAAAACAGCTTAATTACTTTTGTAAGACATGTTCAAAGATATAAAGAATGCCCTTACGATGGTCGTACGACGGAATTGACGGGCCCTAATCCCTAGATATAAGAGATTTAACGTTTTCCACATCCGATACGTGTACCTGCCAGGGGTTTACGCGTGGAAGCATCTGTCACATGGCCATGGCAACAGAAGAGTGCCTGGGCCCGATGGTGAACATCCGTCTGTGGCACGATAACTCCGGGAAGGGGGAACATGGCAGCTGGTTCTGTGACAGGATCGTCATCCAGGACCTGGAAACGAACGAACGGTCAGAACAACAAACAGCAAGTCAGCTAGTTCTAAACTAATGTCTTTCGGATAAGTGATGCGTCTGTTTGAGCAATAGTTTAGTTGGCACTTGTGTGCGAGTTGTTTCAACCTTAAAAGGTGCCAACAAAGATTTTGTTTCAAGTCCTCAGTCAATTGTAAAACCGTCTGAGTTGCTTGAAACTACAGACGATGTAATTACATTACGTCCATTTCAAACTATTTCCACATCATTCCCTTCTTATTCTACTTTGCTATAAACTTCTACAGGTGGTTCTTCATCTGCCAGCGGTGGCTGGGGGTGGAGCATGAGGACGGCCGTGTGGACCGCATCCTGCCGGTGGCCAGTAAGGACGAGGTGGTCAGCTTTTCCAACCTGTTCCAGGACAAAACTCGGCAGGACATCACGGACGGACACATCTGGTTCTCGGTGGTGTCACGGCCCACCCGGAGTCACTTCACCCGTGTGCAGGTGAGATCTATACTGGAGGTACTTGATTAGGACAGACAGACGGTACCAGCAGTCAATATTCCCGTCCTCATCTGTCCATCACAATTAGCAGTTCAACCAATAAGAGAGTACATTGCAATATTGATATGTTTGATTTTGCATGTATAAGTTTTGACGGATCTTTCTTTTTTTTCATTGGAACCTCTCTGACTGAATCCAGACCTTTCCCATTAAAAATCGAAAGAGGTTAATTGTTGTCGGTAAAACATATGTAGCTAGCTTGCTTTATTAGTGACAGTAATAGTAACATGTCAGCAAATCACGTACCTCACAATGGTTCATGTACAAAAAGTAGCCTCTGTCCTTTCCCCATGGCTGCCTGACAGCGTGCGTCCTGCTGCCTGTCTCTCATCTTCTGCACCATGATCGCTTCTGCCATGTTTTACCAGAAGTCTGAAGGAGGTAATTTTAATTTTTACTTTAAACAATGAAGATACATGAGCGTTTGTGGTATCGATTCACGCCTTTGAATCCGTAGGCTGTTTTTAGCGGCGTGGGCAGCCATACATGGTAAATGTTAAAGAGAAACATCGTCCAGCAAATCCCTTCGAACACATTTCTAGAATGCGTTTGACGGAATTTCTTTTCTCATCAGGTAATACCATAAAGGTAGGACCGTTTGTCTTCTCCCTGGCATCAATTATGGTCAGGTGAGTTCTAGTCCTGCTTCCAGGTCTGTATGTTTGAATGTTTATGCTTTTTGTCCTTTCGCCGATTCACTCAGCATTGCTGGATGAATAATAGTCAAAGATATTTGTCAATATATACGTCTTTTTCCTCTGCCCAGCATCCAGAGCACATTTGTCGTGTTTCCTGTGAACCTGGCTGTTGTGCTGTTCTTTAAGAAGAGTCGCCCCCTGCCGGAGGGAGAGAAGGAGTGCGCCTGCTGTATGAAATGTTGCTGCTGCAAAAAGAAGAACAAGGTGGAAGAAAAGTACACCACAGAGGTATGTAGAAGAGAAGACGGTGTCCTTCATCGTATTTTGTCATGCCGGTGCTGCAATCAATCAGTTCAGAGCTTCCTCACGAGTTAGCGTCAAATTTTGGGACATCGTTTGCACCTACGGAGAATGCGTACCATAGTCTGTCACGATATTCACATCGAAATTAAGAACAATTTGAAAGGCTAAATTGCTGTTGATTTTGCTGGATATGTTTTTAAAAACTTGTTTTATATTCATTAAAAAAAGAGTTTACCTCTTTCTGTCCTATTGTTCATCTTAGGAAGAAGAGGTCGGCCTGGAGACGGTGTCTTCTAACGTTCCCAAAGACGACTGTGAATCACGAGTTGAGGAGAGTGAGCTCACAACAGTTTCTACAGCGGTGAAAGACGAACAGGACCCGGAGAGTGGCAATGAACTGAATGAAAACGACAACAGTAAGGAGGAAGATCTAGAGGAGCAAGACGAAGAGAATGAAGAGGAGACGAAAGAGGAGAAGGAAGAGGAGAAGAAAGAAGAGAAGAAAAAGAAAAAGGACGAGTTCATTTTTCCGCATTGGTGTAAATAAGAATTTGTTTTGTTTCCCCCATATTCGAGAAGGTACAAACAAATAGGACTGTAGAACTCTCTGGAACAGGATGACTTCTACATCATGTTATTTGATAGTATCAGAAATACACTTCATAAAGTAACTTTGAGAGTGAAAAAAAGCACTACGAAATCCTATATATTCCATGTCAGCTGTGAATATAAGACTGGGATCGCCGGTTGGGAGTAATTGGATTCGTGGAAGAACAGTGTTTGCCAGTGTGTAATATCCAAATGAATTACTAGTACATCCCCTCCACAGTTCCAATACACCCATGAAAACCCACAACACTTCCCGGAGGTCTGACATCTCTGATCTCTTGTCTCAGGTGTGTATTTCGGCTGGGTCCTGACGGTGGGGTCAGCTCTGGGCTGCGGGTTCTTCATCATCCTGTACTCCATGGAGTGGGGTCCGGAGAAATCCAACGAGTGGCTGGGCACCATTCTCATGTCCATGTTCCAGTCCATCCTCGTTGTACAGCCTATAAAGGTACGCACGTGGAAATTTTTATATATCGTTTGCTGCCTTAAGCGATACACAGTTAACGATGAAGCATCAAGAAATATGCTGGACATTATGTAGTACAGTACACATTCAACCAGCATTCTTTCTTTATAATGGCGAATGATTTCATATTTACGACCCGTTTGTGATGATGCATGTGACATACAGGTGATCCTGCTGGCAGCTTTCATCTCCTACATCTTCCGTAACAAGGCTGACGTGGACCAGGTCGGGGACACCGACACTAAAGTGAAGCCTGATGAGGAACTGTTGTGCGCACCGCCTGGCATGGGTAAAGACATCACTCCGTTTTTTTTTTGGGGGGGGGGGCTCGTAGCTAGTCATAACTCTCAAAACAATATGACAAAAGTGTGTTCATGTACAACAAAGTAGCCAATAAGCACGTGATGAAGAATTCTCACTGGTGGAGGTGATGAAGTAGGAATGTCAAGATCACCCAGTCGTCTGTCCATCAAAATCATGCCTGTACCGTAACATTGTTTATAAACCTCTATCCACCAGTTGAGCCGCCCACCATCCAGGAGCCGACTAATGACTCGGACAATAAGAAGTTCCTGGAGGAGGCACGAGAACTCCGGAGGAAGGAGATCAAGGCAAAAGAAGTGAGTGCTGGAGAGGATAAAAGGCTTTGTCACATTTTCAACAACAAATAAAAATAAGACATCGAAGGTTTCACACCTCCGTGAAATATTTTGAGCTTTTCTAACTACGGTTTCATTATTGAACGGTTTCATTATTGAAACATTTTAGCTGATTCTGTGCATAATCCTCCCAGTCTGTCACGATACCATTGTGACCTCCATGTCGACCTTACTACCTCCCAATCTCGGCCTTTCTGTCAGTCTGTGGTTGCATCATTTCCCCACTCACTACCTGGCCGGCTTAATGGTAGTATACAAATGACACACCAACAAACAAATAGACACAGACAAGCAACATCAAAATGAAGGCAAAAACCCTTCATGGTAGAAATAGGAGCTGTTTTCTCAAAGGATTGAATTTGTTGATCATATAAGCTGTACTTATGTCTTCATCTGCAGGTAATGAAGGAGGTGTTCATACACTACCTGTTCGTCTCCAGCGTGTTCTTCCTCAGCTACGGCGACAGAGATCCAACAGGGTTTTACGTTCAGAATAACCTGCATGACATGTTCAGCGGATTCGAAAAGGTATGTGTTGCATTGTACTGGTAATTTTGCTCTAAACAAGCAACAAAGGTATTGTCAGTTAGGGATGAATTTTCATTAACATTTTCTCGCTCACTACTGCTCTCGGTGACATTTTCTAAGCTTTATGTCAAGTTATTGCAGTTTCTTTTCTAACTACCTTACCCGACACTTACCACGAAAATGTTGTTATTGACATACCACAGGTCAAAAACCACAAAGCCATGTTCAAGTGGCTTGAGGGAGACTTTGTGAACCACGTTGTTGGCGGGAAACTTGGCGACAGAGGTTATCTGTCCGACGATTACAGCTTCCGCCTCGGTTCTGCTCGCATGCACCAAGTCAGAAACGAGCCAGGTACGAGTGGTGTTTGTGGCTGTTATAGTTGGTTGAGGTTAGTAAGTCTATGTACGGCAGTATTGTTTTCGGTGGCTGAACTGTGGGCTTGTGTATCTGTTTGTCTGGACAAAGTAGGTTGACAGATCGTGGGTGTAGAAGATTGACAGGCAGAATGACAGGAGGTCAAAGATCTCAGAGTCTAAATCTGACCGAGAACCAGCAGACGTTGACATGGTGGAAGACAGGAAGCCGAGAATGGCAGACATGTACTTCCCAAAAGCTGAAATCTCCGATTTCTAGTTTTTTTTACTGTGTTTGTATTATTTACATCATTTCCTTGTTGACACTTATCCCCACAGCCACTTGTATGACGGCCCGGGTTCCGTACGGGCCCTGTAAGAAGGACTATTCTCTGTTGGACCAACAGGAGACATCTTACGAGCCTGGGTGGCAACCGATGAATGCAACCAAGGCAAAGAATCTCATCGATGCTAAGCAGTACACCCCGTGGATGTTTCAGGTACAATGCTACATCAGCGTAATTTTTAATAATTAACCAACAATTGTGCAAATGTGAGACTATCGCTGCGACAACCCATTTATTAAACTCCGCCCCTACACATTCTTGTATCTTCAACATTATGGTATTCTTTGTGCTTGGTGATGAGAGGTATCATAACTGTGTGATGTTGTGGGCTATGGAGTATGACTTAAACCACCAAAGTACAATAATACACAGAACTAAATTGACATTTATACGTTCATAGAAGGGTAACCGTGATGTATCTACTGTATTGAATCATTCCGTTGTGACAGGAAACGGACGACCTATTCCCCTACTCTGGGGAAACCACAACCTACAGCAGCGACGGGTATTTCCTGGAGATCGGCACCAGCAAAAACGAGACTGTAGCTTCGGTACGTACGTTAGACCTACACGGCATGTTCGCGTTTATAATGGCTTCTGTCATTACACTTGAGCACAAAATAGATGATGCTTTTTGCAATATATTTTAGAATACCCTTGTGACAGGTAACGTCGAGAGAATAACGTCTGTAGCCAATGTGGTGTGCTACATGTAAGTGCCCTTATCTTTCAGTTGAAGGACCTGAAGCAGCATCTCTGGCTGGATAACTTCACCAAAGCCGTGATTATCGACATCGCCGTGTACAATGTCAATGTCAACCTGTTCTCTGTCATCACCTTCCTGGCCGAGTACCTTGTCGGCGGGGTCGTCTCGGCCAAGGTCACCATCAAGGTGAATAATAATATTCAATTAAGTTACTGCTGGCGTTTGGTTGCTTTAGATATTTACCCTAGATTTATTTTGATACCCCATCTATAAAGTGTTTAGGATATTGACGAAGTAATTACAAAAATCAAGAATCGTTGAAAATATGAGACTATAAAAATAGGAGATTTTTTCAATTTTTCGGTCAAAATTATTCAATCATAGCTATTAGTGGTTTTATAGGTTGTGACAAGAATAAAAAGTAATTTGATACACTATTGGGGTGGTTTACTTGTTTTCCAGGTTATCCGTCTGTACTCGTTCGTTGGTGACTTCGGTAACACGCAGATCGCGATGCAAGTGATCTTCGTGGTTCTCTTCATCTACTACTTACAAAGGGAGATCAAGCTCATCATCAAGGTAAACCGCCTATTATTCACATCAATATTTTAAAGGTTTAAGTTACGATGGTAGTTACATTACTATTATTATCTCAAACCTCTATAACTGCAAAAGAAATTATATCTGTTCCATTGTTTTTGAAGTAGAACAATGTAAGCGTTAAACACAAAGAAGTGTTCTGTGATACTATTTAGTCCATAAAACATTATAGGGTCACTCCGTTTCACACCTGTAATGATAAATTTGTTCTTGACCAGGAGAAGAAGGCTCACTTCCGGTCCATGTGGAACTGGGTGGAGTTCCTGCAGTCCGTGCTGTGTGTGAGCGTCATCGCCATGTTCGCCATGCGCGAGGTGTTGAGGATGACTACCATGAACAAGTTCCAGAAAAACCCAGGTACCAGTGCAGTGCAATACCGCATTGCGGAATGTTTCAAACGTTGTGGTCTCAAAAAACACGTACAGGGCTAGTTTACATCGTTGCAGACAAAAAAATTCTAACAAAAAGTGCTAATAGCATACTTGAATGCTTAGTGCAGTTGTCAATGTAAAAAAAATGTTTTACTTCCTATAGGCCGATATATCAGCTTCCGGGGCATGGCTTTGTACAGCGATGTGTTCATCGGTCTGATCGGAGCCCTCGTGTTCGTGGCAACACTCAAACTCCTCCACCTCCTGCGCTTCAACAAGCGCGTGGCCATGCTGTCTGCTGTCATCAACTATGCCGCAAAGTAAGATCACATTCATGATAAACGATATGGTCTGGCTACGTACCTCCGGGCTCCGGCGTTTTGTTTTGGGTGGGCAATACATTTACGACATCCCAAAACTTTTCCCGGGGGTCTGAAATGTAAGATTCCTTCTTTCTATGTCAGTGTTGTTTTTAGCATCACATGTTTCAGATATCATACAGCTTTGATCAAGTGAGAAATATGTAAACCTTCTAATACTAATAACAAATGATTGCTCATGCCGCAGGGACCTGGGACTTTTCTCCATCATCCTGATGACAGTACTGAGTAACTTCACCCTGGTGGGGATGATACTGTTCGGCACGCACATCAAGGAGTTCTCCGGCTTCATCGCCAGTCTGGAGCGACTGATTGCCATGCTGCTGGGGGATCTGGACTTTGCCTCCATGTCGGTAAGCTAGCATTGAAGTATAGTAATCAGATTTGTCCCCGGAGTACTTTCAGTTGGCAGGGAATGAAAGAAAGAAAAGAAAGCAAAAAAAGAACAAGTAAATTTAAAAAAAAGCATAGAAAATTTTATATCTGACAACTCATCTAACGTTGCTTATCTCAGCCTGGTAAGGGCCTGGTCACATTCGTTGTACGACTGTCGTGCGATCACAAACCAAGGGCATTCTTGGGATTGTCGTATACAACACAAGTGTCATACAAAATTTAGCCGTCTTGTTACCGACAATGTAACAACATCCCTGTCGGCGGTTTATTATCTCACAGCCTGTCTCTTACAGGGTCAAAATTGTACGACTTCCTATGACGTCTCGTACCTCAAATGAGGATTTTGAGCATGCGAGATGTTACACAGTCAACCTTTCTTTGGTTTATCTACACAGGCAGCCAGCCGAGTGCTCGGCCCGCTGTTCTTCTTCGGGTTCATCCTCCTGCTGGTGTTTCTGCTGCTGAACATGTTCGTGTCCATCATCGACTCCGGCTTCGGGGAGGTCAACGGCGACGAGAGCAAGATGGACGCCGATCACGAGATCGTGGACTTCATGTGGTTCAAGTAGGTCGTTTGGTCCTAGGCAGAGTCGTGTAGGTACGCCTATCTAGAGTAGTGTATCGTAGTATAATTAAATTTATGTCCATTTCATATCAATGATCATATGTATATAACACAGGTACTTGTTGCTAAATTAAGAGGATGACACAGACATGACATACCTTTGCTTTGGTTACCTCTGTTGCAAAAAAATAACAACCATGGACTACTTTAAAGTAAAATATTTCATATTACATACCACTATTGTTGCCTTTTTTCAGACTAAAACAAGCTCTGGGTATTGGGATGAGCCGTGTTGACCAGGACGATGACAATAAGGCACCTGAAGGTACATTTACATTGCACTGTCTTGCCCCTCCAACCCTGTCCTTTCACTTGGTACATAATGTAATCCAACACCACAGAGTGTCTGCTACAGCCCCAGTTCCCAGAGAGCCATCTGGTTCTACATGACTATCTTGTGTGTCTGTCGACTCTGTCCATTACTATAGTTCACACAGCAATGTTTCTTCCCCAGACCCACCCCTGCCTGACGGGGAGGTGGAGGAGAAGTTAACTCTGCTCCAGCAGCGAGTGGATGAGATGGTCGATAAACTCTCCAACATGGACGACAGCAGGGAAAATGAATCAGAGTGTTAACATAAGAAAGACATTTGGTTTAAGAATATTCATATGTAGTCTTTGGGATGGCCACTGTGCACCAATTGCAATTTGCATATAGTGTTTGCTTCCCTTGCTCCTTGTACCCTAGATTCGCTAGATTGCTTTTGATGTCAAATTTTGTCAAAAGGAAAGTATTGATCGTCCAATTCTACATCATTCTGGATTCTTGTGAGAAAGTACCACCTCACTCCATGCCCTTTGTTGCTGTCCAGTCATTTCCCAATAGTTACAGAGTCAGTCTTACATATGCGGCTACTATGCAATGTAAAACAATAAATTGCATACATACGTACATACGTAAAAATGAACTAATATCTGCATTCATATAACACCTCTTATAACCTGCTGTGGCATGTAACTGACTTACACTGTTTTTGTAGATATGTATCTCTATATCAGTGAATAGTAATGAATAAGTATGAATATGTTACCACATATTTCCACTGGAAAGCATGCACACCGAGTTTTCAGCACCATGGACAGATCCATGGGGTACACCGAAAATGAGCTGCTGCATGTGCAGAATCCATGGAACATCCAGTAATTCATCTTCAGGATCTATGAATAAAGTATATCTTCATAATGTAGGAAACCAGCAGGTCAATTCCATGTACAAACTGAGCATTTATGTAATGGTAAGAACAACATATATTGTATATCATAACTATATAGTAGTTTCCACCACATACGCTGCTGTATGCAAAGATACAACATTTCAATGTCTTCAACTTCCAGAGTAAAAATCAATGCAATACAGTCTAAGATTGTAGAAAGGAACAAGATGTAGAAAGGAACATTGATCAATATATTTACTCCTAACAGATAAAACCAGAGTATCAAAGTCACTTGGTCATTTATTTGTGCATATAAACTACAGTCCATAACAAAGCTGTTCTGTAAGATCCAGCCATTTATGACAAATCCAGTTGAGAAGAAGTAAAATAAAACGGAGAGGTCCCTTGCTATTAGAACAATATGGTAAACACAACATCCAAGACACGGGTGGTCCAGAATGTGTCAACATTGGGCACAACAGGATGACAAGATTTCCAGAATTATCTTAGCCTTACTGGACTGAACTTTCTTGCTTTAAATGCTGATCTGCACATATGTGTGCAAAGTGAACTACACTATCTAGAACATTCAATGGCAAAGTTGCAAAAGGGCTTCAAATCATGATGTGAGGGAGACTTATGCACCAGTAGCATGGCCATAAAATATTTCATGTCTAGTTTATACTGTATACTGCAACAGCATTCATGTCTCTCATACAGAAGTGATCAGTGCCTTGTCTCCTAAAATTAATTCAAAGAGAACAATGCAACAAGCTGTCCAGATGTCATGCACAAAATTTGCTTACATGTCCACAACTGTGTTACACAGTCTCCTGTGACAGGGGCTGATTGGGCCTCCTGTCCAGGAGCCTTTGGTCATTATACAACTCTTAATTGGAGAAAACCATTGCCATTCCTGTAACTACCAAAAGGAGCTCAGTGGGAGGGCTGTTAGAAGCATGGTGTAGTAATCCATGTCCCCTATATCTTCCCTTTTACTCGTCATTGTTGTTTGGGTTCTGTACAAACTGGATGTTGTAGGACCCACTGTCCGGGTTCTGGTCCACACGGAAGTTCGCTGTGGACAGGCCAAATGGCCTCAACACCATGTTGCCCAGATCCTTCAGTTTATCTGTCAGGGGAAGAAAATAGAACACTGCTGTCAGAGGGTTTTCACGCAAAAGTGAGTCAGTTTGAGGAAAACTGGAGCAAAAAAAAATTGACAGATTGTACACTAAGGAAGGTGTCATTGACTGTATCAGCCATATTGTACTGCAACTTGCTGATACTGACATATTAGTATGCTGCAGCTAATACAAATCTGGTGAATTAACTTTAAAGTTAGAGACACTACAATGCTAAGCCCACAGACCAACTCACTAGGTTACGGCTTTAAAATTCAGATGCCAGAAGTTGTTACTGGGACTATTCAGTTTTTGGATCATGTATAATTTTCCTTACCCATCATTTCTGCCTTCATTTTCTCATTCCTCTCCTTGATTTCATCGGGAAGTCTCTGCACGTGATTGAAAAAAAAAAAATATTTGAGCAGACATGCAAAACTGGAAGAAATCATACCATAGCAGAGATTCATTTGAGGAAAAGGTGAATGCACCAGTGCACCAAACATAAAAAGATTTAGATTTAGTGCTGTATATACTAGTACCTCTCTCTATATATGTGTAAGACTACACAAATATTTAGGTACACCAGTGCATCCACAGTCAACAATTAGGTGCACAAAATACTGGGTGTACAAAAGAATAAGGGTGTAAGGGTGTACACCTAGTATTTGTAGCCCTAGAAATGATACATTTTGACCATCATCACATAATCTATTTCCCTTGGATTCACATAGTTGCACTTCATATGAACCCCTCTACACACGGAGCCCTCTACAACAGAAGCACTGAGCATGAGGCTGACCATGCAGGCAGCCCTGGCCACATGGCAGGACCGGTCCAGTTCCACCACTCGCTGGTAGTCTGTCAGGGCCTCGTCCAGCTTCTCCAGACCCTCGTATGTCTGTGCACGTCTCAGCAGTGCTCGCACGTAGTCAGGCTGCAGTTCCAGGGCTGGACAGAGGGGGAGTTGAAGAACCGTTACTGATGAAAATCAGGCTGATTTAGATGTTAGGGATCGATTAGCCACAGAGTCTACCATTGAAATCCTTGTGATCAAGTACATGTTCTAGTAGAAGGATATATAGGGGAATTAAAAAGAAAGGTGTATTCTACATGTGGTACAAAAAATTACTTCAGCCTCAACACACACAACATTACAGAGTGCTGGAAGTTGATGTACATGCACTTGTTGACATCTGAAGTGTCAATAATGCGTCATCTCACCTTTAGAGCAATCTTCAACAGCCATTTCATTTTCTTCCTGTGAATAGGTATAAACAGAAAGGGGTGTTACACAAGCAACTATTTGATCACAACTAAACAACATGCTGAACATTAATGAAATACACTTCCGGTATATACCAAAAGTGACTAAAGGATTCTTTACATTTCCTAATGCTGTGCTGACATTTCCACTCACCAGCTTGACTCTGCATGCTGCCCTGTTGCTGTACATGATGGCTCTGTCCTGTTCGTAACACAGCGGACACAGCACCAGGGCCTGGGTGTATGTCTGCATTGCTGTGGTGAAGTCTGCCAATACCGGTAAAACAACATTATGGTCTATTAGTGTGAAGGGAAACAAGTGTCATGTCTCTCTAACTCCTATTCTCACCATCAGTATACAAGAAAAGGTAACATTTATAGCTGTACGTACCTCCTTTTTTGAAGTGTTCATTTCCCTGGGCTTTTAAGTCTGCTGCTTCCAGCCTCCTTGTCTGTAAACACACAGTCACAGAATTTACTGGTACATGACATAATCATAGGGATACATTATTGTACTGTAGCTTGATGTAGGAACTCTGTGCAAAAGGAAGAAGCAATTATATTGAAATATTCACAAAGACAATAAAAAACTGCCTCACATAAAGGCATAAGATTAACTTGGGATTTTTCATAATGTAAAATCAGAAGTTTGACCTCTTTTTCTTCTTCTGTCATGTCCTTTTCCATCTCCTTCTTGTATTCCTCATCCACAAAGATCTCTTCCTCCTTCTCTTCATCCTCCTCTACTGCTGCTGCTTCATCCTCTGCTTGTTCCCAAGCTTCAGTTTCTCTTTCATTCAGTCTCTCCGACAACCGTGTAAAGGGTTTTGGGTTTATGTCATCATCTCTTGTGACTTCTTCCATTTCTCCACTATTTCTTGCATCATCTCCTTCCTCAACAAATACATTTGATTCATATTCTTCTTCATTCTTATTTGCAGTCATCTCTTCATTCTGGGATTCATCCACTGTTTTGTTTCCCGTCACACCCTCTTTGTTTCCCTCCTCATGGTGATTATCTTCTCTACATTGATTAACCTCTCCTGACTGTCCTGATTGTATGTTTGTGGTGCTGTCAAAGAAAGAATCTTCAGTACCATCATTCCTTTTCATTTCCTGATTTCCAGCCGTTTTGGGAACCATTTCACCAGTGAGAAGTTCAGTTGTAGTAACATCATCATTCTTGACATTGTTCATATCTAGAGGTTTCTGGTTTGTCTGATGTTCTGAACTGCCAGATCCATCTTCAGTTTTCTTGCCTTTGCCTTCTGCGGGGTTTGTTTTCTGATGGCGGGAGGAGTTTGTTTGGATTTCCTCCAAAGCATCCTCAAATTGATCATGATCAGAATCAGACGACGGGTCTTCTTTGGTGGCCATGGTTACAGCTGTAAGAGCATGCACACAAACTTTGGTTCACATAACGTTACATAAACGTATAACCAAGGAGCTTTAAATGATATAATAACGTTATATATTATTAGATATAACGTTAATATGTATATTCAAAATATGAAGGCCAGGTGGATTCATTAGCTGAAGATGAAGTAGCCCTCCGCTAACACGTCGTAAAGTAGCCGCGGCGACTGCAAGCAAGAAAAGCCCTGCATCAGTCGGCGCGGCTAGTCGTAAAGGGATTTTGCTATGAATGAACCTAAACTACGTACGAGTCGTATTACTGAACGGAGTAAAAAGCTACACACAAACCTGTAAGACGCTGTGTAGCACCACAAAGCCTTACAAACAGCGAGTGTCCGAGAAACAAGCGGCGTTTCGCCCTCCCTACACTGTCCTCTCCTCACTTCCGGGTTTACCTTTGACCTTTCACCCATTCATTTCTAGAAACACAAAATCAATCCGCGACCATGGGGCATTTTATAGTAAGAGAATCTCTGTATGTTACAGGTCAGTTTTGCCACCGTAAAGTATCATAAGAATTGCAGACATTTTGAGGAGCAAAGGTGACTCATTCGTTGCTTAAGACCCCTTTCATGACTGCACTACTTTTAATCAGCGGTTAAACCAGGGGTCACTTGAGTGGTGAAAAGGCTCAGGTGATTTCTCTGTTCACAATGAGGCAATGGTCGTAATAATCAATTGATGCATCAAATGTCTACTAAGACTGATTTCTTCAAGTCGTTTTGTATCACATCCAAGTAATTTGACGTCAAGGGCTGCGTTTGAAGCTCTCCAGATATAGCGCGCCCGACTCCTCCTACCAACTTATCTTCCAAGAAAGTTCACATATCTTGAGCTGGTGGCATATCTGGGCCAGATCCGAATATAGCCCAGCCCCGTGTCTAAATTAAGTGTCCAGTATGAACAGTGAGTGCTTCGGACTGGCCGAGAGGCTGGTGGACAGGACGTATGTCCAGCAGGCGCACCAGGCCAAGCAGTCGCTGACCAATCAGATCAGGACCTTACTGGAACATGTGAGTTTCATGTGTTTTGTCAATTGTTGGCTAAACTGAATTAATTAGAAGATGAATGCAATTTCCTTATACATAACCTTTGAATTGTTTCTTTTTTTTCCTGGAGAGAGATACATGTATGTACTTTCTTGTGTACTCAAACAACATGCCCCTCCCATCAAAAACAGATATCCATTGGCAAATAAAACTGTTAACTTTTGCAAATTGGGAAAGGTGCTGCAATTATATTTATCTCATTGCTGCATATGATATTGCTATTGAGTGACCGGTCCTGACCTAGTAGCATGTATAACCTGACTTGCAGAGGAAGTGGCCGGAGGAGGGTTGGGACGAGGCGACCGTCGAGCTGGTGTTGCGTGAGCTGGCCCTGATGGACAGTAACAACTTCCCCGGGAACTGTGGGGTGGGGGAGCGCGAGGCACGCGTGGCGTCTGGCCTGGTGGACAGGAGGCACTTCAGGTCAGCTTAAAGATTCTACATTCTTTTTAGTCTCAACTATTACTACACAACAAGACATCAGAAATTTCAGGCTTCCAATGAAGTAGCTTTAGTTGGTTTTTCATTACCTTCAAGTTCAAAGACCATGGGGAAGTGTATGGAGACTTACGGTATGAAGGGGGTTGTATGGTGTATCTCACTCCCACCTGGCACATGCTGTGGTACCTTCAGTCTTGAGTCTCTTGACCTTTATATAACGTTACATGTATAAATCATCTAGTGTCAAAATCACTTCCCACATTATTTCAATATTTGCTCCAATTTGAGCCAAAAATGTTGACCTTATCATACACAACTGCCTGAAAGATACAGCAATATGGCAGTAGGGTATGGGGAAAATGTGACCTGACCCACTGACCCACACCACTGGTCAACAGATATGGTCTAATTTAGGACCACAACTTTGTCTAATTAAGGGGACACCACAGGGGAACCCACAATATACATCTAATAACATGTAGTCAAAACTGCCCGTTCAGGAGACGAATAAATATTGGACCATGTGGAAAAGTGGTCACTTAAATTGCAGGATAGTGCTTCTGTCAATACGAAAAAGTATCAAAGGCACCACCAAAATGTGGCTAGGTGGTCCTTTTGTAGAGGCTATCCCTTGTACAGGTTTGAGTGTACATAGCTCTAAGCATTCAGGATGTTACCTCCTTAATCGCCTAGGGTTTAAGAAGTGAATCAAAAGCACAGAACCTGATGAACATTGGTATTAAAGTCTTTTCTTTCTAACTAATCACAATCATACATTTCAAATAAACTTACATGAAATTGAGAAAATGTTTTTTGCTTTGTTCCCTTCCTTAAGACTTGGTCATGGTATTGGCAGATCAGGGGACATCTCTGCCATCCAGCCCAAGGCGGCTGGTTCCAGCCTACTCAACAGGCTGGCCAACATATTTGCTCTGGACGTCATCAAACTGGCAGGTAGGTCCCAGGTCAGAACAGATATTTGTACTGTGGTATTCTTCTTACTACAATGCAGGACTTGAAATACTGGGATGCACATTGTGTGCACCATATTTTTGACTGGGTGCTATTGTATATACGGTGTTTTCTTGCCATGTGTAACTCCAGGGGTGAGGGCAGCAGCTGCATGTGTGCTGGTTCCCATGGCAACAGGGATGGGCATCGTCCTGTGTCTGCTGACTCTCCGACACCAGCGTCCGCAGGCCAAGTATGTCCTCTGGCCACGGATTGACCAGAAGTCCTGCTTTAAGGCCATCAAAACTGCAGGTGGGTTTTACATATATGGCCACTTGTTAATGCCAAGCTAGTACAGAGCAGCAATGCTGTCTATATGTTGCTCATATGCTTTTTTAACATTTTGTTCCTCATGACACAAACAAACTGTAAAAACTTTGAACTTAGAAATGAAAAAGTTTGACTTTATTAATGGACACATCAAGTCATATCTATATGATCTATCAGAGTTATTAATATATGCTGAGATACGGCATTGTTGATGTCGCTAACATGTTCCATCAGGCATCTGGGAACTATTTTGGATTTTTTGTGACCCTCACAGACCTCCAGGAAGTGTTTTGGGTTTTCATAAAATGTATTGCAATTGGAACTTTGGAGGAGATTGTATGATGTAATTCAATCATGTAATACACCACCCAAGGCAATACTTCCTTTCCCAGAAGTAGCCTAAGAAACAGTAACCTTTGTTGGCCTGTTCTGCATGTTTCCCTCAGGTTTTGAGGCTGTTGTGATAGAGAACAGGCTGGAGGGTGATGAGCTGAGGACAGACCTGGCAGCTGTGGAGGACAAACTGCAGGAGTTAGGGGCAGAAAATGTTCTCTGTGTATACTCAACAACCAGCTGCTTTGCACCAAGGGTACCCGACAGGTAACTCACTGTGGAGATCTCATCTTTTCTTGGAAAAAATAAATTCTTAGTTTATCTTAGATTCTAATGCTTAGTTTCATTACTATTATTTCAAAATGTGTAATGCTTAGATACATATGGAGCAGCATTTGAAATGTTTTAGTGTTAAACCCAATGTGCTGTAATGTTGTTGTCACAGATTAGAGGAGCTTGCTGAGTTGTGTAAGAAGTATGACGTACCTCATGTGATCAACAATGCCTACGGTGTCCAGTCATCCAAGTGTATGCACCTTATACAACAGGTGAGATACGCTTGGATAATATAGTCAGAATACAACAGTTTTGACTGCCCATCGCAATTAGCAGGTCAATTAATAATAGCATGGCAATTAGCATTTCTAACAATGAGAGAGTGGGTGGTATATGGGATTGGTCTATTTGCAACATTGGAGTACATAATGGAACAAGTTTAAATGATTTAGTTATATCTTTGTTTATTTACATGTAATTTCTTGTTTCAGTATCTGTGTCTATCAGGATCTAACTTTTAAACAGTTTTTTTTCCTTTGAATTCTTCCTGTGTCACCATGGCAACAGGCCTGCAGGGTTGGGAGAGTTGATGCTTTCATCCAAAGCACTGATAAGAACTTCATGGTGCCGGTGGGCGGGTCCATCATAGCCGGACCTGACGAGAGATTCATCGCAGAGGTCAGCAAAATGTACCCAGGTATACACAGAAATAAGCTCATTTTCCCAAAAGTAGAAAGGAAAATATGCTCTTTAAAATAACATGTGAAACTTGAGACTATATTCAGTATCAAGAAAAGCGTAGGGTTTCCACAATGGTACCCTCACTGAAAATTTGAACTTCGACTTTCCCGAGTTAAAGAAACGAAAATGGTTAATCTCACCACATGGCGACAGTTTCATGATGGTGTTTCTTTGAAGCCATTGCAGTATAGTTGGGAACCATGTTGGATTGTCTGTTACAGGACGGGCCTCTGCCTCTCCATCCATAGATCTGTTCATCACTCTGATGTCACTGGGCAGGAGTGGCTACAAGAAGCTCCTGGCTGAGAGAAAGGTAATATTACTGCATGGTGAATTGAGAAGGAAAAGATGTCTTAGTAGTTTTTTTTGACAAAATATTTATACGAATACACACAACAAAGTTCAGCTATGCTGGGGAGCTTTCGAGACGTTACACTGTCTCTTCTTCAACCCGATTGAGATCTCGTCTTGGAGTTCTCTTGTCACGTGACTTGATGGGATAATCACGTGACAAGAGACAGTCATATACAGGTTTTAGGTAGTGACGCCCCCTGTCTTAGTAGTTGTTTAATGGAAACTTATAGTTATAGTATGTGGATCTTTTTTAGTGCTGTGCCTAGATGAAATGTGTTAAAAATCTTTCCAAGAAAATCAGTATTCAACAAAGTGCCTTTCCTTTCAGGAAATGTTTCAGTACTTGTCAGCAGAACTGTCCAGGGTGGCAGAAGAGAAAGGAGAGAGGCTTCTTAAAACACCTCACAACCCAATCTCCATGGGTAGGTAGTATACTGCACAGGTACACAGACCTGCATTACCATGCATGAAATGTATTTTATCCACAAGTGTTGCTATGTGAAGTGAACCAGTTTGTTCCTTTACTCCAGCCATGTCGTTGTCAGGCAGTGCAGCAGGGCATGTTGGGAAGGATGTGACCCAGCTGGGAGCCATGCTGTTCACCAGATGTGTGTCAGGGACAAGGTCAGTGTTCACCCAGTATTTTATACTGGAAGGGAATTGATGGTTTGGCTTGCTACATTATCAGATTTAGCTAAACCTCTGCTCTTAATCTGAATAACAGGTCAAGTCAGTACAGATGGTCTGCTAGCACTTAGGCTCAAACTTCAATGGGTTGCTAGAAAATACTGTAGTAGAAATTGGGCAAATAGACTGAATAACATGTATATCTCCTCACTTATCCTGTGGAGGCCCAGGGGGAAAACACACTGCAGAAAACTGACCTACCCCAGTGTTCTCTCACGAGACACTGGGTACGACATTGAGGACTTAAAGTCAGCCATGGCAGATCGGGAGATGTGGGCAGGAGTGGTGCAGCGGCAAACCCCGTCCCCTAGGGGGGTCGACTGATGATGATGATGATGAACATGTATATGCCAATATGCCAGATGAGTTTGTTATCCATAGGACCACACTTTGCAATCCACGAAAGCAAAGGAGTCATCATAAAAGGCAAACAACTTATCTGATAGGGTATATTTTCCCAGGAAATCTAAGATAATATTGCCACATTTATTTACCCTAACACCACCATTGTTGCACATTTTATCCAGAGTTGTAGCGCCTGGTTCAGACAAGGACATTGCAGGTCACACGTTTAAGAACTTTGGGGCTCACCATGACAACTACCCCTGTGCCTACCTGACTGCTGCTGCTGCGGTAGGAATGACAAAAACAGATGTGGACCTTTTCATCAAGAGACTGGGCAAGGTCCTGGGGAAGGCTAAAAGTAGGAGTGATGAGAGAGAAGCTGGTTGTGCTACTGCAGATGAACAAGAGGACAGTGTTGAGTCACCAGCTGACACATTGAACTGTTCAAATGAAAGATAAAAAGTTCCTATATCATTCTGTACCTGTAAAAGTTGTTAGAGTGCCATAGAACATGCATATGGTCCACCTTTAGAAATGCATTGTTCATATTACCAGCTGAGTTTTCATTCTAAGTAACAAGTTTAATTGCTTAATTGGTCCCATCAAAAATGACAAAAAATTTTTATGATTTTAATTGCCTAAATACAATTTCTGACTGATTATCAAACCAATTCATTACTTTTTGTTATGATCCTAACACTTACATGCTGCCATTGTAAGTATAAGACTTTCAATTGCCATAATGAATGTTAATGACTGGGGTACAATTCCCCATCTTTAGACAATAAACCGGATAGTGAGTGAGTATGAGACCTGATCTGCTGTCATCTCTGGGTGACATATTATCAGGGAGCGCTTCTGTATGGTCCAGGAAATACCAGCCTGTCTATCCTTGCCACAAGTCACATTGCTTTCGAAGTTACTTTGAGATGTTCACATAATGCATGCAAGTGAATGGACGTTTGATAGACTGTTCATTTCAGAAAAAAATTAAGATACAAAGAATGAATGATATAACAGATAATACAGTGACATATTCTGAAAACCAAGGCGTCAACTTTATTTCAATGCACAAACCTGCAACCCCGTACATTTTCTCAGATCCCAAAGGCAAAGGTATACTGATTACCTCAGATGACAGAAAAGAGTCCGGATAAGGTCTATCACAACAGTGGCAAATGGAAAGGGAACAAATGAATTAAAGTAAATAATTTCTCTTTCAAAGATAAGGAAATTCTTCTGCGTCACAACCAACACAAGCTCAAATTGTAACCAGTTCCCTACATGGGATAGCAAACCTGTCACAGACTATAAATCATTCCACAGCAGTAAGCAGTCCCTAAAGTAAAACCAAGACTATCTATGCAACAAAAGGTCAAACTAGAGTGATTCAGCATCAATCGTCAATCTTATTGGTCACCCTCAGCTCCAGTAAAATTATAAACTAAGCAAACAACAGTTTGTAGAAGTTGGAGTCGTTGGAGTCCATTCCCTTGTTTCTGACTTTCACACAAACCTCAAACGTGACCCTGTCATTGCGGATGTACCCACTCTCTTCATCACAGACGTCTTTCCATGCAATGAACCTGGGGTAGCCCCAGGGCCGGTCCTTCTCTATGAACTTGTGTTCCATGTGTACGCTATGGCAGTCCACGCCGGGCTTTTTCGGGAGTATCCTGAAGTCTACCGAAGCATCGCACGGCCAGGTACTGTCCTGTGTGTATCTCTTGCACCCCAGGAACACGCCTAGCGTCTGGAACGGGTTCTTCCCCTCCTCGTCCTCAGGGCTGTACTCGGGCTCACACTCCAGGTTCATTAGGAAGTTGTTGAAGAAGAAGGTCGGGCTGCTGGCGGTGTCTTGGAGGGACGTGAAGTTTTCCACCGTGAACTTGAACGTCCCTTCTGTATGCTGTACCATCTCTGCGATCTCGTCTGAAAAGGCAATGTGGATGAGTTGTGAATACAACATGTGACAGTATGAAAGGACTTGATTATCGACTGGTATGCCTTTGAGTCGGTCAGGTTTGAGTTTGATTGCTTAGATTTCATTTAGGTTTCAAAATTCAGACATCTGTTACAATGTATAGTTCGTGTGGCTGCATCAGTTTTGGGATGTCATTCATAAAATCAACTCACAACTCTTCATCTGTATTTCGGAGGAAGCATGATTCCTTTGACATGAACGTTCGTTTTGTTTCGAGTTACTAGCTATAAGTTTAGGCTACCGGAGCTGGACCATTCCCTTATTACAGAAAGATCGATTTCGGCTTTGATATGCTCACAGTGCGCTTCAAGTATTCCTAGAAAATGCAGAGTAAATCATTTCCTTACCGTCGTCCCTCCACAGAACCTCTCTGACTTCTTCCAGCAGCCTGTTGAGTTCCATGTCGTACACGTCAGCCCAGACCATAGTCAGGTCAGGGTCGTACTGGTCGGTCCGGCGCGAACACTTCACCCCCTCACTCAGACTCTCCCTCATCTGGTGGAACGCCGCGGCGACCTCCGCATCAGAGCCTCTGGTCAGGATGTTCTCCGCGTAGGTACAGCCACTGCTGAGTCTGGACCTGTAGGAGTCAACTTTCTCCTTCATTGTGTCCAGCTCTTGTATCTTGATGGCTGCCTTCGTCTTCGTCATCTCTAGCGCTTTCTCTTTAAGCTGGTCGATAGTGTGCGTCAGCTCTTCAAATTTCTTTTCTAGTCGATGACACGTGTCTTCATTTTGCTTGAGGAAGTCGGCCTTCTTCCGTTCTATGTCGTGTGATTTTCGGTCTAAAGTGCTCTTGTGGCGGGTCGCTTCGTTGAGGTGATGCAGCATATCCCGACGGAGTTCCTCGGATGTGGCCTTCAGTCTGCTGATCTGGTGTTTGGGGAGGCTGTGGTCCAGGACCGTGCAGTTGTGGCAGACCGGGATCTCACAGGTCTTACAGAAGAACCGTATCTTCTCCCCTTCGTGGATATCGCAGGTCGGTCCGTTCTTCAGCTCGGGGGACTCATCGAACAGGCCCTTCTTCATGTCGTCGAAACTGACGACAAGGTGACCTCGGAAGACCTTCATCTTGCGGTGGGCGGTGACGCAGCTCCTGCACAAGAAGTCGTTACAGACGACACATCGCGAAGTCGCGTTCTTTTTGTCGTCACAGCCCTCACAGGGAATGTTCCCTGTCCTTTCCAGCACCCTCTTCTTCGCGCCAACAGTCGCCACGAGGTTAGATATGAAGGAGTCTTCCTTGAGTTTAGAAACGCCATCTTGGGGGAGGGGAGTTGTCTGTGAGCACACCGGGCACGTGATGTCATACGTGCCTTCGGGCACGTGGTCCACTAAACAGGCCTCGCAGAAGGTGTGTAAGCAGCCGAGCAGCTTGGGGCGGCTGTACGTGCGAAAACACACCTGACACTGCAGGAACTCGTCGCTGATGTCTTTTAGTATGTCAGACGACATGGTGGCAAAGCTAGACTGTCACATCCGCCCAGTCTGACCCCGCCGTTTCAGCCTGTATAATATCCAACACGCTTCTGGCAACTGCCTCGCCCGGGTCAAACCAGACACTCCACATTGCGCCTTTAGACTGTGTAGACCGGAACGACCAGTTCTGTTCACTGCAGCATGCGTGTTTTAAATGTGATACACTGCACATGATAATCAAAAGGGATATTTAACGCACTGCCACACTCACACAATAGGCGCCCTTCGTCTGTAACTGTTGTATCAAATACATGATGCTAGACAGAAATTACAGAAACGAAGAGAGAGACGACGTTACACAAAACAGCTATACCACGTAAATGGCACAAACTGAAATAATTATTGTTACCTTCGTCAAGAAGGTTATGTTTTCAGTAGCGTTTGTGTGTGTGTGTGTATGTATGTATGTATGTATGTATGTATGTATGTATGTATGTGGTTTAGCACGATAACTCAAGAAACTTTTTATGTATTGTTATAAAACTTGGTAGTTGGGAACTTTTGTTTATTGTGCAACATTTAAATAGATGGGGTTTATTGCAAAAATTCTGTCTTGACCAAAGTTAATTAACACTCAGGTATTTGTCTTACCTGCATAGCAACTATGCAATTCAACTCAATGTAACCAACACAGCCATACTGTAAGTGTCCTGTAAGAATTACGTTCCCGTGCTGTTTGCCACGTAAATGCAAGAAATTCACCGGGCGGATATCCCACGCTTTATAGAACGAGAGAAGAAATCCTCCAAGCCATCCTGGCAGGATCTGATTATATTGAACATTCCTTCCAACAATGTGCAAAATGTATGCCGTAAGACATTGTAAGAGGACCTATGTTTATTTGTCTAAGCTAGAGACCACATGTGCTGATCAATGTTTAACCATTCAGTTTAGGGACGCCCATCAACCATGCTGAACAAGGTTTAAAGTTCAATTTGGACTGAGTTAACACAGCTGGTTGGGAGCGAGCTGCAAAATAGAGGACAACATACACGTTAAAATTGCTCAAAGCAGATATTTTTTCAAGCTGAACAGCTCAAGATAGAGAAGACATCCAATAGGCCTTCCTGTGCTAGACGTTCTGTCTTCAAGGGTTCAAGGGCAGTCATTGAAGGACAAAAGTGAGTTATTTTTGCGGCAAAAGTACTCCATGTAACGGAATGTGTACAATTTCTATGCTAATAACGGTTTGGGCTAGGTCACAATAATTCCTCGTATTTAATAAAAGATTTATCATTTATAGATATTATGAGGCTACAACACCACCTACGTAAATTGGTCCCAGGAATCATCTTTTATCGTCTTTATAACATTAGTATTCTTAAATGTGTTGTACATGTAAATATCAAGCATGAATATCAACAAAATGCCAAGGTAGACGATTCAAATTAGAATGAAGCAACCATAATTTTTCGTTCCATCTTGTAGTCTTACAGAATGTTGAAAATATTGTACTCATATACATGTTTAAGTGTCATTTGCTTTAACGCTGTAAGTAACTTAAAATGTTTAATTCCAGGTTTGACGGCGCAAGTGCAAGGTACCTGCCAACTAGTCTTGTACCTGACAGCTGTCAATCTTCACAACATCAATATCAAAGTGAGTTTGACCCTACTATGTACAAACTCAGATGAAGAATATGTTGTCTACAAAAAGTTTAGAAATGTACAATCATGTAAGTATGAAGTGTAACAGTATCCCGTGCCTTAAATCCTGTATCAGGTTATGGAGTACATCATGAGTAAGAGGCCACCATGTGTGCTGATGTTCCTCCTGGTTCTCCTGAGGGTGTTGGGAACAACAGATGCCTGCGACTGTTCAGCATCAACAACATACTGCAACTGCGTCGGTCTGAACCTCACCAGTGTGCCACAGAACCTCCTCACAAACACCACACGCTTGTTTTTGAAACAGAATCAAATTACCACTTTAAGTCAGTCTGATTTCTCACGGTATAGAAGCTTGAAAAGTTTAGATCTTGCTTATAATCACATTTCTGTCATCAATAGCCAAGCATTCCATCACTTGTCAAGCTTGACGGCACTATGGCTCATCCATAACCGTCTGACAAGCCTCAGAGCTGACATGTTTACAGGGCTGGTAAAATTGGACACACTTTTCATATACAATAATGACATCAACGACATTCAGGCTGGAACTTTCGATTCTACACCAAATCTGAGAAGCTTATACATGTATTACAACAAGTTAACAACCCTCCGAGCTGACATGTTCACAGGGCTGGGAAACTTTAAGGGCCTTTACCTAAATAATAATGACATCACTGACATTCAGCCTGGGACCTTCAATCAAACACCACTGCTGAAAAACTTATTCCTGAACAACAACAAGTTAACAAGCTTAAAATTCGACATGTTCACAGGGCTGGGAAACGTGCAGGGCCTTACACTAGATGGCAACAACATCATGAACATTCAGGCTCGAACGTTCAATTCAACACCACAACTAGTAAACTTGAACCTAGAAAACAACCAAATTCAGTCCCTTCCATCCAATTTACTGGTAAATCTACTTCAGCTGGGATCCCTCAAATTGTCTCACAACAAAATGACAATGTTCCCGTTTGAAGAATTGTCAGACGTTCAAACTATTTCTTTTCTATATGGTCACAATAACAAATTGACGACTCTTCCCTCAATGGCCTATGACGTATTTTCATCAATCTCTTATGTAAACATTGAAAACAACCCCTGGCAGTGTGACTGTGGGATGGTTCCCTTTAAGTTGAAGATGACAGGATCGTATCCTTTTGAAGACCAGATCAATTGTTCTCAACCCGATCACCTCACTGGACTAAAGCTTAAAAATGTCAAGCTCGAAAAGCTTTTCTCAGAATGTGTAGAACCAACAATTGTGAGATTTGAGAGAGATGACAGCAAGGTATCGGTACAGGGGGGAAATCTCCAACTGGTCTGTGAAGCGTCTGGATTCCCCACACCAGACATCACAGTCATCCCCCCATCAGGACTGAATGCTACTGCAGAGTCCGGTGGGAGGATAACTGTGGAGGTGAACGGTGCCATCACCATAACCAGAGTTACTGCAGCAGATGCTGGTCTGTATGTCTGTATCGCATCAAATCCGGTTGGCTCCACGTTTGCGGTCTTCTCTACTGGGGTAATTTCTTCTCGCAGTTTCCCCCTCCCAGTTTTTGCTGGCTCTCTGTGCGGTGCAGTAGTTGGCACTCTCCTCATTGTTGCTATTGTTCTCACAATCTGCAAAACATGCACCAGGATTCGTTCTGAACCACCTGCAGCAGACCCTAACGTCGTTTTATCGACACTAATGCCCCAGTCGCAGGGAGAGGGTTCATCCACCAGTGATGACTAGTGGATGTATCATCGCATCTATCTTTAATGCCCCACCGCATACTCACAGAAACTTCAAAGTCTGTATGGAGGCTGTTATCAAGATTCCCAGCATACCCGGGAAAGCAAATGCTCCTGTACCATTATCATTAGCTATACCTAACACCAGGAGGGAACAAGACAATAACCATGACCCACATCACTATCAGTCTCTGAGGGATCTGAAAAGCCAAGCAAAAGGTAAAATGCCCACCACAGAGCCATCCTCAATAATAAATTGAAAGCCAGGCAAAAATTACTACCAGCCTGAATACCACACAGTCATCCATAAGACTTATATGTACATGAATTATTCATATGCTATATGTATATGTAAGAGTTACAATGTAACTATAGCGTTAACTAGACATTTGGAAAGCACTGTGAGGTCTGTGTCGGACATTTGACTAAACCAATCTGAAACATTCCATCATTTCTATATTTTTATCTGTAGCACAGTCCACTATTTCTGCAATAGTATGATGGTGCTAGATTTTTTTATTACTTAAAGGTTAACGTCACTATGCATATATTTTGTTAATGAGTCATTTTCATAATTAATGAGGACATGTTGAAATGAAACATTACCAAATGATAAGAATTTTACACGCAAAATATTGTCATTTGAGTTTAGAAAACCATAAAGTAAAATGGATTATGGTAATCACGGACGTATATCCATAGTCAATGAGACAAATAAAAAACTTTAAAAAAAAACTCTACATATTCAATAGTGGTATGAGATCTCCGAAGTCTTGTTGATGCATGCGCCTACTCAGTGTTGCATCTAAAGGGTGAACATTAGTTCATACGAGAAATTGCTGAATCGCTAGATTTGGTCCATTAAATGAAACAGACACTGGAACAACACACATTGTCAACATGGGATACAAAATAGCACAACTAATCACAAAATATAAGCAACAGAAATATACGACCTTCTCACAAATCTAGAATAGCTAAATGACAGACGTCTCAAACAGCGACTGCGTATTGCATACTCATAATCTTGACCAGGGTCAACACGTATTTGTTTTACCTGCGTAACAATTATACAATGTAACCAACACAGCCACGGGGTAAGAAGAGCAAGGTTCACGTGTGGCTAGTTGACTCGATGCTGTTTGCCACGTATAACTATAAGGCATCGTATAAGTCAGGACTTCACGGGGCGGATACCCCACGCTTATATAGAAGCGAGTCAAAGAAGTCTTCCAAGCCTTTCTGGCAAGATTGACTTTGCAGAAGACCTGGGTGTTCAGCGTGCTTTCAGAGGTACGTTTTATCTTTAAATCTTTACTTAAGATATTTCGTGCCAGCTAAATACCTCAGTTAGCCAATTCTTGCATATCTTTTGTAGTTTACGATTGAGATAAAACAGGAAACTTTGATTTTATCATCATGGAACCGTGGATTCATATCGCCTTGAACATTCATTTTAATAATGTATGCCGTATGGCATTGTAAGTAAGGGGAGCAATGTATTTGTGGCTAAGTTAGTGACCACATGTTCTGATACCATTCAGTCCAGGGACGCCCATCAACCATGCTGCAACAGGCTCAAAGTTCACGTTGACGTTATCACAGCTAACACAGCTGGTCGGGACCAAGCTGCAAAATCGAGAGGACTTCATCTTGCGGTGGGCGGTGACGCAGCTGCCCAGAGTAGATATTTTTCACGCCGAACAGCTCAAGATAGGGAAGACACCCAACAGGCCTTCCTGTGTTGTACGTTCTGTCTTCAAGGGCAGTTATTGAAGGACAAAAGGGGACAAAAGTGAGTTCTTGCGGCAGAGGTACTTCATGACATCTTACTGACAGTGTGTACAATTCCTATGCTTTAAGGTTAAAGGTTTGGGCCAGGTCACAATTATATATTAAGCGAATTGCCTGAGACTCTGATTTTTAGATTAGTTCCATACAACACCATCCAGGTAACTTTAATTGGTCCCAGGAATCAACTTTTATACTCTCTCTAAAGTGAGTCTTGTAAAATGTGTTGTGAATTGAATAATCAAGCATAGGGAGGCAAAATGCCAAGGTAAACAAGTCAAATTGGAAAGAAGCAACCATTTCTTTTCATCTTGTTGTTTTACAGAATAGTCAAAATATTGTACTCATGTAAATTGACAGCCCAAGTGGAGGGAACCAGCTGACGAGTCTTGTATCTGACAGCTGTCAATCTTTACATCAGTATCAAGGTGAGTTTGGCTCTAATATCTACAAACTCAGTCATATGATTTGTTCTATTGTCTAGCTCCAAAATGTAAGTATTAAGTGTAACAGCCTCATGCCTTAAATCTTGTACCAGGACAGAGTGCATCATGGGTAAGAGGCCACCCTGTGTGCTGATGTTCCTCCTCCTGGTTATGCTGGGAGTGGTGGGAGCTACAGAATTATGTGACTGTTCATCACGAACAACATACTGCAGCTGTAACAGCCTGAACCTCACCAGTGTGCCACAGAACCTGTCCACAACCATCACCCGCTTGTTTTTGAAAGAGAATGAAATTACAACTTTAAGTCAGTCTGATTTCGCACAGTATAGAAGCTTAGAGATTTTAGAGCTTAGTAGTAATAATGTGTCTACTATTAACAGCCATGCATTCCAGGACTTGTCAAAGTTGACCACACTGTGGCTTATCTATAACAGTCTAACAAGCCTCAGAGCCGACATGTTCACAGGGCTGGAAAAATTGGAGATGCTTTTGCTATACGGTAATGACATCATTGACATTCAGGCTGGAACTTTTGATCCATTGCCACAAATTTTAGGCTTGGACCTGCACAACAACAAGTTAACAACCCTCAGAGCTGGCATGTTCACAGGGCCAGCAAAGTCCCTTTACCTAGGTGATAATGACATCACTGACATTCAGCCTGGGACCTTCAATCAAACACCACTGCTGAAAACCTTGTACCTGAATAACAACAAGTTAACAAGCCTTAGATCTGACATGTTCACAGGGCTGGGAAACATGCAGGGTCTTATGCTAGATGGCAACAACATTATGAACATTCAGGCTGAAACTTTCAATCCAACACCAAAACTAGTAACCTTGAACCTAGAGAACAACCACATTTCGTCCATTCCATCCAAATTACTGGTAAATCTAATGCGACTGAGAACCCTCAAATTGTCTCACAACAAGATGACAATGTTCCCCTTTGAAGAATTGTCAGATATTGAAACAATTTCTACTCTATACATTGCTAATAATGAATTGACCACTCTTCCCTCAATGGCCTATGACATACTTTCAGCAATCACGAATGTAAACATTGACAACAACCCCTGGCATTGTGGCTGTGGGATGGTTCCCTTCAAGATGAAAATGACAGATACAGGATCTTATCCTTTTAAAAACCAGATCAATTGTTCTCAACCTGCTTACCTTACTGGACTAAAACTTAAAGATGTCAAGCTCGAAAAGCTTGTCTCAGACTGTCTAGAACCAACAATTGTGAGGTTTGAGAGAGATGACAGCATGGTACTGGTACAGGGGGGAAATCTCCAGTTAATCTGTGAAGCTTCAGGAGTCCCCACACCAGACATCACAGTCATTCCCCCATCAGGACTGAATGCTACTGCAGAGTCCGGTGGGAGGATAACTGTGGAGGTGAACGGTGACATCACCATAACCAGAGTTACTGCAGCAGATGCTGGTCTGTATGTCTGTATCGCATCAAGTCCTGCTGGCTCCACATATGCCGTCTTTAATACAGGTGCTGTATCTTCTCACAGTTTCCCCCTCCCAGTTTTTGCTGGCTCTGTGTGTGGTGCAATAGCTGGCACTCTAGTCCTTGTCGCCATTGTTCTCACCATCTGGTGCAAGTTCTGCACCAAGACCGATCCTGATCCCTCTGCACCTACACCTGTTGTTTTATCAACACTACTGCCCCAGCCGCAGGGAGAGGGTGCATCCACCAGTGATGACTAGTGGGTGGATCACTGCATGTATCATTAATGCCCCCCTGCCAATACACATAGAAATTTCAAAGCCTGCCTACATGCAAGGAGGTTATCATTAAGATTCACAGTACATGTATAGTCAGGATGACAGAATTGCTCCTGAAAAGGTGTGCTGCTTCCATGACCATTATCGAACTGTCTGTCAACACTAGGAGTGAACAAAACAATAAGAGACAATTAAAACCCGCATCACTACCAGTCTCTGAGGGACCTGAAAAGCCAACCAAAAGGTTAACTGGCCACTCTTAATTCACAAAGCCATCCTATAATGTGAAAATAAGACGATCAGCCTGAATACCACAGTCATCCTTGCAACTCATATGTATTACTGTAACAAGGTAACATTTGCAAAGCAAATACATAATTATGTACATACTGTTAACCTTCACATGATATGGTCGAACAAACTACTGAGCTGTTTATTCTTTATTATATTGTAATTGCAACAGCAATACAAAGACAATCCCGGGCAGTACCGCTGATATCAGGTGCCTTCTGACCTAACATACATGTATAAAAACAACAAACACACCTTTGTTATACGGTAGGAGGGTAAAGCAAAGAAAATCAAGTGTGCATATAACCAAAATTACAATTGAAGCATAGAGGTCAGAGGTCGTTATTATCTTACTTAGCCCAGGACTTTATGTACATTGTGACAGTTTATTTTTACCCTGTTTATTCTAATCGTCTTTTACTCAAACACATTCATATGCATTGTATATATTCACCAGTCCCCTATCCTGACACTGAATAAATTATTTTCAAATTCAAACTTCATTGTGTGTGCAAATGTGTTATATATCTGTATGTGTGCCTGTGTGTGTGCCTGTGTGTGTGCCTGTGTGTGTGTGTGTGTGTATTAGTGGCTGAGAAAAGAGATTAGTTTTGAGGGCAGGAGGTCTCTGAACGTTTGACTAAACCAATCTCAAATAACCCAACATTTCTATATTTTTCTTCTACGAAATACAACACAGATAGGCAGTCTGGTATTTGACAAACTATCCAACAGTCTTAACAGTCCAAAGAACAAACTTCAAGTTAAAGGTAACTTTTAATAATTACACATTGTTAAGTCTGTATCCTATACAGTATACATGTATGTATCCTATATAGTATTATAATGACTAGAAAACTAAAAATTCACAACACTCTAAATACTTCTGGAAGGTGTGCAATCTTTGATTTTTTGTTGTTCAAAAGATATGACTAGGCTATGCTGGGTCTTTGCTGGCTGCTGAGTCAGTCTGATCTTCTCACCACTCAGACCCTGTGTAAGCTGCGTACAGTTGTGATGTCTGGGCACTGCTGCCTGTCAGAGGTCTGAAAAAACAGGGGAAGCAGAATCAAATGAAATGGAAACAGGATCTTGAGGAATTTATGCAAGAGGAATAAAATAAAATAAAGCAAGAGGACCAGCATTTTAATTGTACTACTGCATATCAGTTATTTCTTTATAGTGTGATAACTCATTATTCTCCATAACCCTAACAACAAGTTGACGGTCAAATCTGTCAGTACTCAGTACTGTAGCCTGTAGCAATAATTCAATTGGACTTGAAAAATATACCCTAATAATAATATTACAAAATCCTGAAATCCCCACAATGTGCTACAGATGTACATTTTGTGCCCAGGTCTGATGCAATACTGTTCAATGTTTTACTTACATCTGTAGCCATTGTCGCACTGACCCAGCCTAAATCACAGAGTCCATCTCCCTCCTAGGTATCAGAAATAAAATGACTTCAGACAACAATGAATAATCGTTGTATCTTTAATATCATGAACAACCATCACTGAAAAGGGACCTCAACCCCTGCCCAACAAGCCTTTCAAATTACTTAAAAAGGTGTTGGATGCAATGTGTAAAAAGATTAAATTCTATCCAAGCTGTCATAGAAGATAATGATAATCTGATATTTATGTACTCACGGTGCCGCGTGTTGCCCAATCCGGTTGTTCCGGTTCAGCCTGAAGCTGGAGGACAGACGGCGGTAGTAACCGCTAGCCCCTGACAACGGTATGGGCATCCCCGACTGCCACCTGAGGTCATGCAGGAGGTGAATATTTCATTGATACATTTGTCTACTGTAAATATATCAAAAGTAACTGTGTAACTATATACTGTACTATTTATGCTGTATGGTGCTCCACGGTGCATCATGTTGTTGCAATTTTAATCTAAAACACAGCAATGACAAGTACTGATGTCAAAGGCAAACATTTCTACAAAAATGGTCCTTTATTGCTTTGGTTTACGCATGTTCCATGGAGCCAAGCAAGGCCTGAATAAGAGCACAGTAAGGCAATTCAATCTGTGCGTACGTCTGGGTGTACCTGATGGCCTCTTCATCACCAGGCTGCACACGTCGGTAGTACTTCTTCAGGCGGACACTCAACACGATGCTAGGAACCAGACAGGCCACCACGATGGCAAACGACAGCCACAGAGCATTCTGACAAACAGGGTTAGAAGAGTCAAGTAAATTTACAGACTTTCGGGAAATGTTTTGGGTTTTTGTGAACGTACTAGAACTTCAGAGGGGATTATTGTACAGTATCAATCACCTGTCAAAATCACCTCCCACATTCCACACAACCATCGCTATTTGGACAAACAAACACACAAACCCACTCAGTCACCAAAAACTAGGGAGCAGGACCTCTGTCACAGTGAGATGCCGACATCTGACATGAGGATTACAAAAAATGTACAGGAACCTTCATGTAAGGTCCATTCAGCACCAAGGACAGAGACACTAAATGAACCAGTGCTTACATTTCAAAGCTTTTTTTTACTGCAAAAAAGTGTTCTGTAACAACAGTGTCACTAAGGGATACAAAGTGTCACAAGATGAATAGAAAACCAAAAAGGGCAGAAAAACTGATCTTCTGATCTTCTGTGGTGCCCCCAACAGTCAAATGATTAGACTAAGGGATAGATATAAGAGAAAAGGGCAAGGAGTTTTCACTTTTTATGATTCCTCCATGTGCCGTTATTTTACTTACAAGTCCCTCTCCAAAGTACACACAGACAATTCCGACGACTGCATCGAAGATGTTGCTGAGAATCTGACACCTCCCCACATCCTCCTGCACACGACGCACACCTTCATCCATCAGCTGTGTGCCATATCCGGACAGACGGGATACAACATCATCGATGCCCTGAAATATGAGAAAAAATTAGATTTACTGTGTATCTATGCATCTCAGGAGAGACTTCAGAATTTCAGAGGAAAACATTTTGAGAACGTTGGTGAAGGTTAGACATCCAGGTAATAAAGCTACTCAAGCAACTGGATATGGTTTTGGAAATGGTCGGGCAGATGTTTCAGGTAGTATCCATTACCTTTTGTCAGTGACTCTAAGAAACCAGAGGCTCCTGGCCAGTTCCTTGTGTTTATCATTTTGACCTGCTGTCATTCTGCCTGTCGATCTTGCCCATCAAACCTACTCTGTCCATATACAAACCCACAGCTCACCCAAAACAATATGTCAGAGTTTTAAGAGTACCTGAGTCAGTAAGGTCATTGCGCTGTCCTGGATGAAGTCAGAGAGGTCATCCACAGTGGAGATAGAACCAGCCACACTGGTCTGGAGGCAAGGACAGGTCAGGTCAATTTCAGCACAACATTTGCAAAGAGAGTGAGTGCTCAATGTGGCTGGCCATGAGAGATAACAATGCAAAAGCCCAGTTGGTAAAACATCAAGATAAAATATGTAACGTTACATGTCAAGAGAAAAGGAAAACTTATCAAGTAGAGCATGATACTAGTACAGGGACTGTGTATATAACACGCTGGTGATAATCAGCGCATTGTTAGAAGGACTTGGTTTAGCTTGACAGTTTAACAGGAAAATACTTTCTGAAGGAAAGCCCAATCCTAATCTATATTATATATAAAATGTGACTTTTATTACATGCAGTGAATCAATCTGGGAATGAACGGAATCAAACACTATTTACTAAGGGAGTAGTGAGCAACAGCATTGTATAAAGGCCTCCTACTTGTACTGCATTGATGCTTTCATTCACTGAAGTGATGCCAGCACTGAAAGATGTCTGGAAAGAGGGATTTTTATAGTCAAAATTTGAATAACCATTATAATGAATAAAACTGTATGTTGTTACTACACTACCATCATGTAAGTAGCAAAATATTGTTATTGTCAACACTAAAATGATGAGTGTTGCAATCTTCTATTTCAACTTCATCATGTGACAAGTCATAAAAAATATATGGACATTGTAAGTAACAATTTATCACTTTTTTTCTTATTCTTTGCTTGGAATCTACAAGACGTACACAGTGCACATGAAATATGCATTCAAAAAAATTGGCTCATTTGAATTTCTTTCAAATGGATGAAAGTATGATTTTTGAGTGACTGCTACCATCTGTGGGTCCAGTTGAAGTGTGACCAGAGACTGCAGGGCTGTCAGGTCAGAAGCAATCTCTCTCAGGTCAGCTGCAAGGTTCTGCAGACAGAAACAATGTTATCTAGAGAAACTAACTTACTGTCATCAGGGTGGAATATTCCAAACAACTTTATCCAGTCTATGTCTAATGTTGGTCTCTTTGATGTACAGCATTTTTTCAAATCTGCATTAACCTTTATTAATCTTTATAAATAGCTTTAAAACTTCAATTTGCATTGAATAAAACCATCATGACAATAATTCATTAGGCTTTAAGCTTTTCCCTGTTCCTCACCGCATTATGTGGCTCTATGGCATCAGCAGCCTGGTCAGCTTGAGTTGAAGCATTCAGGGGAGACACACTATCCATGACAGCATGCATCTACAGATATAAATATCCACAACGTCAACTCTGATACATCTGAATAGCTATGCTGTAGTTGTTCATAGGTTTGACTGTAGTCTGCATGTCCTAATATGTTTAAAGCAATCGGTCAGTCATACTAAACAAAGCTGAAAGATGAGCAGAATTATCAACTCCATGTTGCATTGTGGTTAAAAAAATGACTTTATCAATAACTTATGTCAAGTTTTGTAAAATGTCAAGATGGTCTGACATTGTCCTGGAAGGTTGATAGGTCCATGAGGTCCATGATAGTTCCCAGTGAGCTGTGTGTGCTGGACAGGTCTGAGGTGTCCAGGTTCAGGTCCACAGACCCTAAGGTCGTGTTCAACTCGTCATAGACAGGAGTCAGGTCGGGTGTCATCTAGAATAGCAGGAAACAGAATTTCTGGATATTTGAAAGATTAAAAAAATTTAATGTAATGATTTTTCTGAGAGTTACAATTTCTTTAAGTCAAGGTTTTGGTACCAAATCTGCACAGCTCATGGGTTAGACAGCTTAATAGGAGGTTCTAACCTTCTTGATAACACGATCCTGGGCTTCATAAGACTAAGGGCATATCTGCCATGATGGGGTCTTCTTTTCTTTCATATTTAAATATTGATGTAGAAAAGCGCTCACCTCCTCCAAATTAACCATTTCTGTAATTTGGCTTGTAAAGTCGAAAATGACATCAAGCTTCAAGACTTCATAAGCAGCTTTATCTTCTCGGCAGCCCCTGAAACAAGGATGCAAATTATCTTTACAATTATTTCAGTTATGGGCAGACCTGAAAGAATTCATAAGAGTATTTACGAGACATTTTTTTTACAAATTACATTCTTTATTATGCAATGTTGAATTGAAAAGAATCAGTTGCCAGTTATAAGAAGTTTATTGCAAATTCATGCCCGGGGGGCTAATTGCAGATTACAAACATAAAAGAACAATGAAACGTAGTTATATAAGCAAGAGAAACCATTAAAACATCCCTTCTGGTCATTGTACTGTGTTCTTGTCATGTGAGGTGATATTCAATAACTTTGACTAAACAGTCACTGATGAACATATTGGGTCAGTGTGACTTAACAACACTAACAGTTAACCATCATGATAAATGGTTGTACAACAACTGACAACAAATATCACAAAGTGAGACAAAACACTCAACAAGAAGAAACTAGCCTATAAAACAATATTTTCACTTCTGGAAATGTAAACATAAATACTAAATGTATATCAACATATAACTAGATGGTGATAAAAAGCCCTCAATGGCCACCTGTAAAACTTGTTATGACCTGGAGGGGGAGGGGAGAGAAAATTAACTCTGATAAAGATTGGACTAAATACAGTCCTATTAGAGAAAATAACAATCATGTAAGATAAGATGTAAGAAACATGTAAGAAAACATTGAGAACAGAACGTTATCCTGGAACATGTTTCTCACTCAATGATCCCCCGGGTTGTGAGAGGGACGGACCCGTTTCCCAGAAGGAGTTTGGCCAAGATGTAGTCCCCACCAAAGTTGTCTGGCTTGTCCACAAGCTGATTTTGTTGTGAGGATAACAAGAGAATCAAATTCAATTGTATGCTTGCCTGCCAAACAACATACTAGCACTTAGAAAACAATTTGTATCATTACTTTACAGTACGTAAGATTTGTTTTGGATGAGCTGTGACTTGTGGGTTTATGTGTCTATTTGTCTAGATAGAGTACTAGTAGGTTGACAGTATGTGGGTAGAGGAAGATTGACAGGCAGAATGACAGGAGGTCAAGATGTCAGACACAGGAAATGGGGTGAACTTGAGAGTACAATGTAGGTTGACAGCACCTGGGTGAGGATTGACAGGCTGCATGGCAGAGGGAGGTAAAAAGGTCAAAAACAGGAAATGAAGTGAACTTGAAGGTCACTAAAACCCCAAATACTTCCCAAAAGTCTGAAATCTCTAACTTCTTGTTCAGTGGACAGTTTCAAACATTATCTACACAACCATTCAAAATGCTGAGGAAATTTTCAGATCTTCAACACTCACCAAAAAACAATTGACAGACACAACACTATTATACAAACCCACTTTATGACCACATACCTTGTCAAACAGTGAGAGATCCAGGACTGAATCACACACCACAGACATGTTCATCCCCACCAGCACCAGTACAGCTGACAGCAGACAGATCACCAGGGAAAACAGAAAGTGCCAGGACACTGACCTGATGAAGTAGACATCAACATGTTATGCACCAAACAATGACTAAGGTCCAGTCACATACATTCTGATGGTCATATGATCTCAAACTGGGGAATTCTTGGGATAGTCATATGCATGTTTCCTTCGGAAATCTGGGTAGTCTTTTCTTATTACAGATTCTGAAATGCTACAGCATCAAAATGGTAAAACAACCTATGATGTATATGACTCCTTAAGAATTTTTCCCTGCATCCTTTTAATGCCAAATTCACTAGAGGCCTAAGTAATACATGTATGAACAAAAATTAAACTCACATACAGAGGAACCCTGCACCAAACTTGGAGGACAGGGACCGTTTGTCATTAAAGTTTCTCCGCGGTCTCCAACCGCAGCAAGCCAGCAACAGTCCCAACAGAACAAAGAGTCCAGGAACCAGCACCACCACACTCGGACCTGCAATCCCTCCCTGTCTGGAGCCAGGGATGGAAACAGTAGTGTCTTCAAGATTCTGATCACTTTCTGTGCTTAGGAGTTATAGGTATGTAACAACAATTGGTTTTCAATTCAGCCCCATCGATTATCTAATTTCCTGGTTCTCAGATTCGCCAGGTTCCCATTTTTCTGATTTAAACAATAGAAAGTTTCTGTATTTTTCTGCCCATATACATGTACTTCATTGATTTCCTGCAAAAACCGAGAAACAACAAATCAAGTTAGTGTGACCTCAATGTGTATTTTTTTGTGTTTCAGTCTTTGAGAGGTGACAAAAGGCCCCTTATAGTAGTCTGCATTCTAAAATAAATGAAAAGATCTAGACTACACAATGCATTATGAGAAACCTATGAACGTGAATGACTGAGACATACCTTGCACCTTCATATTGTTCCAAAAGTGATGCTACGTTAGTCACATGATGCATGTACAAGTCCTTCAGTTTGTCTTCATCCAAAAACTGGATATGACAAATAAAGTTAGTTAGACTCCTATAAAAACATATGGAATAACAAAATCATAAAAACATTATGGTACAACAGTTGTACAAGGTACAATCAATGTATATGGAATGTTTTTTTCCGACTTGTGGAAAGAAATTCTGCTGGCGTGAACTGTAGTGATTGTCACTCTGGATCCAAGTAAAATAAGTAGGTTTGTTTACCTCCTGAACACCACTTGTCATGTTGGCAACCATGATCCTCAGGGGTTCATGCATTGCAGAAAAGTCTACAGAAATATCTGCAGGGATAAAATATACAAGTTTCCTTTCAATCTAACAAGATCTTGCCATACTATAAAGGAGTAAACCAGCAATTGAGCTAAGAACAGCACCAAACTTAGAACTGACTGAAGATGGCAATTCTAGATACAAGGGCTGCAGACCTAGATAACTGATAATTGATGTTTGAAAATGCAAGTGGTACAAAACACATGTATGAATAGTTAAAGAGTAAGTAATGAGTAATCTTTATTACCTGTGCTATTCCCAATCTCAGCACTTAAGCTGTTCAATGCAGCCCTTGCCTGAAATCAAGAAGACACTATTAGTTTACTCAGTCCAGTTGCTACAGTGATGGACAGGAAATAAGAAGCCTAATATACAGTAAGTGCAGTAGGGCAGTATGCTGTCCTTGGTGCTGAAATTGTGGTTGCAATGGAATGTGTCAATGGAAAGTAGCTCATTACAAGTTGTTATAATGATACATCATAGATTCATACTTCAATTTTAAACTCATGCCTGAAGTCTAATTGCAAAAGAACACACAAAAACAATCATGTTAAAAAAGGTAAAAAAAATGTCTAGTCTATACATGTAGATGTTTCTGATGTCATACAAGCTCACCAGGACTTCCATGCTGGTTAGATTAAGACTCTGTGCACTTTCAAGAGAGTTGATGCCATCAGACAGGTCAGGAAACTACAAATGTATAGGAATATATATTAACATAAGTTAAACATGACCAAATACACCAGTTCTCCTTTAGTACATGGACAACTTATTTACTTATAGTTTGTAGCCATTATTAGTACACACCTGGGCATATCCCTAATCATCCAACCTATATTCATAGTCAGGGCCTTCAAGTACCAAAGTTATCAACCCAGGATTGAGGTGTTCAAAAATGTGTTTTTTCCTAGAACTATTATATAGAGTGGAACTTGCTACCATTAAGTACAAAAGAGGCATCCTCACCAGCTTTAAACAATACTTTCAGTTAGATATGCAAAGGATATGTGTGACAGGTAGTTTAGTGCCTGCAAGGCTGATGTGTTACACCATCTACACAGCTACAGATATGATGATAGATAACTGCTTACATTCAGCCCAGCCAGTGTGGCCGCCTGGGAGGACAGGTCAGGGATCCCGTCACACACTCCCAGTCCGCTCAGCGTAATGTCTGCGTCACAGTCTGCACGCACACTCGTCAGGTTGTCCTTCGCTTGGCTGATGCCGGCCTCCAGGGCAGAGAACAACTCTGTCATCAAAGTCAGGCTGTTGTTCAGACTGATGAGGGATGTGTGGGCACTGTTCAGGTCTGTGGGAAGAGTATAAATCTGTTACCTATGGTTCAGGGTCCAGAAGTATTGTTTGGGTGGCTATGACAGAACCAACCATCAACAATCCTTTCTGTAACAAGGATTTTGTAGGAGTCACATGTGCATGCGTAACCGTGTCAGGAATGCTCTCAGTTTGTGATTGTATGGTAATTGCACGACAGTTACAGGCCCTTACCTGTGTCTACTGCAGCAAGGCTGTCAGCTAAAGTGTCTATTCTGGACTCCATTGCTGTGAGAAAAGGACCTGCTGCCAATGTCCCAACATCTGTGGTGAAAAAAATAGTTTTTGAACGATTAGTAAATTAGTTTTTGAAGGAAATAAGAACCTCAAATACTTACCCTTTGGGAAAATTGGAGACAACGACTAACTCACCTGAGATATCTGATGACACTGCATCCAGGACTATCCCAACATCTTGGTCTATAAATAAGTCAATCTCCTGAAAAAACAAAGACAATGACAAAGAACATTTTTTAAAAAAATCCAAATAAAAAGATTGGTTTAGACACTATAAGGGCAACTATTTAACTTGGTTTCTTTTTGAAAAGGGATTTTTTTCATCTTTTGCCATCTTACACGTTATATGTTGAATATAAAAAAGTAAACCTGAAATGTCTTGTTCAGGAAAGTCTGAAGGTCATCCACAATGTTGTCTGCTGTCTGCACGGTGACCTCAAAAGAGCTGGAGATTCTGCTGTTGGCTGGGTACATGCACAGGGCTGCTGTTCTGTGGAATGGTACATGTAGGTCCCCAGTTTTGATAAAGGCCCAACTTTTGCAAGCAAATGCAGGATATTTACCCACTTTATTAACACATCCCATTTTTTGTTGGGCTGGGCAGAGGTTAGTTCAGTTAACCTGAATTTTGAGCTGATCCTGTTTAAAAGTAAGATTCTCTAGAGCCCTCTAGCAAAATTATATCAAACTGCAGTTCTCTTGCTTTTGTGCAATTTTTAGTGTCACTGTTGAGATGACATATATTCATGATTTCTTTGAAACTCCATGACAGGCATTACGGATTATCATAGATTTTCTTCCGTCATTTTTTTAAAATTTAATACTACCTGGTCTATCATTGACATACTTAATGTTGACCATCATTTCCACATTTAAGTTAGGAATCATGATACTTGTGAAAGCTTAGTGGCAAAGAAAAGAGGGAACAACACAACTTCCATGCCTGTCCCAAACATGTAGGTACATGGTCACTAACACCTACATCATGACGAGGTTGACCAGAAGTAGCCCCCCAGCCATGACCAGCCCGCGGCAGACTCGCAGGTTGGACAGTTTGGCCGGGTCCATCCTCCGTCCACCGCAGCGCCCGCAGCAGCAGCGGCAGCAGCAGAAGATCAGCCCTGTGATGGGCAGGACCAGCCCCAGCAACAGGCTCAGCCCTCCAACAACCAGGAATGGGATCTCATAGGTCAGGATCTGAAATAAAGGCTGAATAGTCCTGACTACTGTCCATCACAATAAGCAGATGGCAAGGGAATGGCAATTAGCAGTTGGACCAATAAGTCAATGGCATTTAGCAGTTTGACCAATGACAGAATACTAGTACCCCTGATGGTAGGTTCCTTACCTTCTCCACTGGGATCTCCTCCATGTTTCCACTCAAGAACTGTCCAAGGATATCTAAAGCAAAGGAGGATTAGGAAAATAATTACTAAGGCATAAAACCAATCCATTGTTTCATAAAAAGAGGCTTAGGGGAAAAGCTAAAATCTGTTCGTGAAGTTGAGAAATGCGTCGTTTAGAACAATCGCTAACAGCTATAAAGACTTTCTCATATGCCCTTGAACGCATGAATGCCCCCCTCCCCACCGCACCCGCTCATCACGGCCTGCACGAACAACGGAGTTGCAAGAAGATGCCATCACATTTTCTTTCTACATATTCCTCCTCACACACAAACGACGTGAAGCACAACCATACCCCAGAGGATGTCCTTCTTCACGAAAGCCGCGGCAAACTGACGAGCAAGCCTGGCGTAAGCCGACAGAGTCCAGGGGTAAGTCGGTGTTCCTGTCTCCAGGATGTAGCTGACGTCCACCCACCCCGTTCCCCACAGAATAGTCCCGTTAGGCGACACGGTCGTGGCTTCAATGGGAACTAACTGGTGTCCAGATAGGAATAACGTAACCAGCAAGAACAACGGTGATCCATATGTAGACGTCATCTTTATCTTTGCCGTCATGTCATGTCAAGTCTGCCCTGATGAGGCACAAGGGCTATTCCATTTCTAACGTAGGTGGTGCGGAGATGATGCAATTTAATTTGTCGGGCTTTTTCATATTTTTTCTCAAGCTATCCTGAGATTTTGCCTTCTAAGATTACCGTGATAATCTTGGTGTATTTTGGCAATTTTAGAAATGTGTACATGCCTACCAATATCTAACTGCGATTCCTTCCGTAATGTAGTGGTACAAGCCCAATAGCTGACAGAAAACATTGCTGCATGCAGAAACATGATAGTTAAGAGTTCAGAAAATGAGAGGAGTTCAGAGATCTCAAACCTCCATGAAATATTCAGAGCTGTTGTAAATTATGTTGTTTTATTTTGTCTCATTGACCATGATAAAATAAGCTAGGTTGTAATTAGCATCATTCATTTCAATTGATGGTCTTTTGTAACGTTATTAGAATTAACTCAAAGTTGTGTGAAAGTTTTAACATAACGTTATCCTTTGGCAGAAATTCTATCATTTGGTTCAGTTTTGAAACATTTAAATTTAAAATCTAGATCACTCCAATGCTATTTGAAATATTGAAATAGTAAAATCATTCAAATGTAAGCTGAAGTTGTTGACAGATGTTATTTGCTGTTCATACATACCACAATGTTACTAACGTTATATATTATCACCGAATATAGAGGGGTCAAAACAAAAAAAGGTACGGAAGTTGTCAGGCTTCTTTTCCAAATACTGTATCTAGCCGGTATGACCAGGTAAATTGATAGGATAGATGCATAAAATCTCCTACATCATAACCTACTGAGATCAAATTTATAAAATTCAAAGGATGAACAGTAGTTGGTCAGGATTGTGTTTCAGTACTACTTTCTTCTGCTTCTTTGATCATCTCCCCCACTTTGTGGATAGTTTGAGTCTGTAGTTGGTTCAGTTTCTGGTCTGCTTGTCTGGACTCTGTCCTCACCAGTTCTATCTGGTTCTGTGCCAGCTGTAGTCTCTCCTGGGCAGCCACTGTTGCTGCTTCTGCACCTATCAACCAACAGTAGGCATCAAACTTCCTATAACACAGTAACATGTCAAGTCATACTGTTCAACTTCTGTAGTTGCATTACTTTCAACCTGTCTCACATTTAATAGAGGTGGACACAACAGCTGAAACAAAAAAAAAATTCTAGATAGTTCTGGTCGTGTGGTGCTGTCGTGAGAGGAAATTCTGTTCTGAGCTGTGATCAAAGTAATCTATGCTGACTATCCAACTGTCTTGTAATCTCCTGGCCTTAGGTCTAGTCTACAACTAATCCTAACTTTACATGCAAGTCAAACAAATGTACCAGCTCCTTTCTGATTACAAATCATACCTGTTTGATAAGCTGCTTCAGCTGCTGACTCTATCAGGCGCTGTACAGCCACAAGTGCCACCTCAATGTTCTGCAAAGTCCAGATAGCACAATGTATAGACAGGATCAGGCTATAAACACTGAAAACTTGTTCTTACAAGGGTTTCCTGTTACCTACTGGGCATTGTATCTTGACCAAATACAGGAATCATTCATATCAATTAATTTTTCATTGGCCACGAAGTTTGTTACTTCAATGATGAATTCCAGTACAGCTTTGTAGATAAACAGTCTCGAGATTGTACATGTCTGAGCAAAAAAACAACAACAATTATCTAGCCATGGAGTTCATCAATCCATGACAACCTTATATTAAGTCTACCATTACAGGTGGCATATGGCAAGCTTCTTCTGGTGATCTGTGGTGTTAGAAGACCTGACCTGTAGTTCTCTCCTCTTGTCCTCCAGCTCCACCCTCTGCTGTATGATGAGCTGGGCCACTCTCTCCTCCTCCGCAGGGTTCCCCAGGACCAACGTCTCATACTCCAGCAGTGAAGTTAGCGTGGAAACGATCTGCACAACAAACAGTTCAACAAGCTCAACCTTTGTAGATCAGACCAATTTCATCTCTTTTTAACTTTTTTTGAGGAAACTATTCAGCTATTCAAAATGCAAAAACACTGTTGACCATAATGAATTTTCGAGCTTCATCTAGTATCAGGTCAATGAGTTGACAATATGCTTCACTATACTGTCTATAGATAGGAGGTTGGTTGTTTTCAGGTTAACCTTGGCGTACTCCTGTTCCAGGTGGATTATAGCCATGGTAGTCTGAGACAGTAGAGTGATGGCTGAATCCACCGTCATGGCAGCAGCTGACTTCATCAGGTACTGGTGTGTCAGGGTGCTGGGGTCCGGGGGCTGCAAGAAGGAAGAATCATCAGTATTGGCACAGATTCATCACTGCATCCAAGATAACACACACACAGAATTTTTGACACCATATTTGTATTTGAACAGATGTTGCCCATAAAATTTACCTGTTGTGGCCTTACAAACTGAAGTTGAGCTCTATAATAGGATGGTCTTGATGATATCGAATGGTCTTAATTCTACTTTAAACTAGTCAGTTACTAGAGCTAGCCGTCCCACTGACAAACTTCTTGTTAAATATTTTATAACGTTATATCTTTTAACGAGAATGTACGAGAATGTGGAAGACACTGACAGCCTGCCTCACTGTATTACAAGTACTGAAATGTGGCGATGATGATGATATATCGTTAAATTTAATATATAATATAAATTTAATATTTAATATAAAATATAAATTATACACATTCTTACTTGTAGCTTTGCTGGATACACTGGTTCAGCAGCTCTGACTCTTGCAAGCTGCAAGGTTGACAACATACATCCTGTCCAAACTCCTACAGCAGCACAGATACCAGAACCTCTGCTTCCTCTAAACACACTTCTCGTGGAAGTGCAGATTACATTCTTCAGTTGTGTGAAGCTCTGCTGTCGCCTGAAAATCAACAAGCAAAATTAAATCAGACAAGTGCTCTTAAATTTCATTCCATCTATTTTGTGTGATATCGATGTGTTATTGTGTATATAGCCCAAAGGGTTCATAAACATTAAGTTACAAGGGTTAATATCACTGTAAGGTTATATGTTACATCTAAAGTTTAACTGCCAACCTGAAGCAGAGACGACAAAATGACAACATCATAGAGACTTGAGCATCCAAGTTGCAGCTGGGCCACTTCCTCAGGTCAATGACCTTTACACTTTCAGTCACACAGCAACAATAAAGTATTATTTGCCAGCGTAGATTCAAGTCAAGCGAAATTTGATAAATTCTTTTCGATGGACTGTATGAGTGAAAGTGTAATGAATCGAAATTTGTTAGATATATCATATAGATTAGTTGTATAGTTTGTTTGAGAGAATTGCCCTTCTTCGTCTGATGCACAGTATTTCGGTTTACTCCTGTATTAGAGTGGACTCGTCCAAAGCAGGTCAACAAAGATGGCGGTTTGTTTGAGTCGTGTTGTTGGACCACTTGCCGGGTTAGGGTGTTTGGTTTTGTCAGCGCTGTCGATCTCCAGGGCCGAGGCAGAGGACAGAGAAGGGAAAGGTGCAGGTCCAGCCTGAGTATTGGTGAGTCATCAGTGTCTACTATACCTTTAGGGATAACGTTTTTATCGGCACAGGTCTTGTAACAAAGTTCTGTTGAGAGATAAGGTCTCATTCATGAGTTTTTTCCATACATTAGAAACCATGCATAAATGAGTGACTTGCGAGACCGTGTTCCCTATGATCCTACATTAAATCAATTGATATCTTTCATGCTATGTTGAGCAGACTTACTCTACGTCTCATAAAAAAATTGCCAACGACTTCTATACACACAATCCCATTTTATGGGAATTACAAACTGCAACTAGCGGCTGCCCGCAAGAGGCCCTCCCGCGCTGCAAACCTACGACCGCACAACTCACAACGCTGGACTGTGCACGTCCGACCTAGCGCGCGGCTGCCGACAATTATGTCCTAATTTCATCAGTTACAAACAAGCTTTCACCGCTTTGACGTTTTACATCAGTTGGGATGGCTAAAGGGGAAATTCTCACCAATAAAAACACTCGTTCATACAGCCGTTTAGTTTTTGACTTGGTACTCTTTTAGGGGGTACACTCGGAGTAATACATGAATGAGACCTTAATAACCATTGATTATTAAGATTTTGGTCTTAAATGAAAGAATATACATCCCCTAACAATCTCTGAGAAAGATTTTGTCTCACGTCACTCCGTTACCAAGCAACGGGTCAATAAAGTTGCGTCAAAATTTTGATATGAGCAGCGCCACCTGGCAGTCTGAAATAAAAGTACAACAGATATCTTAATTACCCTTATGACGTGTCGGAAACAGTAATTTATTGTTTTTTCGTTCCGTTGGGTAGATAAGTGTGTTCTGTATGAGATTGTTTGCCTGTAAACCTGAATAGACAGCAAGTGATAGATCTGAACGATGCTGATCATTTGGTGTATGCTGGCAAATGAGACGTAGCATCAGTAAGGACATTGATGTGCATGTTGCATTAGGACACGCCCATAAAAGCGAAAACATCGACATTACACAAACAACAGTAAAGCCAAACATATACACTTGCTAAAATTTGAACTCGAGGTAAGAAGAAGTAAGCGACATGCTGCTGATAGTGCATCTAGCGCACTCTAAAAGTCAACCTAGGCGGGAATGGGGAGTGGTTTACAGAGGTGACGCAAGATGCTGCTTACAAAATGCGTCGGTCATAAGTACTTTTTTCTACTAGTTGAGAAGAATAAAGGCAAAAGAGGCCAAATTGACCATAAACTATCACTCAGAAGGAAGGGAATTCCAGACAGCGTTCTTAGAACAGAGCAAAACAGAAACTTTTCCAATAAAAGTTACAGTAATGCTTTGGCATAATATATCCATTCTCACCTAAGTAGAAATTAACTAAATCTAGTCTGATTTTGCAGTCTGGAAGTCTGGGGGATACAAATTCACGTCAGCTGTAGCGTGTCAGGTGTTTTTCTGTTAGTTTTTTGGGGGGTGCGGGGTAAGGATCCACCGCCCTGACAGTGGCGGGGGGGGGGTGCGCCAGACTCAATGCGTGCATGCGTGCGTGCGTGTGTAGGGGGGGGGTAACAATGGCGACAAATTTCGGCCAGCAGGGTAATCAGACGTAATTGGTATTACTTTGGGATGCAATCAGGTAACCCTACTTGTCAGGCATGCGATTTTAGGTGGGTACACAGTCAGGCTGCGGGCAAGGTGGTTTTGAACAATCCGTGGCGCATCGGATTGCCTTGTATTTGACGCTTTTCCTGAAAGCAGAGCGCACATACCTTTATTATTTTAATCTTTTCCTGTTCTGTGNGGTAGGTTGGGGGGGGGGGTAACGAATGGCACAAATTTCGGCCAGCGGGGTAATCAGACGTAATGGGAATTACTTTGGGATGCAATCAGGTAACCCTACTTGTCAGGCATGCGATTTTAGGTGGGTACACAGTCAGGCTGCGGGCAAGGTGGTTTTGAACAATCCGTGGCGCATCGGATTGCCTTGTATTTGACGCTTTTCCTGAAAGCAGAGCACACATACCTTTATTATTTGAATCTTTTCCTGCTCTGTGGTTCATTAACTCTATCCACAATTTCATATGAACATCTAAGTTCCGTAATCGACGCTTCTAATGTTTGCATGTGTTGTCCGTGAATTTGGGTTTACACGATTTCTATATAATTTGCAAGCGTGTGCTTGTCAGTCCTTGCTTTACAGACGTCTTACACAACACTGATAGTCAGGGAATAATCTTCAGTGTATGTATCATTGACTATGACAGCTTTTCAAAACGTTATTTGACTGTAAATCTTTGTAAAACGGAGAATGGAGAAAGGACGGCGTCAATCAACCCCCGCAGAAATGGCCTCGTCCGTTGCCATGGCAACGGGCGTGGTTACGCAATGCAACTTGCGCTGAAAAATCGGACATAAAATCCTGGGCAAACATTGTTCAAAAATTGGGACCTTAGCACTAATCGTTGATTTTTAATGAATATTTTTCATATTTAATTAAGGTCTCATTCATGAGTTTTTTCCATACATTAGAAACCATGCATAAATGAGTGACTTGCGAGACCGTGTTCCCTATGATCCTACATTAAATCAATTGATATCTTTCATGCTATGTTGAGCACACTTACTCTACGTCTCATAAAAAAATTGCCAACGACTTCTATACACACAATCCCATTTTATGGGAATTACAAACTGCAACTAGCGGCTGCCCGCAAGAGGCCCTCCCGCGCTGCAAACCTACGACCGCACAACTCACAACGCTGGACTGTGCACGTCCGACCTAGCGCGCGGCTGCCGACAATTATGTCCTAATTTCATCAGTTACAAACAAGCTTTCACCGCTTTGACGTTTTACATCAGTTGGGATGGCTAAAGGGGAAATTCTCACCAATAAAAACACTCGTTCATACAGCCGTTTAGTTTTTGACTTGGTACTCTTTTAGGGGGGTACACTCGGAGTAATACATGAATGAGACCATAATAAATTTTCGCCGTGGCTATATACACTCCCGGTGTGTATATAAAAGACAAATAGATTTTATATACACTCCGAAATACTAGCCTCCTTGGTAGGCCCAAAACTTGGGTTTTTGTGAGTGTTTGAGGATTCAGGGGCACCAAGTTTAAACCTCGGTCTTCAAGTTTATCTTATTGGATGATGAAAATCAGAAAACAACACGGAAATCTCCACCGAAGTTCGGTCGAGCGGACCGCCCCGCCCCGCTTGCGCGGGGCCCAGGACCCTCCGCTCCCGGCGGCGGCGGCGAGACCGGTCGCGCGCCCCTGGCGTCCTCGCTACCTGGTTGATCCTGCCAGTAGTCATAGGCTTGTCTCAAAGTTTAAGCCATGCACGTGCAAGTTTAAACTGTCTCAGTGAAACTGCGAATGGCTCATTAAATCAGTTATGGTTCCTTTGATCGTCACATCCTACATGGATAACTGTGGTAATTCTAGAGCTAATACATGCGGAAGAAGCGCCGACCTCACGGTCTGGCGTGCATTTATCAGACCAAGACCAACCCGGGGTTCGCCCCGGTCCCTTTGGTGACTCCGGATAACACAGCCGATCGCGCGGTCTTCGCACCGGCGACAGATCATTCGAATGCCCTATCAACTTTCCGGGAGTGTATATAAAAGACAAATAGATCTTATATACACACCGGGAGTGTATATAAAAGACAAATAGATTTTATATACACTCCCGGAGTGTATATAAAAGACAAATAGATTTTATATACACTCCGGGAGTGTATATAAAAGACAAATAGATTTTATATACACTCCGGGAGTGTATATAGCCACGTTCATAAATTTTATGTGGCCTTGAACTCAAATATTTCGAATCAAATCAAAATTATGAATGGGTTACAAAACTTACTTGGAAACAGAGACTTGCAAGCTAATCACAAAACCTTCAGTATTCCTGTCAGACGGAGCAGTGCAGATTTTGTACGTATACATTAGACAAAGGTGTCCGAGGAGGTCAACTTGTATACACTGCTGTTAATAATTACACTAGCAAAGGGGACAAAGATCAGAACTGGAAACACCCTATTTAGTCTCGTCTTTTTGGAGAGTAGTTGACATACATGTATGAAGGATAAATGAAATCATGGATTGGAACTTTAGATGTCTTCTACTATGCACTATACTGATAGCTGTGGAGTCAAAGGTAGACAAGTTCCCAACTGACATAGGTAAGATTCAATTAATCACCATTTATGAAGGGAGAGTTACAAATAAGTAGGGGTAGGCTGGGGTGGGCTCAAGGCAATCAAAGGTGGTATCACCTTTGATACTTGAAGCATGAAGGTAGTTTTAGAAGAGAGTAGTGTTACATGGAGGGGGGTTCAAGTTTGGAAAATTATAGAGTGGTTGATTGTGGAATATTCATGATCCATTTCTGCAAAATGTTTACTTTGCATTTTCACTCCTCCTCTTCCCCATTTTGCATAATGAGTAGGAGGGGTGAAATATGCTGTGTTTGCTTGCAAATTTTGCCTTTTAAGTTCTGATTTTCTCTACAGCTGTGATTGGAGCAGGGATTGGTGGTGCATCATCGGCATACTATCTGAGAAAGCTATTTGGCAATGATGTCTCCATTGACATGTACGAACCACATAAAGTCGGAGGACGCTTAGCTACTGTGAAGATCGGTGACGAGGAATATGAATCAGGGGGAACCATCATCCACCCTAAAAACCATTACATGGTGAAGTTTGCTGAAGAACTGGGTAACTTATTTCTGGTACTGTATATAGGGTAACAACAAAATTATTCATAACCTTTTATAACTTTGTACTGATTTTGTTATGTAAAATATGGATTTGTTCTTTTATGAGCTAACGTTACTGGCGCAAGTTAAAAACATTGACAGATGACAGTATCCCCACATTGCCTGATACAAGCTATTGTGTTGCTTTTTTTCTTAATTTGGAGAGTGTGGGCTGTTTTAGAATGAGACTTGTGCAATGATGTTCTTTTACAGTGGCATATATCATGTCAGACTCAAAGGATTTGTTGTTGTAACTTAAATAGTCACAGTATACATGTACATGTAACATTAAATGTTACATCTGCCTTGCTGATCTGCTTTATATCACTTTTGTACCATTGCCACTAAGACATGCTATAGAAAGCAGAGCCTAGCTACAAATGTACTTGGGACAGGTAATAACACTGCCACTGACATCTGTCTTACAGGTTTGAAACACAGAAAGTCCTTCCCCGATCGCTTTGCACTGTACAACGGACAAGAGTTTGTCTTCACAGAGAGCACATTCAGTCTTCTCACACTTGTGAAGTTACTATGGCGATATGGATGGGACTGTGTTCGGCTCAATCAGTTGATTGGACGAACTCTGACCCACTTTGAGAAGTAAAGCTTGTTTCCAGTTCTATTATTACACTGATTTGTAACATTTGCTTGTCAGATTGCTGATCATTTCCTATCATTTCCTATTCTCCAGTACAAACTAGCTGCTTCTAATGGTCCCCATTTAAGATCAGTGAAATAAGTATATAGGTTTTGAAATTCATGATAAGTCTGCTGTTACAGTAGCTATAAAAATGTAAATAAATGAGAATACCCTGTTCATACATAAATATATCCTGATCATTATCAGATGCTATACTGGTATTATATCAGATGTTTATGACAACAAATCTCCCATCTCCTTATACTTCCAATAGAACGGACTCAGTCTGATATGTGTGACATTTCCTTTGCTCCTAGTATCTACACCCTGCAGGATGCTGGAAATGCCTACAGTTCAGTGGAGGAACTGCTCTATGCCATGGGTGGAGCCAAGTTTGTCAACATGACACAGACGTCTATCACAGAGGGAATGAAAGAGGAGGGTTTCTCAACAAGGTTCATCAACGAACTGGCCATGGCAGCCATGAGAACAAACTACGGACAAACCGTAGACATTCCCTACTTTGTAGGTGAGTATGAATATCCCTATTATATAATGTCCATCCTTTGAATTTGATTTTGTATACATCATTAGCAAGCAAGTTGAGTAAGATATCATCTGGTCAGAAATGTTTACTCTATGAATAATGGAAAACTATCAGATTCTGTTTTTGTTTGAAACTCCCTGTAAGTGTAGAGACAGGTAAGGGATATTACACGACAGAGAGTGTCTCAGGGAGTCACATATGTGGCCTTTATGTTGAAATCCATCAAAGGATTAATTATGTCATCACCCACAACTACTAGTATTTCAAGCATCATTATCTTGTCTTCAAATATTTTATATTTCTTGCCAGTACTTCTGTCAACTCAATTGCATGTTACATCAATGGAGTAGGTGTGGAATCTTCCAGAGTGCAATAATAAGAGATATGATGTTTGATATTTTGCAGGTTCTGTATCGTTGGCAGGGGCGCAGCCAGGTCTGTGGGCGGTGGATGGAGGGAACAAAAGAGTCCCAGAAGAATTAGTCAAGACAGCCAAGGCCAATCTTATTCCTGGTGAGGTGTCCAAGGTCTCCTTAAAAACATCAGGAGATCGTCCTAAGTTTCAACTCCAGTACCAATTGAAAGACCCTAATGATAACCAAATACTGACAGAACAGAAAGATTATGACCTTGTTATTGTTGCCACCCCACTAAATGAAGGAAAAAGCAACATCACATTTTCTGATTTTTCCACCCCTCTCCCAGAGATAAAGGGCAGGTTCCACAGAACTGTGGCCACATTTGTGCAGGGAAGGTTAAATGCAGAGTATTTAGGTATTTCTGACCCAAAGGCCACTCCTACATCCATTCTGACCGTTAATGCTGACATTCTATTCAACAGTATAGGTAAACACACCCCTATAACCACTCCTAAAGCCTACACTCCTGTAGGGCCTGACAGTGAGAATGCTGTGTGGAAAGTTTTCTCCCAGCGCCCACTGACAGACTCAGAGATTGGTCAGTTATTTACCGTGGTGAAACATACCCAGGTTGTTGATTGGCTGGCATACCCACACTACACTATCCCTGGCCATCTGGGGACCTTTGTCCTCCATGAGGGGCTGTACTATGTGAATGGCATCGAGTGGGCTGCCTCTGCCATGGAGATGAGTGCAATAGGGGGGAGAAATGTGGCTCTCCTGTCCTACAACTGGTGGTATGGGTTAGATGGGAAGGTAGACCCTGGAAGGAAGACTCAGTCAACCAAGACAGAGCTTTGAGTACATGGGCTGTGTTAGAGGAGGCTAGCAGTATCAATCAGGCTTTATTGGTCACGCATTATATATGGTATATAATCTTGCTAACTGTGATTAGAAATGGTATTGGAATCCAGTTGTTATCTGGTGTAGGAAACATGGTGAGAGCTGTAAATATAACAAATACTTTGGAGGCATGTAGAATTATAAACCTATGCAACAGAGTAGTGTAAAACACAAGAATTATAGCACTGTATTTTACAATTACAAACAACTGCATGAATGTGTAAGAAAATGTCCACAACAACCTGAGTAAAACTGGGAGTATAATGTCCCTTTAGATACTACTTCGACTCTGTAATGATGCAATATTAAAGCATGCCTTTCAATCTTTACATATGAAGCTATAAATACTTTTTTGATAATTTGTTGAATGGCTGTCTTTGATATCTATGACACCTGGTAGCAAAAGTGCATTTGTTGTACCTATCTAAGGCATAGTCAGATGATACATGCATAAAGAAATACAGACAATCACAGAGCTGAAAAGTGACCTTGGCCAGTGCAGCTTGGAAGTTCTCTTGAGAACTTTTCACCATGTTAGTTATGACCTACATGTACCAAAGATAGCTTATAACACGAACAAAAAGGACTCTTCCACCATGTTTGGACATTATATATTACTCAGTCCCGTGTGTCTATCAAACGACAGTTTGATTGTTTTCAGTATAAACTCACAGGTCCATATGTATATACAAACATACATCTAACTGTTTTGGTTTTGCCAAGAAGGTGGACATCATACAAATTTGTAGGTGACCTTTTTAGTAAAGCCGAGTCACATTTATCATATGACATGTGTACCAAAAGAACCTGTTCAACTTTTTAGTTCGCAAAGAAGCAGCTACAGTTAGGCACACATCCGCTAGAGGTTAGCCTGACTAAACCGCGCTCCTGGCGGCCGTCGCCCGTAGCTTTTTGGGGTGGAGGTTATTAACCTCCGACCGAGAGCTTGTGCAAACAAAGGCTACAATAAATTCTTAGGCACCAAAACAACTCGTATTGTGGCACAACTCGTATTGTGGCAAAAAAAACAGTAGCCACTAAGTGTCCATACACATTATATTGCTAACTTTTGACTAACTTATTGCTAATTTATTATTGCTAACTTAAGTATTTTGGATAATGGGATACTCCCGCAATGTCTCTATTAAACCTCCATGGTCAAAGGCAAGCATGTCTAATGTCAGCCCTCGGTGTAGGTGTGTCCCTTTATAATTAATTGACCACATTGGTGTGGACCAATCACGCGCTCCTTTTTACGTTCATTGTGTTGGACGGTGTGACGTCACGACAGACAACAACAAGCATCCCCACAGCTATATGACAAGTCTTCTCGGTGCTTAAGAAGATCTTAGACTAGGCTTCCTCAGGGATATCATTTTCACAGTTGAAACTTAGCCGGCTTTTCCCCTATCAGAGGACGACCAGGCCAGCTGATCCATGCAGGACATCCGTGTTTGGTGACGTGTTGTCTCACCTGCATTCACTCCGTGTTTTGCAAATATGGTTGGTGGTATCCGACAATTATGGCGCGCCTTTCCGGTAAAACAGGTACGTGGAGACACAGCTGGGGGCACCTGAGTGGCAGTAGGGTGGGGGTAGGGCTATGTACGACTTGCCTTAATGTGCCGAGTCTGCAGACAGACTTGTACCTTGATTTTACGCTGTGTAACACTATACAACCCGGCTTGATTTTTGAGTCGTCACTCGGTGTCTGGCATCCATACCAACAAATATGACTCTGTACGTACGTCGACGACAACGATACTGTTAAGACAGCCTTAATCTATTGGAAAGTTGAACATGAGACAGCTTACAAAACTGACGCAAGTTGAAAACGGGTCTAGAGGAGACCGCTGGATAATGATTTGTGATTAACACTACACATTATTAAACGAATACAAGTAAGTATAGTATTAGTATATGAAAAATGACCGACTGTCGCCCACTGAGTAAGATTAACTGTAGAAAATAAAATGATTCTCTGCTATTTGTGCTGTTCGATGAGAAGTAGGCAGTAATCGAGTTTGACAAGTTATATGACAGTTTGACAAGTTATTTCACAGATACAGACAGACCATCCATTCACCGACCGCGTACAGAAGTGGTAACCTGATATGGGGTCATGGCCACTACGGTTTAGGTTACAAACTGGAACAATACGAGCGGTCGCATGTCACGAACCGGCTCCAGCGAGTGGCAGGCAAAAAGCGCGTGGTGGTTGGGTCATTTGCCAACTAATGATTTGTATTTGCCTACCTATAATTTGCATATGCTTAACAGCAATTGATGATCCCATAAAAAGCGACCACTGATCATGGCTCGTATGGATTCGTCATGTCTCCATCAACATTTATCTGCCGGGTTACATATATCTGCCACTGTAACAAACTAGTTGGCGTATATATGTGTGACCTGGCGGAATTGTGTTTAATTAAGTTAACTTACGTAACAATAGACTTACGTGTTCATATACATGACGCTTTAGTCTGTAAAATAAATTGAACATGATACTTAGTGAATGATAAATGGCGTGGTACAACAATAACATTGTCCTGACTTCAGGTTACAGTGTTAGGGGTGCTGCTGACGGCGGATGCCTTTACTGTAAGCGTGTCGGCGCCGTTCTTCCCGTTCCTCACACACGACTTCTTCCCTTCCCTGAAGAGTAACCAGCTAGGTAAAGCACATTTCGTTCTTGACGACTTCACAATAATCTTTTCAAATTAACTTTGGCAATTAATTGATGTTTCCATGTGAATTTTATTGTAATAAGAGACATTTATTAGGCTCTAACTAAAAGGAATGACATGGTGTCTGTTCCCCCCGTGTTAGGGTATTATGCCGGGTTCCTGATGAGTGCATTCTTTGCTGGTACGTTTGTGGGATGCTTCATGGTAGGTATACTAGTATCTTGGCTACGCTCCAAATTTTGGCTACTTATGTTTTTTTAATAATGTAGCTCACCGGATTTGTTCCGGATGCATGGTGCTTTCAAGTCCTACATTACTAGCTTTTCGCTGTCGTCATAGGTATGTAATAACTTGTGTTCTCTCTTCTAGTGGGGGAAACTGTCGGACATCGTCGGCCGAAGGTAGGATCAGGGTTTCTCTCAATATACCACCACTGAAAGGGGTAATTACAGGTTCAGGGTTTGAAACCGTTAACAATCACATTCTTATATTACGTGACAAGATTCTTGCGAGAAGTTCCCATGTCGTGAACGACACCTTATCGGAGAACGCGTTATGCGTTTACATTGCCATTGGACATCCAAAAATCAAAAATCAGTGTGAGGAAATAATGCAGTATATTGTAGTGTGATGAAAAATGACTCTGAGTTCCTTCTGCCCAGACCTATACTGCTGTGTGGAGTGACGGGCCTGATGCTGTCCATTTTCATGTTGGGATTCAGGTAGGGCGATCAGAATACATGGTTTTTGTCTGTATTTTCACTGGACCTCTCCAACAATCTAGAAATGTCACTTGACTATTCAACAATTCAGACCTAAACCTATCACCGCGTTTGTCTCATGTGGTACATACTAAATGTGTGATCAGATACTGAATGAAAAAGTCTCACACTAAATAATGTTGCAATTTGTCTTCTCAAATTAGTATTATAAATGTTAGACCACATAACGTTAACCAACCAATCATCATCCTGAACAATGATTAACCTGACCAATCAACACCGTTCTTACCTCCTCCAAGCTTCTCCTTCGCGTGGGCCGTCGGTGTGCAATTTTTCGGAGGGTTTCTGAATGGGAATCTGGGCGTGGCCAAGACGTACTTATACGAGGTGAATGTTAACATTAAGATTGTAGATTTTCATGGAAGGATGCGTGTTGTAATGCTAGCCTTTGAATGATATGAAATTAGGGCTGCTTGTAGTACAACTTCACAGGCTTGTTCACATGTATGTTCACCAGTTCAGTCTCGGATCAGGCCATATTGGTTGTTTACGAATTTTGAAAACACTACATTGTCTCCTATGATTCATTATTTCTCTTTGCTGATTTTTTTTTATCCTTCCAGATTTGTTCTCCAAGGTTTCATTCACTTGCCTTTTCCATCGTCTGGATCCTCCCTTCTGCGGCGCGGTTTGTGGTGAGTATGACGCAAGGTCCAGGCGTTGATTCTAGAAACGACTATTCTGTTGTAAAAAAAACGTTGAGTCAGTGTTACGTTCACAGAAGTTAACTGATTCTATTTCGCTATTATTTTTAATGATAGCAAATGTGTAATACGTCGCAGTTGATGATCCACACAGCTGGTAAAGTTGTTGTTATCTTCTACCACCTTCCCGCCTGTCTAGGGTCCGGTGCTGGGCGGATTTTTGGCCTGCCCGGCGACAAGATTCCACTCTTTTTCCCAGCCGTTCTTCAAGCAGTTCCCGTACATGCTGCCCTGTACCGTGGTGGCAGTCCTGCTATTGTTTATTCTGATAGGTAAGTTTGGGACAGTTATATTCCATTGGCGGTGATATGGGGCTCATCGCTGTGTGAGCAACGCTAGCATCTGTACATCTTCATTATGAAAAGACAATTAACCATGCATTGAAGGATTGCCGAAATGAACGTTTGAAAGGACATCCGAAACTTCAAAGAACGATCATGCGAGGCTCTTTTGCAATAAATTCCTTAAGAACAGAGTATTGATGAATGAAATTAGACCCACGTGTAAATTTGCCAAGAATGTATACTTCACAGATAAGAGTGTCTTTGCGCGCCAGGCTACAGCTTTGTTTTAACAAAAATCATTATTGACATTCAATATCTCTACATAATTTTCACTCGAATGTCACATAACCTGGCATGCAGGCGGCTGCATTTTTCTTGACGAATCTCTGCACAAGAAGCCTGAAGACGAATACATCACACTCAGCCCCATCTCACCCGCAGACGGGACGGAACACGACAAAGAAAAGCACCCCCGTGAGTACCGGTGTTTCCTATTCCGAACCACCCATCGAACTCAATACTGTGCTTCTAAAAAATCTGCACGATCTACTAAATAGCTAGAAACTTACGTAGATTGGAAAGAACTGAAATAAGTCTGTAGCTATAGCGTACATGTATGTGTAGTGACTGTAGCTATAGCGTATGTGTGTAAAATGATTTCACATTAATTTCTCTACATACAACCATAGAAATCTCATCTACCTTTTTTTCTGTATCCTTAACAGTTTTATGACGTAACGGAATACAGTGGTTACTATGTACAAGAATGTTTGATGGAAGTACGTGGTTACTATGTATAACATGAGTATGTCGCTGTGTCTGACATTTGGTACAGGCCCCCAGGACTCCACGTGCAGCCTGCTGCGGGACAGACTGGTGCTGATCCCCTGTGCGCTGTACGCTCTCTTCGCACTGACGGAAATCTGTGCATTCCAACAGGTGGTTACAACTTGGGCTGTAGATAACATTTCAAACCATTGCATCAATAGCTCAAACTAGAACGAACAGACCACACTCGATAAGCTTTGGATATTACATTCCTGGAAAATAAGCTACTCTGATGATGATCTTGTTTACATCCCATCTGTTTATCTCTCTCCCTCCAGCTGCTACCCCTCCTCCTGGTGTCCGACTCCCAGCATGGCGGCTATAACTTCGACTCAGCAGAGATTTCAATTGTTCTTACGACCACCGCCATTTACAGTCTTGTTACGCAGGTATTTTCTTGTCTTTCCAATACATAATTGGATAGTTGCAACTCAAGTCATCTCAAACATAGATGGTGATAAAGAATGTCAGTGCCGAATTCAATAAACCCGGTCTTTCTGCTCCATTCCGATTGAGACCATTTAATTTCTAAAGGCTGTATCACATATCAGTCATGTCATGTCGACATACAGTCAAGATCAAACTGGTTAATAGCTTTCCTTGTCTAATTCTTCCTCCTCAAGGCGACACTCATTCCTTTTATGGCGTCCAAGATGCCCTACAAGACCCTGTACGTATCCGGAGTTGTTCTGTACGCAGCAGGAGTCGCCTTGCTTCCGTCCATGGTCAACATCACGGGGCCCATTAAAGGTCCACTCCTCTCCACGGTCCTCAACCAAACAGCGAACTCTACCGATATTCCCTTGAACTTCACTGAGAATCCATATCCCACATTACCCGCTTTGGTAGAAATGAATGTGACCGCGAGACCAGTTACCGGCCAGTGTCAGATCGCCGGGGACAGGAGGCAGACCTCCCAGGTCCCGGCCTCAGAAGTTCCCGCCAGGGTTTGGGGCCCTCTGCTGTTTTCTGCATGTTGCTAGAGCAGGCCAGGTAAGCTTCTGTTTAAAAAAAAATCTTGTTGTAGAGTACGTAATATTAAGTAGCAAATGTTCTAGCTAATAATAGGTATTGTTTTTACAGGCATTTTGGTCATTGTTTCAGTTGACCAAGAAAAGCTATTAGAAAATAAAACGTTCATTTCTCAAACTTGATCTTGGTCTGGCCTCTGTTTTCCATGATTCTGTTGATGGTTGTCTTTCCTCGGTCTTCCAGCTGCCAAGCGTACATGGCCGCCATTGTGATGGTGGGAAACGCTGCTTTTGTGAGTAAGATTTCTTCAACAATGATATGATATCGAACTAAAGATCAGCATACGTGGAACACAAATAATGTCATAGTCACTTTACTAACGTGGAGTGGGAGTATTTGAGCTTGGGACTTGAATTAGTGCAAGATAAAATGTCTCCAAAATGGAAATAATAGAGCTCGTGTCATAGCATTAAGAATATTACTATTGACTGGCGTAATGCTTTATTGTAACTTTGATTTAATGTGAATGACATGTACTGCTGACATTGGTAGTAACACAATTTCCTCCTGCACAGCAATCGTCCCGGGGAACTGTGAACGGCATCGCGCAGACCCTGGCGGCCCTGTCCCGGCTTGTCGGGCCGGCTGTGAGCGCCAACCTCTTCGCATGGACCACCGATAATGGTGAAATACTATATAATATTGATTTCTGTTTAAAGACTTACAGTAATGTACAAAAGGATGAGCAAAGTGTAAGAAAACAGAACATACAAGTCCACAAGTCTAATAACAAACGAGAGGTTGTCTTATGATGAGATGAAAGGTGGCCGTAAAACAGAACTGAGTAAAACCGGTGACCTCTCATTTTGCAGGTTGTCAAGAACGACTAAACTTTGTTTGCATCCATTTTATCTCGGGAAGGATTTCTGTTGTTGACTTTTGTGTATGTTTTGTAGGACTGCCCTGGCCGCTGGACCACCACATGTCCTTCTACCTCCTGGTGGTGTCCTGTCTCCTCATGGCGTTCCTCTGCACCAGACTACCGGCCGCCAGCAACCTGCCCAGGGCCGCGGCGGGGAACGGCGGCCAGGCATGGCCGGAGGAACACAGCGGAAGGAGGGAGGCGGGAGACGATGAAGAGAAACAAAGTATACATGTTCAGACAAGCGAGGACAAAACGTGGATTGAAGGCATAGATGATGAAGATGATTTTGAAACAGATCAATTACTTACCTCAAATATAACATAGACTGCGCGTTAATAATCAAGTTGTAAGTTCGTTTAGGTATGATATGATTAAATATTGTAAGTTATCTATGTTGACTCTTCTCTTCTTGAAGGCACGCCTACCGATACTACCAGCCAGTCATACCAGGGAAGCCGGTAAGATACACATTCGGTCTCGGTACAAAATATGCTTGCTGGTCCTGGCACGGAAACGAGCGCGGCGCAATTCGGACATAAAGAAGCTTTTGATGCTCTCCGCTTATCAATATTCAAAAAGTGGCTGATTTTTTGTTCGATGAGTTATGAAAAAATCGTTTTCTTGACGTTATCTAACATGTCCACAGGTGACTGAATCTGGGTTGTCAGGACATATTGCCGGGTGGGCACAGCACGACACAACACATGTACACACGCACACACATCTGAGAACGGAGGGAGAGACGCACACTGACAGGATATTCTGCAATCTTGCGAAAACAGAACGAATGAACACACTGAATCTAATTTTCTTGATAGAAAAACGTTTCAAGCATAATCTGAGAAAGATAATACTTGTGGCTTGGTGGTTAACCGGTTAAGCATTTTCTAGTTCTGCAAAAATGATTTGAAAACTTCTAGCATTCAAATAATACATTAGACAATGCGCTGTATTTTTTGTCTTATTTCCCACCATAGTATGCTTGCGTCAAAAGTACTTGTACGATTGCTTTCTTGCAAAAGTTCTTAAAGTGGCATAAAACCGATGACAAGAGCTCACCATAACGAAAGATACACGAAACTACACGTACACTGCAGTACCAAATAAGTCCGCATAATGGATTCGTAACGCAACTCTAGCAAACACCTATCAACACTACAACAGACCACATATCACAAAGTTCAATCCATCAAAACCTGTTGCTCATCAAAGCTCCCCTCCAACCAACCAACCAACCAACCAACCAACCAACCAACCAACCAACCAACCAACCAACCAACCAACCAACCGAACAGATAGAACCTGAAGATGAAGGTCCGGATCCCAAGGCATTATGTGAAGTAAAGACATGCAAAGAAATGTTGGTGGCCCTGATATGTATGTTAGCCTCTGATTACAGTACAGTGTTGAAAAAAAGAGAGGAATATTTGACTGGAGTTTGTGATACTTGATTGTATATGAAGTTGTCTTCTGATAGTTGTGTAAACAATAATTCTTGTCTTTTTCTTCTTTACCATACCATGTATTTGTTGTATGGACCTCTGCGATCCAACACCCATTGTTTATTGCTGTTATCGCACATTGTTAGACATTCCGTGGGTATCATATTTCTCTGCCGCAGTGTTATAAACGAGTCGTTGTCCTTTTGGGATAGGACAGCATAGCCATGATAATAAAGCTGAACCCTTGTCGGCTCCAGGTCAAATAGCTCCGGTTATATTACCGGACGCATCATGTTCTTGAATTAGCTCCGCTGGTCTGCCATTGTGCAGAGGAGCAGGCAAGATGGAGGCTGTATGGTCAGGTGCCGGGGGCGGGCTGGGGGTACCGGGTACGTACGGAGACGTGCCCCTAACACCGAGGACGCTTCAACGGAACTTTTCTGCCTGGTTTCGGAGTCAGCCACCCCGCTGGAAGGACGTCTCACCGTCTGGCAGACGGAAGATCCCGCAAAGATTCTTGTCATCCCACTTGAACAGAGTCATCATCAATGTGAGCGGGATGCGCATCGAAACACAGCTGGACACACTAGACCGCTACCCTAACACACTTCTGGGTAACAGGGAGAAAAGACGGAAGTACTACGATCCGGTAAAAAGAGAATATTTCTTTGACCGTCATCGTCCCAGCGCGGAGGCCATACTCGCCTTCTACCAGACGCACGGAACGCTGACGCGGCCGTTTGAAGTGCCACTGGACGTGTTCACAGACGAGCTGAAATTCTTCGAGATTGACCCCGAGTCTATAGCCGAAATCCGCGCTGCAGAGGGATTCGTCAAGGCAAAGGTGCGAAAAAGTCCCCAGAGTGAGACACAGAGAAAAGTCTGGGAGATGACGGACTGCAGCCCTGATAAGTTCCGAAAAGCCAAGGTATTCTCGTACCTGTGTATTTTCTTCACCCTTTTATCAACAGGCGCCCTCTGTGCAGAGTCGCTGCCGGCTTTATCCGGTGTCCTTACTGATGAACACACTCGATTCACAAACCCCTTTTTTGTCATAGAAGCTGTGTCTGCCGTCTTCTTTGCAATAGAGGTCTCGCTTCGACTTTACAGTAGTCCAGATATCCGCAAATATACCCGAACAAAACTCGGACTCCTCGACCTCGCCTCCGTAGTGCCGGTGGTGGTGAACGCCATCGTTCTATCACAGGTACGAGACGCGGGCACCGTGAGCACGGTCCTGCGGTACATGCGGTTCCTGCGCTCCCTCAGAGTCTTCAAGTTGTCCCGGTACTCCAGAGGACTGAGAATTATCGGCCAGGCTCTGGCAAGCAGTTCTAATGACATAGCCATGCTCCTGTTCTTCATGGCGATCCTCATCGTCCTGTTCGCTGCCGGGATGTACTTTGTGGAGGTGAACGTTCCCGGGACAGCTTACACCAGCATCCCGGACGGCTTCTGGTGGGCACTCGTTACCATGGTAACGCTCGGATATGGCGATATGTACCCTACCACCGGACTGGGCAAATTCATCGGTTCCCTTTTAGCGCTAGCCGGGATCCTGACCATCGCCCTCCCCGTGCCCATCATCGTGACCAGGTTTGACGTCATCTACAACACGAAGGAGGACCCGCCGGAGGAGGAGGAGGAGGGGGAGGAGGCGGCGGAGGAGATGGAGGACGCCGAGCCGCGCATGCCCGAGTCAATGGTCTCATCAGACAGACTGATTCCTGAGATGATCATCACTGACTGCGGTTAAGCACCGCGGTCAAACTAAAACACTAAAACTGACTCAGATGGGATGACTCAATGACACGGTTTTATCAGTTCAAATCAGAGAGTTCTCTTGTTCAATTCATCTATTGCTGGATATGCATGTTGACAAACAGAACTCGGAGGTAATCTCCAAGCAGATCATACGTTGGCAAGGCAGTATCCATTGGCCAGAGGAGTGGCTGCCTACTGAACACTCCTCTGGCCAATAGATACTGACTTGCCACCGTATGATCTGCTTGGAGATTACTCGGAGGCCTAACTCCCATGTTCTACTTAGACTGAATATGTTTTTTTTTCGCACGACGTCTGCGCAAGTTCTAATACTTGAGCGTGAAACTTCACACATGTTGTCATAAAATGATTATACACTATTGTACATGTTATAAATGTTATAAATGTTGTATGCGAATACAATAAGAGCCTCTGTGACCACCCGTTGAGCAAAGCGTTACTGAGTACTACTGAGTGAAAGAGCCACCAGGGTTATTGTATGCAGAAATGAAATATGGAGCTGTAACGTGTATCACATTTTGCAATCTAACGGGGATGACCTGAACAAAGATGTGATATCATGATCATGTTTGTGCTTTCGGTCGAGACAGCGTGGTGCGCACAGAGTGCTTGTTTCATCGGTCCAAAATCTTATGTTGCATTGTGTACATATCTGTACATGACCGTGACCTTGTACTGATAAATATAACATGTAGGTCATCAGTGGTATTTGAGAGCTGTATTTGTGTCAGCTCTGTCGGCTGTCTATCTAATACGATAGTTGGGTGTGAAAGCAAATGCCAACATTAGGGGTAAGGCATTAAGTCATATCATATCATATCATATCATATCATATCATATCAGTATCACTAAGGGACACCTATTTTTCTCCTCTCTCCTTGTCAGCAAGATAAATTAATATTAATTTTTCTTACCTTCAGAGAGCATCATGTCACATAGATGTGCAGGTGGGGTCAGAATGTAGGGGGCAAGCCGATTAGTTCGCAGCATGATACGCTAGAATAGATACTTCTTAATTCTTATCCTTTTTAGGTAGGATGAGGTAAATCGAAACTCTGCTTTGCTGTATTATATCTAAGCGCTTGCTGCGATGTAAAAATAGGATGATTCTTAAATGGAAGACAGGGATAAAATGAAAGAAGCTTGTTCGGCTCGTATGTTGTAAACCTATAGCTATGAAAGCGGATGGCTGGTCTATTCCTATCCACGTGCTACCGTTGGAAACAGATCAATGACATGAGGACGGGTGTGGAGAATGTCACACAAGGGAATGTCATTAGTGCTGCTTTATTTAAATACGATTGTATTCCTCTGGATGTGAGGGCTCCGCAAGACCTACACTGCAAGTTATTCGCCGCCCGAGCGATCGGTACGAGTACATGTATTTTGAAAAAGGTAAAACCAAAACCTCCATGACAAGTTACTACTGGGTATATAATGTATGAATGATAATTCGTGAATCGGGTTTCATCATGTTGGTAAATAACCGGGTAAAAGATTTGTTCATCTCAACCTAGTGTTGTTAGTTTTAAAAACTCTGACACTGTTTTGGAATAGCACTTCTTTTGTGGCAATGTAATAGAATGTTGTTGTTGTGTTCTGTTTATCTTATGGCTCGTGTGTCTGCCACGTTAATTAACGAATTATGCGTAAGTCTGCTGATATGTTCACCCTTTCAAAGTATAAAATCCTCATCCTTTACCACTATGATATTATTTTCTAATTAATGATATTATATTATTTTCTAATTGTTATACACATGAGCTCTTCATTTGTATAATTGACATCTATATATGTTCCTGTTTTTCTTAGTTTCATATGTCACATGTTATCATGAAACGCCTAAAAGGCGGTTTACCGGTTATGCATATGCGAAACAAACAAACAAACACAGCTAATTTATAAACATTCATCTTTAATTATGGAAATTAGCCCTTGATCAACAGCTAATTATAACGACCATCACTTAAGCTACCTACATACCAAAATCCATGAAAGTACATCGATCCGTTTTCGAGTTATAACCTTCCAAAGTATCGAACGAAATTGTTCCCTGCAGTTCCAATAAAGATGCTAGGGGTCCTAATATACACCACATCTTCGCGAGGCCAAGAGTAACTACCACCCAAAGTCCATGACCCTAGCATATCCAGAACACGAGATATTGAAACCGACAAGCCCGCTGCAGTACTGTAGAAATAGGTCAGGGAATTCGAAGTGGAAATCGGGAATAATCTAATAATTTTCTTCATTTTGCCGACACAAACCTGCTTATTCAATATCATAAAGATCTGTCTTGGGTTATGCTGTTCAGAAGCATACACACACAGACACGCAAACACTCACACAGCCTGACCTTCTTGGCGATGGGTGCACTTTACACTTAACGTCACAAAACGTTACGCAACGTTACGTGTACCGTCACCGAAATCATGGAACTATTGGCTTATCGGGTCGACTCGGTCATTCTCCTTTAGACTTTGAGATCTTATGAAGGCCATTGGTCTGCCAGCTATGATGCAAGTGTAAACTTTCATTGGGCATATTACGGCCGGGCATATGACGACTCTTCACAAAACACTTTAAATTCCACTTAACAAGTTCCTTATCTGTGTTGAAGAAGCGTAAATAACATGGTTTCTGTCGGTATTTGTTGATCTCAGCAGTTTTACGGAGCACATTTACAGTATGGACATTACACCAATAATTATGCCGAGTCTATAAATCGCTGCTAGCTCTGTCCTGTCTACTGCTTGGACTTTTAAAATGTCAGACATGCCATTCACCCCCCCCCCCGTGTTTACTGTTTACCTGTGATTCCTCTGCTCACCTGGCTGACCACCTGACACATGGTTCTTATCTGCAGTTATTTTGAGTTGTTGTTTGTCATGCTCAGTGAAGGGCCGTTATGCACGCCTGCGGGGGGACAACACGTCTCTGACCTTCCAGCAGCAAAATAGCTGTCGTCGGCTGCTTTACTGTCACAGCAGTATGTTGCCTATGTTACTAGTATATCGTGTTGTTCTGTTGATAACAAATAACGTAGTGCAAAGTGACTTCGAGTATACACACACGCGCGCACACACACGCGCGCGCGCACACACACACACACGCACACACACACTCACTCACACTGCACTCACTCACTATTTCTTTTTATCTTCCTTTTCTCATCTATATTTTCACTGCTGTTTCCTCTTTTCATTGTTTAGGTCGGTTATTTAAATCGGTAGCCCGACAACCTACCGCAGAACTGAACTATATCAATATTAGATGGTCCAAACTGGTTTGCCATTGTTTGTCAGGCTCAACAAACCTGGACAGTACTAGTTTACCTCAATGAGGGTAGACATACTTTCCAAGCAGAGGTTGCGTCTGTTTTATATGTTTTTCTTTTACTTTTGAGGACTTATGTTATGTCCTTTTCAACACGATTATACTGACGTCTCTACATTTCAAATATTCTAATACCCTAATTCCCTATTTCTATGTTGATGTTTCCACGGCTTGTTGCATAATATATCTAGTCCTGGTATCATTATCCTTGTTCTTTG